CAGGCGACATTGTGAGGAAAGGGTCTTTCGAACCTTGCTAGTCTTGTTATAAGCCCCCTGGCTGAGCTAATAATGCTACAGACAAGACAGACCTTCTGGAAGGTTTCGTAGGCTTGAGCCGCTTGACCACCCTACCCAGCGGGCCGGCAATTTGAGCCCATGCAGCCGGTTGAAGGATGCTGGCGCGCCGCGACAGGGCAGTGGCTCACTCTCATTTTGATACTGGATCACGGCAATTTAGTCTGCTCCATCGTCTTCAGGTGCACGAGCCATGTTCTCTATGGATCGCTTCACCAGAGTGAACAGGTGTCAATCTTTTCATGTCTTGTTGATAGCACTGGCCGCTAGTTATTCCAGTAGCAACCATTAGCTACTGGTATTGCACGCAACGCCACGAGCGGTTCACAACCGGCACGCCCGCGGTAAGTAGATTTGTTCCCGCAATGGATACCGAGGAACAAAATATCGGGATAGTTCGTTCCTTGTCAGATTATAGTTTTGGTAACAGGCCACCGAGAAGCTCGTGCTTTCCGGGCCTGCCTGAGACTGAACTCATAACGAGCTAGCGTGGCAATAATACTGAGCTCATAATGAGCTACTGTGGCAAAACCGTTGCCTATTGATCAACTCTTTACTCCGTATCCGCGCGTCCCAGACGTCCAGCGGAGCACAGGTACATCAGACCGACTACAAACTCGAGGCGGGCGCATTAGAAAGCTTGTGGTTATTGTCCATACCCCTCCTCCATTCAGCCGCAGAATCTGACAACAGTTTGAGTTGACTGTCAGACTATGTATTAAGGTACTGATATGCGTAAATAGGGCTCGGGTGAAATCTGCGATTCAATGCGGGCGCTCAAAAGAAAAAAAAGCAATCTTGTCACAGCGCCATCGCTGTCATGTGGAGCCGATTTGCTTCTTTCCGCCACACACATGATGTTTTCTTTTTCAGATAACACCTGCGTTGGCTCCTCCCTTGCCTTTTCTTTGTCGTCTTCAGTTCTTTTTGTGTGTTTTTTTTCTTTTACCTTTTTTTTTTCTTTACTTTTTTGCTTTTGCCATACCGCTTTCTTGGTAAAGTGGTCCCTGGCGTTGGTGTGCGTTGGTGTGCGTTGGTGTCAAGGCTGTCATCGCTTTGACATTTTTTTTTGACTCTCTGATCGCGTGTAGGGTCCTGTATGTGGGTGGCACGTCCCAACTTACACAACTTACACTTAAAAAAAAAAAAGTCGGACGGTGGCCGGTCTGAGCGTTGCCTGTCAGGCGATGACAAGAAAGAAGGTCATGGCAGAATGCGACAAGCGAGAGCCGGCGAGACAGCGGCCTGCTGGCTGACTCGAGTTATGCCCGTGTTTGCCTCGCCGGAGAAGTCTTCCGGTAGATAGTTGAGCATGGATGAGAACGGCATCTCTAGATGTCGTAATCAGATTGCCTGTGCATCTAGCATCGGCCTTGAGACGTCCGAGCTGCCTATGTATGAGATGCATTGACATTTTTCAGGCGGTGCTTGCTTTTGCCATCTCTTTCCACCACACAATCTTTCCTCCCGCTCCCGTCACTTTAGGTTTTTTTCTCTCCCGTCGCTGACCACATCCTGTTCATGCAAGCCACTCTTCTTGTCACCCGTTTGGACCCTCTGCGTGCTTGGGCATGGCCTTGACTCGTACGAAGAAGGGATTGAGAGGGCGAGTAGTCAATTGCTTTGCCTTCCAGTAACGGCGTAGAGAGGGATTGACAAAGGTCCGAGGTGCGCCTTTTTTTTTTTCTTTCTCTACATTTTCTTTTTTACTTTTTCGTCTTGGGGGCCTGGGGTGTGTCGAGACAGACGCGTTGTTTTCTTTACCAAACTGAATCGTAACGAGAGATATTTCAAATGCTCCATCTCATCCGTCCCTCCATCAGAGACTTGAGGGGCAAAAGGAAAAGAAAAGAAAAAATAAGCGGCTCGATGAAGAGGGACAGATTTCTCGACGCGATGCTTTACACTAATAGGGTTGACTGGAATGTGCATACGTAGTCTTCGTACCTGTCACTTTAGCTTGACGCCCTCCCTTCCTTGACCAAATAGCCTCTGATGTCTCGTTTTCTTCCGATCTCTCTGCGACTTGCTCGATGATGTGTCGACTTTAAATTCCCCGGCCGTCCTCGGGCTTGCAATCTGGAGATCCCATGTTTCACGATGGCGTAAGTGCCCGTTGGACCGCACAAGGTATGGGGCAGCTCTTCAACCGCACAGCCTTGGTTGTATGCCTCGCGTTGAGCTTGGGTGGTAATCTGATGGATATCTGATTGGGGCAATGCAGTCTTGTCTTTTTGCTCTCAGTTTCAATGAATATCTTCAGCCGCCATCATCAAGGGAAAGAGGCGGAGGATCTCGAGCAGCTGTGTCCCCTGCATCTGCTACGCAATGTCGCGCGTCACGATTGTTGCTTTTTTTTTTCTTTTAAGAAAAATGTCATCTTTTGAAAAATGAACTTTGAGACTGGATCAAGTGTTCATGTTTCGTAGTATAAGCGTGGAAAATATTGTTGTTTTTTCTTTTTTTCTAATTGCAACTTGCTTAACTAGCTTCTTCATCTTTGTTTTTTTACTTTCTTTTTGCGTTGCAGACGATGGCATGACTGCTTTTCTTTTTTTTTTTTGGCTGCCACTGTTTTTTGCTTCTTCATTGTCAGTCATTCTCTTCTGCGCAGATTTCAGTAATACATGTAAAAGCTGGTCGAGTGTCTTTCTCGAGTCGTGTACGTGACGGTTCGATGCACGCTCCCTTGCAGCAAAGCATGTGCATGGCCAAGGAGGAAACAAAGATGGGTTGGTGTCTGCGAAACATGTGTTCGTGCCATTCTGGCTTGTTGGAGGGAGGGTGCATCTAACAAGATGCCATCTCAAGTCCATCGCCCAGCCATCAGCTCGTCTCTCTCAGTTTTTAGTCTGCAGCGTGGTCGGCCGCTCCATTAGCTTGTGAGGCAATGCCGCTCGGCGAGAGATCGACGTTTCATGATGCGCGACTACGAGGAAAAAAGGCTTGAGCGTCTCCTGAGGCGAGTTGAGGCTCCGCATAAGACGCCTCCGCATGAGAACCGTGTTGCTAGATCCGCCGAGAGACAAGGTTTTACCCCGCGTAGCTGCAACATCTGCATTGCCATTCCATGTCCTCTCGTGACCCAGCGATGCAAGGAAACCATATGGTGCTATATATCCGTACATGTCCTCATACCTTGATGCCCATGTGATGTAGCCCATCAATCGTTCCAAGACCACGCCGGTGAAGGAAACGACTTCATTCCGCCCAGTACCTATGTTGAAAAGTCAGTTCTTCCTTCAATGACAAGTAGAGAACGGACGTGGTGGAACCAAGCTCCCTGCGTCTGCCGGTGTTCTTGGCGTCAATGAGCCCACGTGAAGTCTAAAAACTGGCCCGAGAAGGCGTGCATTAGCTGGCAAGCTGAGTGAACTTAAAAAGTTCCGCGATTTCGTCATGGTGCCATTTAGGGTAGGGCAACTGCGTGTGGGCGAGGCGGCGTGGGCCTCGGCGAGTCGTGAGAGGAATGGATGCAATTGGAAGCAAGGGGATTGAAAGAAAGAAAAAAAAAAGGGCATCATCAGCCAGGTAAAAAGGAATTGGCAATTCGCCAGTGTGTCGAAGCCTGCAAGGGCAAGTGCAAATGAACACCTGCCCGTGTCGTCTGATGATCGAATAGGCTAGCTCTACCGCCACGCGTTCGAAAGCGACCAATACTTGCTGAACTTACCGCACGGGAATGTTGACCAGTGACAATAGTGTATATTAGAACAATAGCAGCCATGTATTCGAAGTAGGACCTCATGAGGAAGATGACTTCTGATTGTCGTAAGTCGACGGCGAGTTAACACTATCGATTGCTGTCACAAAGAGTGATGTGCCTCCAGTCATATTATTACTGTGAACATGTCTATTAACTGCGCTCAACTATATGTTCCATGTTCTCCAAGTCGTTCTCACAGCGTGGCGGCTCGGACAGCAAGCTCATCACCGGCTCAACTGACATGCCACGAGAACATCTGCCAACCATCAGCATGCGTCAGGATGCGAACTTGCTCACCAACGAACGCTCCCATGAAAAACCAAAGTACGCATATAAACCACGGGTATCATGCATTGACACCTCGAACATGAGAAAAAGCCGTAGGCGTCGACAGGGTTCAGGCTTTCATAGCCCCAATGAGCGCTATCACAAAGAACGTCGAATGCGAGTCTTCAGGTGCTGGGCAAGAACTCTGCCCAGCGGACGAATAAAGCCACAGTAATCATACCCAAGTAACCATGCAAACTGCGCATCCATATGTTTGTGTGCCAGCGGTGTATCTGTACTCATGTTGTGCCTCCAATCATAGGTACTCCCAGAGTACCTCGTTTTTCAGTACCATGTATCTAATAGATTCTCATCACGCTCAAGTCAATCATTGCAGAGATGGATTGAAATATAATTTAATATCAACGGACGGTATGTGCGAGCGGAAAACTCACTACATCATATCGAAGCTCACCACGTATGCCATGCTTGAACTTCCACGTTGACTTGCGATGTAGACAAAGGTAGCAGGAGTCATTTCACCGAGGGTGCCATCGTTTGGCTATCAAATGGCACTCAAAGGAATCGCGATACTACCAGTACCTAGACTGCGTCGAGCTTCGCTTCGACGAGTGGTCCAGAATGAACAGCGGATGCCAGTCTCGCCGTTTTGCACAGATCGACAGCATAGATTCAAGACGGATGAAGGAAGTTTCTTGCGGCAGCTAGGGAAAGAGTCTAGCTAATGAATTACAAGTCTGACAGAAATGCAGAACCCCAGAATTGTTTGTGACCAGATTACGAACCGAGGTGAGAAACCAGTCAGTACATCCATGGCGCACGACATCACCATGTCCATATCCCGTTCACTGACGTCATGCCCCCAGCAGCAAGCCTTTCGAGGCCGGCTCTGTTCAAGATAGGAGTTTGAACGCAATACAGTTCTCTTTCAAAGCCGTCCCTGTCTACCGTCCTCTGCAATCTTCAACACCGGCCGCAGGTTGTTGACCCGCGTCCAAAGATCCGGCAGACCCAGCTTCGCGCTCCTCTCCTCCTCCTTTTGAAACCACTCTTGCGCGGACCTGATTCTGCCTGGATGAATCTCGTCGAGCAAGGCAAAGTCGCGCTGGATGACACGCTCGCCGCCGCCGCCGCGGTCGCCGCCGCCACCACCACCCGAGCGCTTCCACATGTTCCAGAAGCCGGTAAAGTTGTCGCGAATCGTCATGGTCGCGGGATCGTCGGGATCCGCGTTGTAGCCCGCGGCGGTGGTGCCCCGGCCGAGCGGCCCTCCGGCCCAGTAGTCGGCGAGGGAGGTGTCGACGTAGCGCGCGGGATGCCCAGTCACCTGCGTAAAGGCGCGCGCGAGCTCGTCGTAGGCAATCATGTCAATGGCGACTTCGAGGTCCATGCCGTTGGCGCGCTCTTGGTGGTCCAGCAGCCACCGGACATAGTACTCGCAGTCGTCGAGGTTCACGTGAGCGACGGCACCCTGACCGAGCGGTACGCGCCAGGTGACGACGCCGTCTTCGACGGTCGGAGACATGGGGGTGCGTGTTCCGACGGCCATGGATATATAGGGCCCCGTGGTGAAGAGCGCGGCGCCCATCTTGTTTTTGCTCTCGGGGGCCTGCTTGTTCTGCTGCAAGATCCATTCCCCGACTCGGCCTTTGCCGTCGTAGTGACCGCACCGCAGCGTCGGGTCATAGCCGCCCTTTTTGTAGACAAAGTCGAGGTTTCCGTAAACGAAAAATTTGATGCCTTCCTCTAGGGCCAGCTCGTAGGACCGCATCGCCCAAAACATTTCCGTCTTTTCTCCTGCATTAAAGCCGTCAATGTTGATAAAGGCATAGCTGGCGCCGCGCAGCCCCTGCCGCAAGTCGGTCTCGTTTGCAAAGGAGCCCTCGACCGCTGAGACGTTTGGGAGTTTGAGAAGCTCTTGGGAACGCTTCGACGTAGCATCGCGGGTCAGGAAGCGGACGGCGTATGCACCGTCACTGACAAGACCGCGGATGACGGGAATGCCCTGCGCCCCAGTGCCGCCAACAACAAATACAAGAGGAAGACTTGAGTCTGGTGACATGTCTGAAATGTAAGAGAGTTCTGTCACGGAATGTTTTCTGCAGTATATCTTGAAGATGGTTCATGTTCACAGAAGCCGGATAGTGGCGCCCTTTTATAGAAAGAACCCATGTGGCACAGGTTGCCCGAAGAAGCTGGCCGCAGCTGGATCACTAATCGGTATCTAGCACAATAGAATGATGGCATGTCCCATGAGGAGAAAGTGATGCGAACCGGTGTGTTTCTTCATCTTAGCCTAGCTCGGCTGTGAGTTGGGCCCATCAAAGTCTACATGTTTCCTCTCGAAGCTGCCACTACTGAAGTGGGAAAACATGCAGAAGATGCGCCCAGTTTTCGGTGGGTTGATCAGTAATATCGTGAATAGGAGTGAGGCTTAGATGTCAAATGATTTGGAGAAGATTGATCATGTTGGAGTGGACTTTGGTGGTTGGCTTTATTAGCGGATTCTCCGCATAGCCCCGCATAGTCCCGCATAATCCCGCATCAGCCCGTCCTGCAGTTATACAGAGGCAGGATAAACACGGCGCTATTTCGCGCCATTTGCATTTGACACAGTCGAGCTTATATTAATCACCAAGACACCTGAGCCGATTGATTGAACTGCGTGTTTGATTTCAAACAACTGAATCAATGTTTGGCGTGTGAACTACCAATACAGATTACCAATGCATACTCGTTGCCGGACAACTTATGGCATTACAATACCGTGAACAATGACTTTTTCCTTTCGGTAAGACTGTCATTTGTGCTCTCCACCTAAAGATTGACCTTGATCTTTACTCTTGGGCAGCGACGCTAGAGTTTCTGGTTTCTGGGTTTGTATTTGTTGACTGGCCATCAGCCATTTGCTTGTCTAATACCACATGTTGTCACCTCCGGGGGTAATTATCAGGTCATGTACAAAGAGCAGCCGTCTCCTCATTGCGGTCGCGGCAGCTGTCTGCAGCGTAATCAGGGCCATCGCAGCACGTCTTGTCGGACTAGAGTTCGCCAGAGGACGTAGCAGTTGTCGTACTTGTCCAGTCAGGTACTAAAGCGTCCCAGGCTCGATGCAGTGTAAGCCGAGGCAGACGAGCTTGTCGCAGCAAGGCGCGGAAGATCTGGTGGGGCCGTCCAGGAGGAAGCAACGACCGTACTTAGGCAGGCAGGTATCACCACCACTCATGTCAATAGCGGCGGCCGAGGCAAAGCTCGTCAATGCGGCGGCGGCGGCGGCGAAGATGGTGGCCAACTTCATTGTGGCGGCTGACAAGGCAGTAAATGAGTGTATAGTTGCAGAAAGACTCGTTTGAGAAAAGAGTGTGTCATGTGAAGATGGGAATGTAGGAACGAAGACGGGGAAATCTAGGTATACTTATACTTTTAAGATTCTCACGAGATAGACACGCGCTAGAACGCGCACAAGCGTGCATAGCTCTTCATATTGACTTATTTTAGGGCTGGGCTGTAGCTGGAAAGAAAGAATGCACCAGCATCGAGTCGTCTCGTCTCATCGCTCTAGTTAGCAGCTCCTAGCTGGCTGTACTCACTGCTCGGGCGAATATGGAAATGGTGGCGGCTCCGCGCTACTAATTTTAGGGCATCCATTCAGGCAACTGAATGGCACACTTTCTTTTCAGTAAATAAATACCAGCATGAGGGCATTGAAGCAGTTTCTCATGTACAAGTCTATTGTCATTGAATATCTTGCTTGCTTGCAGGGCCTGCATAACAGTCTCCAAGTCGTTGCTTTTGATAATCCTTGCTCACTATGCTTACTCCCTGCCGGCCAGACGACGAAAACAGCATCCAGTAAAAGCATCCATCTAGTAAAAGCAACGAGTCAAAAAGACTAGCAATGCAAAATCAGCAATTGATCATGACATCTTCCTTACAAAGTTGAATACTTGCCCTCCAAAAGTAGAAAAGTGGGGGCTCCCCGATATGAGCTACTTGGTGCTAATAAAATCACAAAACGCCTTCACAAGCACTGGGCAAGGGGCTTCTCCAGGTCAGCCAATTCCATCTTGAAAGCAATCGTCGTCACTCTCCTTCTCTCGTCACGACCCTCCTCCTCTTTTCCCGTCCCGGGCTTCCGCAGCACAATAGTCACCATGTCGATCCGCATGCCCTTCGGCCGTCTAACCGGCCGCCTGGCGCAACAGCAGCTCCGACCTGCCACCAGCGTTATTTCAACGACGGCCTCACGCCCTGCTGCTCTCTCGCGAGTGCTTCGCCAGCAGCGGCAGCATCGCTCGTACTCGTCCGAACCCCCACGCGCCAACAACCCGAACAAGGTCAAGTTCTGGCCTTTTTTCGCCATCATTGGCCTCGGCACGGCTGGCTACGTCGCCCTGGCGAACCGCCGCAAGGGTGAGTCCTGAGAAGCGCTGCGCCGCGTCCCGTGATTTTCTTCTTGCATTCGTGTTTGAAACGTCGCCCGTACCACTTCGCACCGATTTCCACCGACGAGAAAATTCCAACGATGCCCCCTCAAGCGCCTGAAGCTCCGCAAGCCTTTGTTGTCGAGGCTTCCAATTGGCCATATACGAATGGCCCTTCCCCTAGCGGCCTCACCATGGTTTCCTTGAGCTCCTCTGGGCTAACACGAGCGCGATATCCATAGGCACCGCTCCCGTTCCCGGTGGCTCGCAGCCCAGCACGCCGGCGGCGGCCCAAGACGCGGGCCCCGTCTTCTCGCCCAAGGACGTCACCGTCGTGTTTGTGCTCGGCGGCCCCGGCGCGGGCAAGGGCACCCAGTGCGCCAAGCTCGTTGAGCAGCACGGCTTCACGCACCTGTCGGCCGGCGATCTCCTGCGCGCCGAGCAGGACCGGCCCGGCTCGCAGTTTGGCGACCTGATCCGCGACTACATCAAGAACGGGCTCATCGTGCCCATGGAGGTGACGGTCAAGCTGCTCGAAAACGCCATGGCCGACGCGCTGCGGCAAAAGGGCACCGGCAGCGCGGGCCGCTTCCTCATCGACGGCTTCCCGCGCAAGCTCGACCAGGCCTACAAGTTCGAGGATACCGTGTGCCCCGCCAAGCTCGTCCTCTTCTTCGACTGCCCCGAAAAGGTCATGGAGGCGCGCCTGCTCGAGCGCGGCAAGACGAGCGGCCGCGCCGACGACAATGCAGAGAGCATCCGGAAGCGCTTCCGCACCTTTATCGAGACGAGCATGCCCGTCGTCGACTACTACGAGAAGCAGGGCAAGGTGGTCAAAATCGAGGCCGTCAAGGCCGCCGACGAGGTCTTTGCCGAGACCCAGAAGCGCCTCCGCGAGAGACTCGGCAACGACTTTTAAATTGCTGCGCGAGCTTCATCAGCCTGAACTCTTTGCGGTCTGGAGCGATGCAGCGACGAGCGTAAATGTTGTACAATGGGATGTCATTTCTCAAAAAGCTGTCGGCTTTTTGAGCTGTACATCTGTGTAATAATACTTATCCACCCATGCATTTATTCCATGCCTAGACAAGTCCATTTCTTGATTGGTTTTCATGTTTTACCGAAGAACCAAGGACTATTGGGAGTTGAAGAGAAAACTTACAAGAAACGAGGTGGTTTGTGCCGGCATACAATTCCTATGTTTTTACGGATTAGAAACGCTGCAATACCTAAATAGAAAACTGCATCCTGATTGGTCGATTGCATGCGGATGCAGGTACGGCTAGGTCGGCCCGCCGAGGGGCAAAAAGACATGACACATGGAGAATGTACCTAAGAGAGCTGAAAGAATATTTAGAAACAGATTGCGTATACGAGAAGAGTTCGTTGGATAGATGACGCTTAGTAGCTCAAGACCTTGTGCCCAGCCACCTATTTAGTGGTGTTGTGGCGAGCCCAGTTGCCCAGCCACCCAGCCCCACCAATAAAGGGTTGCTGTTACAGCGAAGGCCCGAGGACGCAACAGAGTTATAACAGAGTATAACAGGGCAATACAGGGCATTACAGGGAGAGCTTTGCTCGCCAAATGCACTGCAAAGAATCGCTAAATGAGGTGCCATACTTGCGTAGGTAGGCGCCGCCTGAAACCCAGCCACTGACTATTATCGACTCCAAGACTGCAGTATCTTCACAAATGTGTTTCAAGTATACGTTTTGCGAGGAGAAACATTTCGACAAGATATTACGTGGCCGATATTTGAAATTACTTATGGTTCCCAGTCCTTCATCTCTCGTATGTTGGATCCAGTGCATAATCGTTTGTAAATATTGCTTCCCGGTGACACGGCCTTTGCAGTGACGCATCGCGTGGCTGGGAATAGGATTTTCGACCAAGGAAAAAAAGGTTCCCGAGATTGGGAGCCATTGGGCGATGCACAACCCCGGCTCCTACCTTGGCGCAAACGCCTGACAATTTTCCTCTTTCTCCTTGTATTTCATGTTGAGCCCCTTCTCCGATTTCTTTGTTCTGCATTCCGTTTCCTTTTCCATTTGAACATCCATCAAATCAGAATCTGACTGCCGCGGGACCTCGACTGGTACTACTTACTTGCTTGCGCCTGGCCAACGAACAGCAAACCTACCTACCCCGCCATAGACAACACCTCACCACACATACACAAAGCTTTCACACAAAATATGAGAATACCGTTTCGGATAGCAGCAGGAGCTTCACTCCTCGCGATCACGGCCGCGCAAACATGGAGCAAATGCAATCCGCTGCACCAAAGTACGAGCACCCCCCCCGGCCACAACCTCCTCCTCCGAACCTCCTTCCCCCAATGCTAACAACCATTCTGCAGCATCATGCCCGCCCAACACAGCCCTCGGCATGTCCATTGACATTGATTTCAGCAAAGGCTCCGTCAACTCGTTTGAGGCGCAAGGAGTCCCGGCATACGGCTCCGACGGCGCCTCCTTCACCGTGGCCGCGAGCGGCGACGCGCCGCAGCTCAACTCGCTCTTTTACATCATGTTTGGGCACGTCGAAATCGTCATGAAGGCCGCGCCCGGCGCCGGCATCGTGTCCTCGGTCGTGCTCGAGTCCGACGACCTCGACGAGATTGACATGGAGTGGCTCGGCAGCAACCCCGACGAGATGCAATCCAACTACTTTGGCAAGGGCCTCACCACCGACTACAACCGCGGCCAGTTTCACGCCGTCAAGGGCACGCAGGCCGGCTGGATCACCTACGCTATAGACTGGACTAAGGACCGCATCGTCTGGACCGTCGACGGCAAGGCCGTCCGCGAGCTCAAGCAGCAGGACGCCGAGGCCAACCAGTACCCGCAGACGCCCATGCAGCTCAAGTTTGGCGCCTGGGCTGGCGGCGACGCCGCCCGCAACCCGCCCGGCACCGTCCAGTGGGCGCGCGGGCCGACCGACTTCTCCAAGGGGCCCTTTGCCATGGCCGTCAAGTCGCTCCGCGTCACCGACTACTCCACCGGCAAGCAGTACCGATACAAGGACACCTCGGGCTCCTGGGAGTCCATCGAGGCCGTCGACGGCCAGGTCAACGGCAACGCCGGCGGCCAAAAGAACATTCCCACCGTCACCGCCACCGGCGCCCTTACCCCTCCTACCCCCGCCACCACGGCCGGTCCCGGTGTGCCCGTCGGCGGCTTGGGCAAGGACGGCAGCCCCGCCACAAAGACCCAGACCGGCTGGCCCTGGGTCGGCACCAACCCGCCCACTGGCGGCAGCATCCCCAGCGGCTGGTACATGACCCCCGCGGGCAAGATTCTGCGCTCCTCGGCCGCCGCCACGCTCCTCGCGCCCTCGCTGCTGCTGTCGGCCGTCTCGGCCTCTGTGGTGGTCGGCGCCGCCATTCTCATGGGCAGAGCGTTGTGAGCCAATACCGGTGTGTTTTTACGGTGACGAGGCGCAAGAAGAAATTGTGTAATGATTCTCGGCGAGATAATGACTGTTTTTTTTGAACGTATATAGAGGTACATACATTATAGGGCTACTTGCCTAACCTGCGTTCCCTCAAGCAGGGACGCCAGCGGCGTTTGGGGGCGGTCAACTCATGAGCAAGACATGAACTGCATATAGAATGAACTTTGAATAGGAATAATCGCGACACAGCGCAAGCTTTTCCAATATACTTGCCCCGAGACGAAGAGTAATGCCCAATAAAGCAAAGTTAATTCACCAATACTACAACTATACTAAGCTACTGTAATGAAGGAATTTTGTATGCATCATGTATATAATTGCCTTGCCGTGCTTGCCAGTGACAGCTTAATGATGGCACCAACTAAAATACACCCATGCTCGTGTAACTAGTTCAAAGAACGAGAAAAAAGTTTTGCCATCCATCTCTGCTTCATCGGCTATACCGATATCGACCTCTATGCCAGTGGTGGCCTTTGGTCGCCCTTGAAAAAACGCCAATTTTTTGCTTCCCATTCTCCCGTGCAGCAAAAAACGTTGTCATCGTACAATCCAATTCATTAGTCACCAGCTGGTTTCTAATACCGTCTTCGCGCCTTTTCCGTGACTGTATGATGATACCCCTCTCTGCACAAGACGCCAAATCAAATCAAAACAGAGCAAACCCCAAAAAGATGAGCTGAGCAAGCATTAAAAGGAACAGGATAGAAAAGCACGAGGAGTGGGAAAAGGAAGAAACGAGTAAAAAAGAAATGTCAGTACAACCTCCCAAGATGTAGAGTTCAGCCATGCAGCGCAGATTCAATCCTCGATTTAAAATTCCCAATCATCGGCATCCTCAACTGACTTGATGGCCCATCGAAACTTGTCTCGCAGAGTCTTGGAGAAGAACTTCTCAATAGGAACGTCAAACTTCTTGGAAAAGACAACTGTGAGGCGGGGATCAATGTAATTCTAGCACATTCGTTAGTCTTCAGTTGCACGCGCACAAAACGCCACCGTTGAATCGACTTACAATCTTGGAAGTGCCCAGAGCTACTTCCTTGTTGCCATCACGATCTTCGGCCTGCGTCTCCAGCACCTTGACACGATCATCAATCTTCTCCACTTGCGCAAGCAACTTCTCGACAGTCGGGCCGCGTCCTTCAGCCTCGACCTTGTTTGTCTTGTTCTCCTTCTTGAACTTGGCCTCGAGGTCCTTGACAGCCAAAAGACGCTCCTTGAGCTCCTTCTCTGGCAGTGGCTTTTCCTTCTCCGCTTTTCGCTTCTCGTTATCCTTCTCGAACTTCTTGGTGATCTTTGTGCGCTGCTCTTCAATCAAAAACTGCTGATGCTCCAGGATCCACTCCTTGTCAATTTCCTCATCCAGCTGAAAGTAGGCAGCACCTTTCTTCTTCTTCTGGCTCGGATCAATGTCAAGCATCATCATCTTGGTACGCCACTGCTGATATCGTAGGCCCTTGATACGGTCGCCTAGCTTCTGCATCTGCTGCTCGTGGCTAGCGCCGACTGAACGCTTGTGATTACAAAGAATAGCAACCTCTCGGTTGCAGTCATTGTATAGTTTGACCTTCTCCGCGATCGAGCCTCTGGAGCGAGGGTCTTTTTCCAGGTCTCGAAGGAGCCTCGACATGGTGAATGATGCATTGTAAGTACGGAATACCTTGGCCGTGAGACCCTGCATGTAGCTGTTCAGGTGCTTATTGAGCTGAGAGGTGGTCAGGCGGTCGAAGAGGTCATCACCGTCCGACTTTGGCGGCTTTTTGAAGAGTTTCAGATTCTTGAAAACTTGCGCGTCGACCTTGGCAGTCTCATTGTAGCGAATACTGTCTTTGCCTAGGAAATCGAAAGTGACGTTGTTCGGTGGCTCCAAAGTTATGTGCTCGTATTTGAGTGAGCAGCAGCCCACAGTGTCGGCTTCATTCTCGGTGTCCTTTTCGTTACCTGCTCTGAGTGCCAACTTGTCGATCAAGTACATGGCTGTAGCTCTCTGACGATCAGCCATGACTTCGCTCTTGAGTTCCTTGGTATACTCGCGGCGAATTTTGTCGATGTGCTTCTTCAGCTCACGAGCCTTTTCAAACTTCTTGAAGTCGCTTTGCCCTTTGACATCACTGGCAGCTCCCAGCATAACGTACTTGTAGGCACCGTTGATGTTTTCTTGCCACATAGCAAGCCAGGTAGCCTTCTGGTCATGCTGAACAGCCTTCCACTTGTGGCCCTTCGGCGGCTCTGGAACCTTCGCTTTCTTGCCAATGTTGATTGTGATTTGCTCGGGCCAGACCCGCGTCTTCACACGGCCAGTTTTGGGGTGCTCGCCTCGACCACGAAACAAGCTCGGCGGTTCAACACGAAAGTTGCCAACCTTTTGTTTTCTTCCATCCCAAAGACAATGGGTGAAGGGGGCCTCCAATTCGTCCTTCTCGGCCTTCGCAGCTTCCTTCTCAACCTTGGACAAGTTCTTGTTCTTCTTGGCCTCCGTCTTCGCTAGCCAGTGGTCGTACATCTTTCCAAAGTCGCACTTGTCCAAACTCTTGATCGCTACCTTTTCGCCAGCGGCGTTCTTAGCACCACCCGCCTTCTTGATGATTTCGGAGAAATCATGGAAGAAATTCTGTCGAAAAGTAGGATTCTCGAGGTGGTGAGACGACGCAGGCGTCATCATGGCCACCCAGAAAGTAGCCACTTCCTCGGCTTCGAGAGGCAGAGTCACGTCTTGGCCATCATACTTGAGCTTGACGTGCTTCGGGAGAGGCTCATAGGCAGGAGCAAACAAAACGCCGTTATGCTCCAGTGTTTGCCATTTAATGGAGTCGTCCTCGGGCTTGGGGGCATTCCACCATTCGTACCCTTCTTCTTCCTCTTCCTCTGCCTTGGCAGCCTTTTTCGTGTCTTTCGCAGGGGTTGATTTGCCCTTCTTGACTGCTGCGGGAGCCTTGGCTTTTTTCGAGATCGGAGCGTCAGAATCAGACTCTTCCTTCTTTACGCCGTTCGACTTCCGCTTGGCGGCGACGCCATTGGATTGTCGCTTGGTTGCAGACGATTTAGCCAGAGGCGCATCGTCGTCGGACTCGTCTTTAACGCTCTTCCTTGGCGTGGCCTTCTTCTTTTTATCCTGAGCACGTATGGCCTGGGCCTCTTTCGCGGCTGCATGCTCTATGGCAGCCTTTTTCTTGGCAAGATTGCCCAGCGGAATGTCATCATCGGAAGAATCATCGACGGCCTTGCGAGGAGTGGGCTTGTTGGACCTTGATTTGCCGATGGGTTCATCATCGGAATCAGACTCTAGAGCCTTCTTGGATTTTTGTCGTTTGGCCTGGGGCAGTCTGGTCAGTAAAGAAAGTCGCGAAGCATAAACCAGCCGCTGGCTGTCAAATTACCAGAGGTGCACCGTCGCTGTCCGAGCCATCCTTGTAGTCAATCTTTGTGATCGACTTGCGGGATTTGCGCTTGTTGTTGGGAGGGCTGTCGATGTCCATCGCGTCCGCCTTGCTGTGTGGAACAAGGATGCCTTCGCCACCGGCGGAGGACTTGGGTACTGAGCGATCGAGAGCCTTGTCCATCGATGCGGTGACTTTTGCAGCCGAAACTGTATGAGGGTGCTGGTTAGTGGGCGCGTTTGTGGCAAATCCTCGAGGCGATTTACGGAGAAGGAGAAAGAAGAATCTTCCGACGTGTCGCAAAGCGCGTAGGACAATAGTAACATAAGAGAAATTTGCACAACTCATTAAATTAAGGCAGTGAAGAAAACGTACCGTGACCGTTTTGCCTAGCGAGAGGCCTCTCGTCGTCGGAGCTGCTGTAAGCCATCTTTACCAGCGCGGCTTTTGACGAGGAAACTAAGGTGTGGTTTGGCCTAAAAGAGAGCTGCGAAACCGGATGCAGAGCAATTCTGTTGCGAGAAGCGAGAGAAGTAGGAATAAGATGGGGAAAATAGGCCCCTCCACGCCTAGTGCAGGTGAAGAGGGAGTTCAGAAAGGCCACCTTGCACGGGAGAGGTAAGGAAATGCAGGAGTAGAGTTTTGGGTGAAGCCTGGAATCGAGTGAGATCGCTCTGCGAGGACCTGCCACAGCGAGCCAGCGCCGTTGGCCGCAGGTGGGTCACGTGACTCAGTAAGCCCGCCAATTTGCCGGGAAAATAGCGACGTGAGCAAAACGAGCCAGTTGAATCCACCTCAACCACCCGAACCACGATCCTCCCCCCCTACGTCAATTGATCCGAGAAGCGCCATCAATTGGGTCACCGCTCGCTTGAGGTTTCACTCGACTTCTCGAACTCTGCCAAGATGCTGTCCAGAGCGGCCCGCCCTGCCGTCCGCGCCGCGGTCACCTCGACTCGGTAAGTTACGGAACTGCCTCAGTCAGGAAATTTGGGGGAGCAGCCAGAAGGCCCGAAGCAAGCTCCGACGAACTCGGCAAAACGCAGCAATTCCATGGCGCTCGGCGCATACAAACCACCCGGGAAGCTGGAGAATGCAAACTGAGCCGGCCATGATCTTTTATTCATTTACTTGCTAACGCGCGGCGGTGATACAGAGTTGCCCCGGCCGGTCCCAGCAGCGCAGCTACCTATGCTACCCTTCGTGAAATTGAGGGCCGCCTCAAGTCCATCAAGAACATTCAGAAGATCACCTCGACCATGAAGATTGTTGCCTCGACCAAGCTCACCCGCGCTACCCGCAGCATGAACGACTCCCGCACCTACGGCGCAACGTCCAACGAGGTCTTCAAGCAGGCCGAGACGGCCGCCCTCAACGAGGGCGAGAAGAAGACCCTGGTCATCGTCTGCTCGTCCGACAAGGGCCTCTGTGGCGCTATTCACTCTGGAATGAGCCGTTTCCTCCGCCGTCTCCAGGCCGAGGGCGAGCAATTCGACCTGGCCATCATCGGCGAGAAGTGCCGTGCGCAGCTCTCCCGTACCAGCGCCGAATCTATCCAGCTCTCCTTTGCTGGCGTTGGCAAGGACATCCCTACCTTTGCCGACGCCCAGGCCATTGCCGACCAGATCATCATGCTACCCAAGGATTACACCGACGTCAAGATTCTGTACAACCGCTTCATCAACGCCTCCAGCTATGAGCCTACCTTCATTGAGGCATTTTCCGAGGAGGCCATTCTCGCTTCCCGTATGTCTTGTTCCTTGTTCTGTAACCAGAGGTAAATCCTCCAAGCTAATCAGATGCCAGCCAACATCTCCTCGTTCGAGGTCGACGACTCGGTTCTCGAGAACCTGCGCGAGTACAGCCTTGCCAACTCTCTTTACTGGGCTCTGGCTGAGGGCCACGCTTGCGAGCAGTCTGCGCGTCGCAACGCAATGGATGTAAGCTCATTCCCAATCTGCCTCAAAGGTGTGCAATGCTTTGGTGCGCCATTTACTGACAACCGATCCCACAGAACGCTTCCAAGAACGCTGGTGAGATGATCAGCAAGTACCAGATTCTCTACAACCGTACCCGACAGGCCGTCATTACCGGCGAACTTGTCGAAATTATCACCGGTGCCACTGCCTCGGAGGACATGTAAATGCTGGAGGTGCAATCATAACTTTGAAAAGATTCCCTTTGTACCAATCTCTAGAGGTCTCGCCCGCTATGGGGGTTCCCCGTGTATCAAAGCCTCAATAAATTCCTTAGTACATCACCATTTCGCACATGTTGCCAGCTAGCAACAAAAAAATACGACCGCATTGTATGAACACTGATGTGCTTGCAATACGGTGCCTGTAAGCTCTATTAGACGATCGAGGCTGGACGTGGAAGCTATCATCTACGCCCCGTTGCAGAAACCTTTGTCCTTGCCGTGTACCGAATATTCAGAATACAAAAATATGAATATCATGCGCGAATTCCAACGCCAGTAAAACGCCAAAGCCGCAACAGTGGATATATACACATTATCATAGTGGGAAACAAGGGGCAAAAAATAGACGAACCCAAAAAAATACATCCGTCGTCGCCGCCTAAAGCTCCATGTCGCTGTCGTTATCTTCCGCATAGCTCACGTTTCGAGCGCGACGGCTCTTTGGCGTGAGCGGCGTCCGGCCTCCGGAACCGGCCGCGGCGTCGCCGAGTTCCGGCGCAAAAGGATTGCTCCTGTCATAGGCCGCCCGGATCTCAATGGCTTCGAGGTCCCATTTTCCAACCTCTTGCGCGTGCTTGGCCACAGCTTCGGCATATGCCCGCTTCTGCTCGGCGGCCTGCTCCTCGAAGGGTCTACGGACCTCCTCCGATGCCTCTTTCCACATACGCGAGGTCATGACGCGCACTTCATTGGGCATGGCCTTTGTCCTGCCCACCTTGCGGTTCTCCTCGCAGCGCCGGCGCGCCTCGTCAAAGTACATCTTGCTGAAGAGAAGATACGCGTTGCCAGCCACCTTGCCTGGCGCAACGGGCCGCTCCCCAATTTTGGACTGCACATGATTCCAAGCCTCTGTTTCATATGCATCGATGCGTGCTTGACGAGGATCCTTGGCGGCTTCTTTCCGCTTCTGGAGGAGCAAGGAGTCGCGCGGCAGGATCAGCGGCGTTGGTACTTCGATCGGACCCAAAATTCTGTCCAGAACTTCCGAAGCCGCTCGCAAGCCTGACAGATAGGCGCCATGGACAGTTGCTGGGTGGGTGCCGATGGTATGCTCGCCAGCAAAGAAGAGGTTGCCCACTGGCCTTGCCATGCTATCGTAGTCTTCGGGCTGCATATCCGGCGCCGCCGACGAGTAACTGCCTCTTGTGAAAGGGTCAGATCCCCATCGCGTCACTACTGCCTCCAGTGGGTGTGGCACATCCGGGCCAAAAATGCTTTGTAGAGTTTTTGTGGCTTCGCTGATTAAGCTTTTGTTGCTTGAAGTCTCTGTGTCGAAGCCAGCGTCTCCGGCCATCAAGGCAATCAGGCAGGGCATGCCCGTGGTGTTTGTAACGTTGAACCATTGAAAGAAGCGGCCGCGGCTAGCACGATATGCATGTTGTGACGTGCTTTGCGGATCCGAGGCGTCTTTCAAAACTCCAAAAATATGTCTATCCGAGTCCCAAAACACCTTATCGTAGACCAAGACTACCTTGTTGAGAATACCAAAGCCTAGTCTTTCAACAGCTTGAGTTTTCCAGTCAGGCATAGGCGGATCAAACTCGATATCGCCATGTTTCAAGACTCCGAGTGGCACCGTGCATACGACGGAGTCGGCTTCCATCACTTTCCCGTCTTCACATTCGATGCTCGCTGGTCCGGCAAACGTATCCGCTTGGTAGCTAATTCGCTTCACAGGCGACTTAGCTGTGATGTCTAAAGGGGTTGGGCAATGGAGCAAACCCCGCGCGACACTCTGATACCCGCCAACGACCATTGTATGACTACCTTCCCACTCATTTCCAGCGTCAATGTCCCATAGACCAAGACTAAGATTATGCAGGTTCGTCGCGTTGCTATATTCGAGATTGGCGATGTGCCAATTCATCAGTCTGTGATCCAATGCATTCAATTCAACCAAAGACTTGTATTGGGAGATAGCATCATCGAGCACCGAACCCAAGGTTGAGTCAGGGTCGTGGACAGCATGGCCAAGGTCCAGGTCCTTTTCCGTATCTATGCCTTGCTTGAGCGTCCAACCCATAGACACCGCCTTCTCGGAGGCTTTTGAGGCCGCAGGTACGCCGGGCTCGGAATACACCCGTCCAGTCAGTTTGTCCGAGGACACGGGTATCGTTGGTACAACGTCTCCGACATTCTGCTGTAATTGCTCTGATTCGCTAGCCTGGCTGGCTGCGATCTCTTCGCTTTGAGCGATGCTCTTGGACCCATCTATTGGGCTGTCTTTGCCTTCATTTAGCAAATCGCGGTTGCCTTGTATCAACGTCGCAGCCACTGATTTGTACTTGTGCTCGCTAACACGGTCGAGGCAATCATTGTATAGTCTTTCGATCAACTGATCACGCTCGGCGTCTACCGGCTTCCCATCGCTATCATAGATTGTGGTTTCGGCTTTGAGGGCATGATAGGGCAAACAAAGCTGGCCACGTACTAAGACGTTGAGAGGATTGCCGCGATCAAATCCAGTAATAATCATTCCACCCATCTCTGCAGTGCATCGTTTGTTATCAAAGCCACCCATAGGTGACGGAGGCTGACTTCTAAGTTGACGGGAGTAGACTCGGCCTCCAATACGGCTTCTCCCTTCGATGAGCGAGACTTTGGGTATATCTTCGCCGAGGTCGTAGAATCGATTCGCGTATTGCTTGAACAATCCTTCTAATTGTCTAGCGCATGATAAGCCCGAGATGCCAGCTCCTACAATTGCGACTGTTCTCCTTTTGCTGATCTGTTTCTGGTACCTCGCCTTCGTCGCAAGACGCCCCAAGTCGAGACAGCCAAAATTGACATACCCCCGGCGAACAAGCCAATTGTAGCACACATTGGCAGCATCAAACCAACGAGCGTTTGCACACCCAACGGCTTCTTCCCTCGAAACCCCCTGCCAGGGCTTTTGCAACCAGAGGCGCAGGATACTATTCCTCACATTCAGGTACGTGGTCACCTGAGCGTTAGATATGTGATGGCGTAGAAGAAAATACTCTTCGCTATGGAGAGCATAGGGATTCAGTCTCGAATTTTCTGCTGCGACGATGCACTCAGTTGCATACTGCGAAGACGGCATATCTCTAGGAATGGACGATTTAGGTTGAACGATGAAGTCTAATCGGTCGCCATCGTTTGAAAAACTGCGCTGAGGTATCGTAGGGGTTGAGATGTCGGATGTACGTTTTCTCGGGGTATCATTATCAGCCGGCGTCGTCGCTTTACTAGAAAAGGATGATTGACGAGATGAGAGATCAGACATATCGGAGGCGAAAGATTCCGTTGCGCCATTGTGAAAAGACGGTATGGGCACCTCGCAGTCCGGCTTCTCGATCTTAATTTTACTGAAGAATAATTAGGATACAACACAAGATGTTGACTTTACAATGAGAACCGCTTACCTGAACAATTGGTGGCTGGGCGGTGAGCTGACGGTACTTAGGACCATTCCTCGGCCTTTCATCTCTGCAGAAGCCTCAGCTATAGAGATGGGCCCATAAAAACTATTTTGAGCATACGTAGTTGGATCTTGAGCTCGCGTGCTGCCGGGCGGGATGTCGTGCCGGGCCTGCGCTGCCGTGGCGACGTTGCTCAGGACTGATAGTGAATCCATCGGTCGTGTTTCACAGGCTTGCAGCACATGGCCATTTTCAGGTCCCGCCCTATTTTCGCTATGAGGATCTGTTTCCATTCTGGCGCCACGCAGACATGGTATCGCAGAAGCTGGGTAGATGCAGATGCTGGGTAATATATCAGCTTGCGCCTGTAGGCCAGCGCTTGTGAGAGTTCGTATGTGCTTCGCCGCGCAGGGTTACGACAGGACGCTTGGTATGATCATGGGGCAAAATAAACGCAGACCCTGATCCTGATGATTGCACGCAGATTAGCCACGTACAGTCTCACTCTGGCTCACATATAAGCCGATCCAATGTCACTCACTTGGTGCGACTCTGCTGGGATATAGTTCGATTCGAAGACTGGCCTCTTGGAACGGGCAGTTATAGCATCGATTCGAATCTTACAGCCCACGAATTCGAAGGAACTCACAGGAATTCCACAAATATGCTCCTTAAAGACGCATAGAGATAGATGGCTTCCAGAATTACAGCGTCTGTGAAGCCCCTCAGGTCGCCGAAACTACTGTCAAGTGCTGAGTCACGTGCAGCGGCATCATCGAATCATGCTTGCCACGGTAGTGGGGCGGCTCCCTAATCTTGCCGTTTCGGGCTTTACAGAGCCGGCAAGGCGTACGAACGCACTCGAGGTAAGAGGAACTTCGCAACATCCAAGGAAGTAGCTCATTGCTGAAAAAATCAACCAAGGAGAGCAAGGAATTTACAGGGCTCCGAAGCTGTGTCTCTCGCCGCGATGTGTGACCCATTGACTCGACGATCGCGGTAATATGGCAAATCGCAGGACAGAAGTCTTCTAAATAAAAGCGGCGTTAATAACGATGAATGTTCGATTGCTATGCTTACTATACACAATAATGGAAAATCATGACGAGGAAGTACACTCGTCTTCCTCCTTGACGTATGATGCCTTCTCAATGGCGGCATCCATCATCCTGTTGCCGCTGATTATGGAAGTAGCACAGATGACTATTTTCCGTCGTTCTAGAAACAGTCGTTAGCGTCATTTTGGTTTTCAAAGTGACCAGACATAATACTTACCCTCTTCCTGCTTCGCGATGAATCGCAGAGCAGAGATTTCGGTAAAAGTTATGCCTCCGACGAAAACCACAAACACCGTCTGTTTATTGCCAGTGCCAGAGAGAAGAGCACGCGCCTTCACAGCTTTATCCTCCCCTTTCTGAGTTTCGTAGAAGGTTTCACCACGAACATGCTTAACAGCCTCGTCGAATCCGTGCCAGCCTTGGGATCCGCTGGCTGGCACGGCGCTGCCAGCATTGGCCGCACTATTTCCCTTGGTGATGGATTGTAGATAGGGTTTTTGTAGGATACACTGGACAAGTCGGATAGATAGTGGAGCATAACCACTGTACACGTATGCGATGTCTTTTGGGTCGTCCTCCTTGACCTCGTCAACGATGAGGCGGAGCTGCTTTCGAAGGTATGTGTAATTGGTTTTCGTGCCGGTAGTACCAGCGCTCGCTGCCATGGGTATCATTCCCGCCAGAGGAGACGAGCGAGAAAGAAAAAGCAGCAGCTTTTCTAGGTTGTTAAGAGTGAGCATGTGCTGGTAGCCGTAACCTTGCAAGATGAGGCGTTTGAACTGATCAAAGTCTTTTGGCTTGATGCCGCCGGATATGCAAGAGTATAGACAAAGCAGCCGTAAGGTTTCGCGAATGGGTGCTTCTCTTGCTATAAGCTCTTCAATGCCGTCGAGCTGAGAAGATGGATCTGCTCCAGCAGCAAGGTTCTGCTGCACCTCTAGCAGGCCGATGAATTGGTCGCTCTTTGTATGCTTTATAATTTCTTCCGCAAGACCCGTATGAAGGCGAACGCTTTGATGTTCTTGCTGGTATCCAGGCAATTGACTAACAAAGTCTTTGAGCTCGGCAAGTGTCTTGGTCTTGTGCTTGGCTTCGTAATCACTTTGCACCTGCTGCAGCCGACGAGCGACTTTATTGAGCTGATTGCCGACAACCGCAAAATTGGAATCACGAAGCTCCCCATACAGCTTATCGCTGCCATCCAGCACAATGTTACGCTTTCGGTTCTGCGATGTATTCGATGACTGAGCCCCTGGTCCCACGATCGTGGTGTCCGCTTTGGTCTGGTTATGTTGGATCTCGAACAGCTCGTCGATCAAGCCTTCGTACGTCAACTGAGTCAGAAGCGGTGTGACAAAGTCGACCTCACGGTCGATAATGATGACGCTCTCGTTGGTCATGCTGGGTGTTAGCTTGGCGCGGTTTGTACCGTCACCAGATTGGGCCGCCAATGCTTCTTGACGCATACGAATCAAAAGATCGGCCACCTTTCTTGCATTATCGCCCTTGCCAATGATTCTCGGAAACAAGCCATGAATCTGCTGAATGTCCATAAGCGCTTTGGCTAATAAGTAATTGGGTGTGATGTCTTTGTAGAGGTAGAGGTCTCGAAAGGCATCGTCGAGTTCCAGGGATAGTACATCTTTCTCCAAAGGAAAGAATGAGAGTGGAACCTCAGAAACATTGATATCGCCAAGAACGCCGGCTTCTTCGAATATCTGATCGGAAACCAAGGTGCGACGTGGGACCCAGCAGACGTGAAATTCATGAGTCGTTTGGCTTTCACGTTGTACTCGTTTTATCTGCTCTGTTCACAGCCCAGTCAGTCGTCTCTCTTCTGTGATACAGACTCAGTGATTGGACATACTCGCGATCGCATCAGCTTGCCGAGCGCATTCGCCTCGGGCGATGAAAACGACATTGTGCTGGCTGGCGTCGACGTTGTTGTTTTCCAGCACAAAGAACTTGTCGACTCCATATTCCTGGAGCGTGGCAACCTTGACAATAAGCCCGATAGGACCTACTAAGCTGCGATCAAAGACGAGATTTTTCTTGCCGCGAACCTGCAACGCTGACGGTTAGCTAGCTCTTCGAGTACCGGGCAGGCTGAGCAGCAGTGGCTGGGGTCGAGGATCGGGTCAGCCGTACGCCTTCAAGAAGGTAGAGTAAGTCCCTTCGAGCTTTGCCGCGGATCTGTTCAGTATTGAACTCTATTCGAGGAGCCATGGCAGCTCACCGCGATCGTTGGCAGCGCTTTCAGACAGCTAGGTGGCAGTTTATCGCTGTTGAATGAAGGTTGGTGAGCTGCCCAGCTACGCGATTATTAGCGTCGGTGAAACTTAGAGCTTCGCGGGGGGTCGGCTGGGCGCGTCACCCCACTAGACGTCATTGGCATAAGAACATACTAGCACTCCCCTTTATTTATTTCTTCCGCAATCTTGCCTGGTCACAGATATATGTCTAGATTTACGATTTACGTTGAGGTTTAGATGCTATCCTTCGGTGATAATGTACAGGTTGCGCTGATACGTCGCTGCCTGGTGTTGTGTGCCTGACCCGCGGTTGCGAGCACCGTGACAAACAGTTGCTAGGAAAGGCCGCACACGGGGAGCATATTTGCAAATGAAGAAAAAAAAATCAAAAAAAAAAAGCCCAATATGCGGTAACTGTATAGACGGAACGCTTGAACGGTATTGTATAATCATAAATCGTGAGGCGAGGACCAGCCGGAAGCCTTGACGAAATGGTCTACAACGACCGAGCTTAAACGGTATTATCGTGGTAGACGAAATCGATGTCACGAGGGCGACGACGATTGCCCTTGACAAATTGGTCATTATCGGGTGGTCGCTCGTTTTTCGCATTGCTCGTCAGCATGCTTTGAATGCTCATGCAGACACTTTCTGCACTTTGGACCGGGCTCCAGCCTTGATTGCCCAGCAAGTCCAGGCAGATGATGCCGTTCGAGTAGATATGCGGATGAATCGGGATGGGACGAGCTGGCCCGAGTTCAAATGTGGCCTCTGGAGGCTCTGTTAAGGAAGCGTGTTAGCTGCTGTCGCCAATGCGCCTTGACTGGGCGTACTGGTGAAGACGAACCGATAGGATACGCGTCGCCAAAGGCAATCTTGAGCCTGAATATCTGATTGTGATAGAGGGGGTTGCCGTCGAGCACGCGAATGTCAAACTGCCACTCTCGCATGTCTTCGCCCGAGATTAGTTCAAGACCGGGCGGCAGTCCCTGCTTGGCAATCTTTCAGATGCGCGGTTAGCCGAATGCGCTGGTCAAATGATACGGAAATAGTATGATGGGCACCTTTTGGCGTTCCTTCGCCACCCGATTTGCTCGCAGCGATGCCATGCTAGTGGGCTGTCGATAGAGGGATACGATTAGATGGTATCAGGTCGATGCTGGCAGTCGCGAATAGAGATGAAGGTAATGTAGCTGCAGGGCAGTGCACGCAGAAGAGCAGATGAAGAAGGCGAGTCAGACCAACAGGCGGGTGGGCGCTTTTTTATTTCAGAGTGGTGACAGCGCGTGGTGGGTCACGATGGTCATGCTGCAACGAGGTGCTACAGAGCGACAGCATTCACAACTAATCTGAAGTGTCACTCAAGGCAGAATGTATGCATGACACCAGTGTTGTGTTTTTCTGGACATACATGTCACCGTATTGTGGAAGCAGACGACGGATGATGGGCTTAGACAGAGGCGGGGGTGGGGGCGGTAGGTAGGTAGTACGCACAGTACCTCAGGTAACTATGTAGTTGGGTATTAATTGCAGAATGGTGTCGTTTGAACGTGACAGGATAGACATCGTCTACGAATTATCATTTACGAAGCGTTAGCCAAGGCTACTGCTCGTGATGTAGGTAGTAAAGCAGAACAGGGGACATCATTTCGGGCTACCTCTATCCACTGAAAGCCTCACTACTGTACCTAGTCGGTCGGCCAGCTGCGGTGCTAAGTTCATGATTCCTCGCAATATGCTCTCAAGTCCGAATCTGGGATCCGAAAGACGGAGAATCGACGCATCGAGATCATAGATCAAGAGTCTAAATACAATATTAAAGAAGCAAAAACGTGCAAGCACGCGGGTTAGGTACAATCTTTTCCGGCTGCTGCAGGAAGGCCTCGAATGGCCTTGCTGAGCCACCATGGCTCCCCACCCAGGTGGTCCCTGGCCGTGGCTGAGCTGAAATGAAGCTACCAGCTGTACAAGCAATATGTGAGCCACGGTCAGCTTCAAATCACTTGTGCGTACCCAACTTATACCCTGCTACTTCGTAATACCTACGCTGTCGAATCATGCCTGACCACTGGCATTGTATTGACCAAATGCGCATCCGGCCTTTTGAGCTCAAAGACTCATTTTCGATCTATTGTTTCTATTAATTTTTTTTTTTTCATCCTTTTCATTTTCAAACAAAACTAACACAGGGCTACGGGGCGCAAGCCATGTCGCACTCCAACACACGATTGCCCAAGAGGGGCCGGGCGGCTGAGCGGGCCTCCAAGGAGGGGCGCTTCCCTGTGACGCTCGCAACGACCCCAGCACCTTGTACTTAACTTCTGAACCTGACTGTTCTACCAAACTCTTTTTTTTTTCTTGTACTCTTGACCTGCGTGTATACGAAGCAGGTCTTGATCTGGTCGTCTCCCACCTCGCTCTCGCATTACGACGACTAAACCTAGCAGTCCTACTACGTCCATTAACTATCAAGGCTAGACCTTACGGTCGCAATTCCTCGGTCGATTCCTTGATACCCCGCCACAACAAAATCAAACACAAGCAGCCCGGCCAGAATGAGTTGTATGTCGCCCTTGAATTTTTCCGCGCAGTATGCGCTCGAAAGCGCAAGCTCTCTGCGTGTCTTTGCTTCTATGAAACGCTCAGCTGAACAAACCATCTCGTATAGTCGCCGGCATGCTACACAAGCTGGGCGGCCAGCCCGAAAGCTACGAGAAAAAGTACGCCCTTTGAGCTCCTATCGAGCTGCGTCGACCAATACTCTAACACGTATGCTTCAAGATCGAAATACAAGTTTGGCAAGACACTCGGCGCCGGAACCTATGGCGTCGTCCGTGAGGCTGACGGCCCAAACGGCAAGGTCGCCATCAAGATTATTCTCAAGAAAAATGTCAAGGGCAATGAAAAGATGGTATATGACGAGCTTGATATGCTCCAGCGACTCAAGCACCCGCACATTGTCAAGTTCGTCGATTGGTTCGAGTCCAAGGTACACGCTCCCGGACCTCAATCGAAGTAGAATACACTTTCCGCTCGGCCAATATCGCTGACACCTTGGCAGGACAAGTTCTACATTGTCACGCAGCTCGCGACTGGTGGCGAGCTATTTGACCGCATTTGCGATCAAGGCAAATTCACAGAAAAGGATGCGTCTCAGACAATTAAGCAGGTCCTTACAGCTGTCAACTACCTACACGACAACCAAGTCGTCCACAGAGGTACACTTCAGCCTGTGCCAGAATCGGAGACCTCTATCTCAACCCAACTAACGCTACTCGATCTTAGATTTGAAACCCGAGAACCTGTTGTATGTTACTAAGGATCCCGCTTCCGACTTGGTTCTTGCCGATTTCGGCATCGCAAAGACACTTGACAACAAGGAGGAGACTCTCCAGACCATGGCTGGCTCGTTTGGTTATGCCGCACCCGAGGTCATGAACAGGGAAGGCCACGGCAAACCCGTTGACATGTGGTCCATGGGTGTCATTACGTATACGCTTCTTTGCGGCTACTCGCCTTTCCGCAGCGAAACCCTAGCCGATCTGCTCGAGGAGTGTACCCAGGGCTCTCTCGTCTTTCACGAGCGATACTGGAAGGACGTCAGCGAAGACGCCAAGGACTTTATCCGCTGCCTCATCGTTCCCGACCCCGACAAGCGTGCTACCAGCCAAGTAAAGTTTCCGCTCCTCATTCAAGCCAACAACCGTCTCCTTTCATCCACTAACCACCGCCTTGCAGGAAGCCTTGCGACACATTTGGCTGAGTGGCGAAAACGCCACCGAGCACGACTTGCTTCCCGAGCTGCGCCGCGCCAAGGAGGCCCGCGCCAAGCTCAAGAAGGCCATCCTCGCCATTCAGCTGCAGAAGCGCATCGCACGCCTCCGCCACGAGGCCGACGACGATGATGACGATAACGACCTGCAGGATGCCGCGCAAAACGTCGAAAGCGGCGGCCTCGCCAAGGCCTTCTCCGGAATCAGCGTGTCGAGCGGTGGTAGCAGCAGCAGTGGCGGCGCCGGCGCCGGCGAGGCCAAGAAGCCCTCCCTTAAGGAAACCGTTAGGAGCGGTGCCGTCTTTCGTGAGGTTGTTCTTGCCAAGGTCCGCGAAGAAAAGGCCAAGAGGGAGGCCGCGCTGCAGACGGACGAGGATCTCGTGCAAGAGGCCCGCCGTCGTAGCTTCAACACTCAACATCACTCGTCGTGATCAGGGAGGCAGCGGGCGTGGGAGAGAGGGCTTGCATCCAAAGGGGGGTGTTTGGATCGTTTATATAACCAGGCAGGATGCTGCGAGATAAAATTGTGTGAGAACTTGTCGATCATGTACCCTTATAAGGGCAGTCTCTCATATGTTGTCTTTATTGTGATTGAACATGGTGTTAAGGGAAGAGCAGCTTTTCCCGTCGCTGAATTATTCATTTCTTGTCTCAATTTGCTCCCTTGCCTGTTTATGTTTATTTCTGCTGCCGGGCCAGCTATCTGACAAATTCCCGATATTATATATTATATTCTTGTTATCGTTTCCAAATCAATATCGCTGCAAGCCGATCCGGCATCCTCATTTGTAGCAAAAGAAAGAAAACAACATTTCACATAATTCGTAATATCTCCAAGGTGACACATTATCAAAACTCGCTGGTCCCCCTTTCTCTTAAAAAAAGGTCATGGCGAGCAACGGTACTTTAAATGTCAAATGACCATGTCGGCCGTTACTTGCTCGCGAAACTCCTCGTAGCGCTTCACATCGAAACGCTTGCGTTGCCAGCCATTAGCGCGCAGTCTCTCGATCCGAGAGCGAAGTTCCAGGGCGCGCATCTCCTCATCGGCTGGCACGCATGATTTGGACGTCAGAGCAATTGCAATCTCTTTGTCAATAGCAACGATATGAGATGATATTTGGCGCTGGATACTGGACAAGATTGTGCAGTAACTCTCGAGGGATTCTCGTGCTTCTGACTTGGGAAGCTCTTCATCGGGTATCTCCTGCGGAGTCTCGTCTCCGTTTACACTTGACGGCGGGGAGAACATTGGACAGGTATCAGGCATGCTTTGTACAGAAGGTGGTAGAGGATCAAGAGGGATGTCGTGACACGGTGATGAGCGTCCACTGCCTGGATCTGAGAAGCCGAGAGTTGGCGAATCTGGCCGAACGCCAGGACAATATTCCAGCTCGTCAGCAAAAGCAACTTTTTTCTTCCTTTTGATGGGAGTCTGCTTATTGGAGATTGCCGAAGGCGTGGGAGACGACATTCTTGTGGAAGCGGACTCGTGTGAGAGACAGGATTCGATGGGCGAGGGGAGGCCGGAAGAAGGCGACGCGGGCCGTAAGATAGTCTGCAGAGGTTGTTCATCGGCAGCCTTGGATTCTTGAGAAGCCAAGTTGTAATGCTCGCGGGCCTCCTCGAGAAGCTTGAGACGGTGAGACGAGCCAGCATGTAGGTTTCGCGCCTGCATCTCAAGGGACGTTGCCGCGTAAAAATGTAAATAGATCAAGTATGCAGGCTGGACGTTATCCTTATATCAAGTTAATACCATGAGAAAAATGCAACCACATCACGTCGGGATGATAACATACTCGAGTCCGAACATTTATGAGAAGCTCAATACAGCGAGAGGAGCAAGGACGATATCTCTTGTTGCTATAATCTCGCTTCAATTCAGCTAGTGTTTTCTTCCACTCTGACTGTGTGTATGGTATGGATTTTAGCGCGGGTAGAAACATTGCAGCGGGTCGTCTGTTTGTCATTCGAGCGTGTTGTGAAGCAATCCAGGTTTGAAGGGGTTCTTGCTCGGCCTCCATCAAAGAAGCCTCTCGGCGTGGTACCATTGTCGATCCCATGGTGGTTGGTCTTGCCACCACGGCCAAAAAAGGAAGCAAAGTCTGTCTTGAGCGAAGAAGAGAGATTGCTATCCTTGACGGAAGGCGAAGGGCTGAAGGCAAAAGAAGGCAAAGGGCGGAAGGTGGTCTTGTAAGTGCTAGCAGCTGACGGCTGGCAGGCGTAAACGCGGGGTGTGCGAGTGTCAAGAACGCTTTGAGACAAACAAAATTGAACGGTAGAACAGTTGCAGAGATTCGCGAGATTGAATAGATAGAGGTCTCAAAATTTCGTGTCCCGTGTCGTCAGCTGACTCGAACCGTTGCTAATGATACACACGACGCGCACAACATGCACGAAGAAGCACGAAGAAGCGAGTGTTCTCGACGAGCTGCAGGCAGCCGCTGGTGGAACAGAATATAAGACGTTGAAGAGCGTGGGCAGCACGATTCTTTGCCTCGCGGGAAAAGCAAAGAGGCAAACAAAGTTTTGTATATCGAGATGCAATAATGTACGCTGCTAAGTGTCACACAGGGTACCGGACAGGGGCGCCTTTTAAGAGAAGGTGCTGGTGAAACGCAAGGTCTGGGACAAGGGGAAAGCTAGGAAAGCTACACAGCTGCACGGCTTCCTAGCCGTGGGGGGGGGGGCATGGACCAAGGTCCGGGGACGAAAACTGCTTGCAAGCCCCAATATACAACACGGAACGCAACCACCAAGCCTCGAATTGTGATGGAGAAGTGTCCACTCGGCGGCTGTCGCAAAATGGTACTGCTCCATCATGGACGGCGCCATCAATGTCACTAATGCACTTGAGACCGCAGCGAAAGCAAGCCGCGCCTATGTATCCTCGGAATTCGACGAAAACACTGCAAGCCAGAGTCGATGCTGTTTCCGAATCCGATCTGTTGCTTCGAAGTATGCGACTTGGAAGCAGTATAGAAAGGGAAAGCAGGCAAGTACATTCGGGCGTGGACTACGGAGTACAGCAGGGAGCTCCATCACCACCCAAGTGAGTCAATCCGTGACAAGTCCTCAGTAGGCATTGAAACGTTGTGGACAATTGGCAGGTGCCGAATACTGATAGATCAAGAGTCTCGTGCACTGTGCACAAAGATCAGGTTTGTTGCCAGAGTCAATATCCATGGCATTACCTGCATACTAACTCGATACACCTGTGCTGGCTGCATGGCATAAGTACAAGGCAGCTGTAGCTATGGCTTCACCGGCACCCTGTCATAGCTATCAAAGCGCGCGCGCTCTTCTCCGCTGTATGCGACTTATCGTGTCTGTCGGCGTCAGAGAACATGGATTTGAACAGTGTATATCATACATGAAACGAGGCTGCGAGATTCCGTTGCAATCTGATGAAAGCGATCATTGACGATCGAGCAGATATGTATGTGAGACAAAAGCATCGACGTCCAAGTACCACGAACCCTTGGCTCGTCCGTGGCCTGTGCGCTTGGAAGGAAACGTCTTTTTCTTGCCCGTGGGCCTTGATTCGACCCTTGAATGCCTTGTTCCTCTGCATGGATGTGCAAAGCCAAAACTAGTTACCCGCAAAAACGTGGGAGAACAATAGTCGATCACTTAGTGTCGAGCAATTGATGACCGCATGTCAACAATAAGAAATAAACTCGCATGAACAACCCTCCTGGATGTTCAGCTTGGAGCATACCAGACCAGCGCAGCTGGCTAGGTACCTATTTATCTAGCCTACCTAGCTGCACTAGAGCAGGCCATGGCGCTCTTTGGTGACAGCCACGCGTCATGGGACGAAATACAGTACCCAAACGGTTCACCAACTGGTCAAGGCCAGAGTCTGCTGACACTTCCCGTACTTGCATACTGGAATCGGCGTTTTAGTAAGTTAGTGCTGTAGGAAAGGCACAATTGACGCACAGATCCCCTCGACGCCTTGTCGCACTGCAACTCTAGTGTCCGTGTCCCATGGGCCCTCGCAGTCAGAGCCTCACTGATCAGAGGCACTGTCATTCCCGTATTCTACCGTTGCTGATAACAGTATAGTTGACAGGTTATTGGTGACGAAAACGGCAATTGCCCGCTTCTGAAGATTCTCTTTGCGGGCCTTTTATGCTTGGCTGTTGCGTATTCCCAGTAATAGGTACCTAAGCCAACGGTTAAAGTACCTAAAAGGATGGAACTTATTGAACAGCGCTAGCTAGGCTAATGGTCTAACACGGAACCTGCAGGCTGCAGTGCGTTTTAGCGCATCCCTGACCCTAATGATCAATTTCTGGTGCCTCATGCAAGACATGCAAAGACCATGAAATAACGTTAAATTATCAAAAGAACGTTCAGCCACGCGGATGCGCTCGCAAACGCGTAACAAAACAAAGCGGCACGGCAGTGTCGCATGCTGAGCAACTACTGCAAAGCTGCTGCAAAAGGTGAGAGCTGACTTTCCGCAGATCCGTAGGTACCCATATTGCCATCCAAAACGATGCATTGTTTTAAAACCCCCACCCCCTTCTGGCTATGCACTGACAACGCACAGCAAGGTGCAGGGATTTCATTTGGGAAATGGCACCACTTTCTCTGGGTTCTGTTGCTTTTTCTTTTGACTACAAGAAGTTTTTTTTCCAGTCATCACACCACCATTTGAGGTGCACTGCTGTCCGAATCCGTAAAGTACCGCGTCATGCTCTTTCTCTTAGTCATTGTGGTGGCCAACTAGATTAGATCAGACCAGTGGCATGTTTGATTGTATATAGCTGCAAGGTGGCCAAAATGGATGGATCAGACCAAAATGAAAGAATGCAAACCTGCGAGACCATCATACAAAGTCTTTCACCGAGGTGACTAATATCGACTGCTTTAAATTGAGAAACGATAATAGTTATACCATAATGAAGGTATGCTCACTGCCTGCATCAACTCTATTTAGTCAGTTACGCCCGTTTTCGCCCCTTTTAACCTAGGCGGGTGGAACCGTCGCTCAAAGAGGAATGCGAGAATTCTGTACACGGCAATTCAAACAGTGAATCGAGAGAATTTGGGATTGCCTCTTTCGCTCCACAGAGAGGGTTGCATTCAAAAAAAAAGGATGCATGGCATGTCGTTTTTGGCAATTGAGATTCTGACTCGAAAACATCGAAACAAGGCCCAACCGAAGAACAAAAAGGCCCCCCTCCCCCACCTCCAAGATGTGATGATCCGCGACGGGATATGCGGAGAGGGCAGCAGGGAAGATGCCAGTCGCAGACTGGAGAAAGCTATACGTACGTCTGTAAAACGACAGCGAAGTGGCGGTGTCGGTTTGGCTACATGTGCATTGTATGCAGCATCACGAATCATTCATTGAAGAGCCCATGTCGTTGTTGCCTAATTCGGCGTTTTGCTATGACGATCTTGCCAATAGAGGTTATCTGCGTCTTTCCCTGTTTTCTCTCGAGTCTGCTGCCTCGCATGGCCATCTTACTCGTCTACTCGGCCTGACTTCCCTTTTTTATTTTACTATATTCCTCATTCTCCCTCTTTCTTCCAGTTTAACCCAACATCTATTGTGTCGTGCTGGGCGCACCCGCCGCCGCCGCGTCTTCTGTAGTGGCAACATCCTCCGTCTTGATGCCGTCGACGACCCGGAGACCCTCAGCCTGCTGGACGATGCGCTCCAGCTCCTTCTTGCGCTCCAGTCGGGCCCTGACCTCGCCGACCATGTTGTCGAGGCTGACAAGGACGCCCTCCTTCTCGGGGTGGCCGTCGCGGAGGCCCATCTCCTTGATCTTGACGTTGCCTTGGGCGACCTCGTCGTCGCCCAGGAAAATGGCAAACGGCACGCCGTTGGCCTCGGCCGCCTTGAATTGTTGCGGTACCTTGGGCTTGACCTTGTACAGGAACTCGGCCTATTAATGTTATGTTAGCGCGTGCTCGTGTTATATGTGTTGTGTTTGCGACATTTGGTAGCTGAAAAGAAAGTGGTTGCGTAAGAATGCGTGGGGTGCAATTACCTTGATGCCGCCCTCCCACAGCTTGGCGCAGACGGACAGGCGCTCGTTGACAAAGCCCTTGCCACCGAATGCCATGACGTAGACGTCGACCTCGTTGTTGCGTACTTGAGTGGCCGATTTGTCGGCGGCCATCCTAGCCTTTGTGATGGAAAAGATGCGGTCGACGCCAAAGGAGATGCCGACGCAAGGAATTTGGCTCTTGCCGGAGAACATGCCCACCAGGTTATCGTAGCGGCCGCCGGCGGCGACACTGCCGACGCCGACAGTCGGGTCATTGGAGCGGTCATCATCCTCACCACCCTTGCCCCTCCTCTTCGGGGCCGGGGCAGCAACCGCCGCCGCCGCGCCGGGCGTGGCCTCGGGCGCCGAGCCCTCTGTCACAACCTCGTAGATGAGGCCAGTGTAGTAGTCGAGGCCACGGGCGAGGCCGAGGTCGAAGGAGACGCGATCGAGCACGTCAAAGGCCTCGAGGTATTGAAATAGCAGCGACAGGTCAGCGATGCCGGCCTGCATAGAGGCGTTGGCCGAGAGCTTTGGGTCGTTGCGGAGCTTGTCCAGCAGCTCGTGCTTGCCCTTGTGAACCACCCACTCGCCGATGCGGTCGGCAATGTCGCCGTCGAGGCCCTTTTCCTCGGTCATTTCCTTGCGCACGTCGGCCCAGGGCAGCTTGTCGAGCTTGTCGACGGCCGAGGAGATGGTGCGAATCTTGTCCTCGGGGACGCCGCAGACCTGGAAGATGCCGTCGAGGATCTTGCGGTGGTTGAGCTTGATGGTGTAGGCCTTGTCCCAGCCAAGGCCCTCAAAGACCTCGCAGATGATGCGCAGCACCTCGGCATCGGGTAGCATGGGGTCGTAAACGCCAGCAATGTCAAAGTCGCACTGGTAAAACTCGCGCATGCGGCCCTTCGTCATGGCAGGCTGGTCGCGGCGGTATACCTTGGCAATGTGGTAGCGCTTGATGTTGGTAATGTCCTTATTCATGGCGAGGAAACGGGCAAAGGGCACCGTCAGGTCGTATCGCAGAGAGCAAATCTCGCCGCCCTGGTCGGCCAGGTCGTAAATGAGCTTGCTGTCCTCGCCATACTTGCCGGCGAGAATCTCCTTGAGCTCGAAGACGGGGGTATCGATCGTGACGCCGCCGTGGCGCTTGAAGACTTGCGTAATAGTGCTGAAGATTTTGTCACGAATGACCATGTCCTTGCCATCCCCTGGCACGCGGCACAAGAAGAAGTCAGTAATATTCTCAGGACACACTCGAAAGCAGAAGACGAAACGAGGGGCATGTAGGCACCGAGGGGTAGTTGTGGCTGTTGGCCACAGTGGTGGTCGCGGACAATCTTTTGATGGCGGGGGAGGGGTAGTGTTCTTACAATCCTTGGTGCCCTTGGGGGTCTTTAGCTCAAATTTGGATTTGCCGCCCATATCGATGGTGTTTTGGTCGTGAGGCAGCGACGTCGAGTAAAAACAGGCAGCGGAGGAATAGACGGCGACAGGGGGTCGGGACCGCAGGGCGTAGGAAAGCAGCCGTACAGGTCGAACAGACCGAAAGGTAGTCAGAACGGTCTTCATCCGCAGATGACGCCTCCGTAAAAAAAAAGCCCTGTGGTGCTTTTCTACCTCCTGCGCGAGGCGGCCTGGTGTTGTGGAGCTTTGGGACGACGTGCAGAAATCCATGGCCCGTCGCTGGTACCCCGCTGGCTGGCGAGAGGCGCTGACTCACCTACCCTCGACTTGCTTGACTTGGTCCCTCCAGATATCTGACCTAGCCTGTACCGAATCAGCGGCGGTCAAAAGGCCGAGGCCATTCAATGCTGTCATGAAGAGACGGAGACGAAGATGAATCGCATCATGTAGTTGCGTGCATGTTGCGTTGGAGAGGAATCGAAGTCTCGAAGCCTTACAGTGTCTAGAAGCTACCTGCAGGATAGCTGCCGCTGTATTTATATCGTCAAAAGCAACACGCAAGTTTCCAGCACACTCACTGAAAGCTGAAATCGCCTTAATTTCTCACTTCTGTCATCTATGCCAGTACGCTCATCCCATAAATCACCCGACAGCACCCTAAATGCATCATGTGCGGAACAAAATCGCTACACACACCTAAACTCCGACAAATTACAAAGCCCAGAAAAGTATGCAATCATGCACCCGGAGCCTTCAACCCCCAAAGATGCGAAATTTCCTCGGTGATGAGCTCAGAGTGTGTCATGACAAAATCATGGGTGCCAGGGAGCACCTTCCAGTAGACATTTTCAGGACCGCCGAGCAGCGGAAGGCCGTCGGCCTCATAGTCGTCGAGGTTGATGATTTCATCCTCTTCCGCGAGGAGCACGGCGGTTGTACCGGGCTTGCGCTGTGCGAGAATCTTCCAGCTTTCCTGCTGGTGCGTTAGTGGCGCGTGGCGGATACAAGACATAAACGCAGGTACGAATCCAAGATGGTGTGTGACCATCCAGCGTACATAGTGAGTCACGCGTTGCTCAATAGGGAGACTGAGTGAGTCCTCGGTGCCGAAAACGGTACCTGGAACCTCAGCGGATGCAACCCTGGCAGCGGCCTCCGTCTTACCGCTCATCACAGGACTGGGGTCTTTGGGAATCTTTGCTCTGGAGGCTATGGGCTGCTGAAGACGGCGGCTGGTGAGACCGTGCAGGATACGCTCCGGGATCACACCAGAAGAGAAAACAAACTTGGTGATGTGACCGAAGCGCTCGGCGCGAATGAGGCCGGCCGGCGCAAGCAGGACCAGGGATTTGACCATGCTTGGGAAGGTGCCGGCAAAATGAGCAGCGATACCGCCACCAAGTGAGTATCCGATGACATTGATAGAGTCATCGCCGGTCCAGGGGAGAGGACTGGAAGCGAGTACCAGGAGCATCTGCGTAACATAGAGACGATCGTCATGAGGAATGTCGCCGACGCCATCAGAGTAGCCTCTGCCAAACAGATCCTAATTGAAGTGTCAGAAGAAGTCCCAACGTGAGAGATAAAGCGTTTTTACAAAGAGCATGACTCGGCAGCCGCGCTTGGCGAGATTATTTGCAATATAAGTCAGGGTAATGCATGACGTGGTGATGCCATGAATGAAAATGACCTTTTGGCCATGCTCTGGGCCAAACTCATAGACGCGGATGGAACCATACTGTGAGCAGAATTAGCCATCGCACCAATTCTGCAATACAACATCGCAACCGCCGAGGGACTCGCAAGGTCAACATACTGGTGTTTCGACGTCCCGAGCGCCGGGAAACTGGTCAGGTTGATACACCAAGTGGCGCGTCTCTTGCTCGGTCAGGCGCGGAAGTGTCGTCTTGAGGGGGCTGCGAAGGACCTTTGCCCAGCGCGGCCACAGCACTTCACGCGCCAAGATGAAGATTGACGCCGTTGCCAATGCGGCAGTGGTGGCAATGGTGGCCGTGGAGGTGACAGACTCGGAAGCGGACATGACGGCGCGAGTGAGAAGCGTGGTAGCTGAATGCGGATAACGGTGTAGTAGTAGTTGGTGGAGGGATACCTTGTCTTAGAAATGAGCCGAAATCGGGGGCAATTTATTCTTCAAAAAAGGACAGAAAGCAGAGAAGAAAGGAAGACCAAGGAAATATTGAAAATTCGTGCATCAAAAAGTCGCAAACGCCGCTTTAGAGTAGGGGGTTGTCTGCCTGATGCTGCAGGTGAGATTGAAGCAAGTTTAAGGATCTGCTCTGGCTGCGAGAAGCTAGGTACTGATGGTAGGCCCGTCTTTTTGCGTTGTGCAGATTGATAGCGCAGCGAGTGAATGGCAAAGGAAGATGAAAAGAGAGATGGACAAAGGATGAAGAGAGAAAAGTGACGATGACGGTTCATTAATGTCGAAATCGTAGGTAGTTGAAGCCGATGCTGCCGAGCTAACCAACTACAGCCGCTAGCTGGCAACGTGCGACTTGCATTCTCTAACCAGCCCGCCACAAGCTGCAAACGGGCCCTGCCGATGCCTGCTTGAATCCTTCATTGGCCAGCATTCTCTTTCAGCCCCGACTGCAGAAAAAAACGAGACGAGACAACGGGACAAGAAAAAGTGTGTTACCTGAATTTTTAAATTTTTTTGGGTGTTTTCAAAGAGCGTGAGAGCTCCCGGGCACAGAATCCCGTTGAGAGGCTAAGCCTGAAGGCTTAGCAAGACGACGAACGAGAAACAGATAATTCTTCATGAATTGATGCTTTTTTTCTTTTCTGTTGAAAACGTAATAGCTCTCGGTTACAGCTCTCGCTCGGGCACTTATACCCATTCTATACAGAAATTTTACAACAAGGCAGCGGGCGTATGCATGCTGCGTCTTGACGTGAAACACTAACTAACCCAATCCGACGGCCCATGCCGCATCGCCAAGCTGCCGGATCAAATGGCATAGGTTTTCCACAATCGGCGGCGTGGCTTCCTTTCCGTGAGACACATTGGCGCGCAAAATTTCCTCGCATATCAACATGCAGGCCCTGCTATCCTGCAGCGTCGCCTCCCCTGTCGCGTCTCGCTGCGGCGCCGGACTACGAATCAGCGGCCGGCCCTGGTCAAACCCAATGAATCTCTGCACCGACAATGAGTCCTGGTCGTCGAGATACACGTTGCCGTATGCATACTGCGAAGCCATTGTCTGCTGCCGATTCGCCTTGAGGACCACGCCGTATGTCCACAGGGCCAGCGCCGCGTGGTGCACCGCGACGGCATAGAACCCGTTCAGGTGGTCTGGCGGGAACATCTTGGCGCACCGTAGAATTTGACCCGCGGCGAACACGGCGCTCCGCGCCGCCGCGCTTGCCGCCCATTGCTGGAGCACGGGGTAGATGCGGCGTGCCTGCTCCTCACCCTCTTTGCCCGAGAAGAGCTGCAAATCATCCAGCGAGACGTGGAGGTTCATCTGCAGCAGATGCAGTACCACTTGTTCTTGCACCGACATATCTGGCCATTCTCCGGCCACCAGCTGGAAATTTTGCAGCTCTCTGACCAGCTCTTGGTGCCGCGAGTTGAGCAGTAAGCTGGCCGTTGAGCTCCCGCTGCTCGTGTATGATCGGGTTCGGTGCACCGCGCACAGCTGACGATACTCCAGGATCAGGCTCCAGAATCCATGCAAATATATTGATATGGAAAGCTGAAGATCCAATCGCGATGCGTTGCCACGAAGCTTGTGCACCTCATAGAACAAATCTCCCAGCGACGGCGGCCGCTTGCTTTGCCCCGAATGACGCTCCATGTATTTTGCTTTCCACTCTATCGCCGTCCCGGCAAACCACAATTCCCTCGATTCTGGTAGTGGCAGCGTCAGTTCTCCATATGACATGCACGGGTTCGTCAAGGTTGTCATGGACGCCTGTGCTTCGCGAAGGTAGCAGTGGAAAACCAGCCGTTTCCACTGCTCCCGCTCCACCCACGTTTTCCATTTCTCTTCGAGAGCTTGCCCTTCGTCCATTGCATTGACTTCTATCAACGGGTAGTTGGCCCGTTGAAACTTGCCACGATACCGCATCATAGTCACTGGAATGACCAGGTGACATTCTGCAATCTCCATTTTGCGTCGATTTCCACTCCAAAGGGCGATGTCTTCCCAAAGGATGAGAGATTGGACGAGACCGAGGTTTTGAATTGCGGTGTTGTTGGCCTCGAACCGAGAAGGGATCGTGATTCGAATGGCTTCTTGCACAGCAAACCCAAACTTTCGAAGCGTCGGCACCGGTGTAGACACCGCACCGGCAGCTGCAGCGGTCCCTATCCACTCAGGCCACTGCTCGTTCAGTCGAAAGGTTGGGAAATGGATCCAGCCAGAGACTTGGCACGCATGCGCTGCCAGAAAAATGTGAATCATGCTATCCATCAACTCAACTGTAGGAAACGATGCAGCGACCTGATTTCTACTGATTTCAGTCTTGCAGGTACTTAGCACCGAAGAAAGCAGTCTGTCTCGTCCAGACTGCTCTAGTTTCTCCCCTGAAACTCGAAAAGCTTGGTTGTCGCCTCTCTTCAAATGCATCCTGGCGGCTTGGCTACTGCTGACTGGCATATGTCCCAGTTCCGTATAGCCTGTATCATGATCCTTTGGCTGCCAGCGCCAAGGGGACGCTGCCCAGCCTCTGACAAGTGCATTGCGCATCTGTGCCACTTCACTCGCTGTTTCAGGGCGACTGATACTACCTTCTCGCTTTAATCGGGGTATATTTCCCATGAGGTCCAGATTCCAGTTATCCAAGAGCCCAAAGTCCATGTCAGTCATTTCCAGACTAGCGTTGTCGCAGAAATCCAAAACGTCAAGTCCGTGAGGGTCTGCATTTCGTGACGGGTCGAAAGGCTGGTCGTAGAGTACATCTCGCAGGAAGTCGAAGAAGGGCACTGTCGTTGGATCCATCATATTGCCGGGAGGTTGCGCCAGTAGTTGTGAGCCGTCCATTTGTTCTGTTGAATGCTGTACGTAACTGTACGCCATTTGGTGGTTGTGCTCCTGTGCGCTCTCAGGTGTTGGCAATTGACCGTCTTCAAGAGCTAGCGGGGTGGTTTGCGATCCAGGTGTCGTGTTGGTATGCGCAGCTGGGACAGAGCTGACCGTATTGGGATTGGGGTGGTGAAGGTGATGCGTTGTCGGAGACGGCTCGCTCGATTCTGTAGTCACCGTCTGGTGGTTTGTTTCGGCCGGAAAGTGCGCGATGCTCTTTGACTGCCCATGGCTCACCTCAGATGAGACGCACTCAAGCTTTCTGGAGACACAGCGCTTACACGGCTTCGTTTCTTCACATTTGACCCTGGCAGTGGCGCATGGCCGACAAGCCTGAGAAACACGACCCGGTCCTGGTGAGGTTTGCTTACGGCGACGCTTTGCAGGAGAATCATTGGCATGGTTCGCGACGTGCCGACGTAGGAGGTCCTTCCTAGCGAAAGACTTTTGGCAGATTTCGCAGATGAAGCGTCGACCTAGGGTATGTGTTTGGACATGTCGAACGAGATGTTCGGGTCGTGAGTATGAGCGGCCACAATCACGGCAGGCGTATAAATTGCTCCCTACATGGCCTTTGCGAGGCGTCGGTGTGGAAGACTTGTCGGGCTGAAAAGAATCTGTCGAGGCTGCTACTGTCGGACTGGCAGTGCTGGGTCCGGATGGGGGATCGTTGTATTGCGTGGCGTCGCCGGGGTAAGATGCGCTGCTTGGAGTGTGATTGTGAAGCGACTGCTGGGGGTGCTGCTGGTCCAGTAGAGGAGGCTGAGGGTCCAAGATTTTGGACAGTGAGGAGGATCCGTTCATGATGGTTGTCTTGACGGCCAAGAAGCCAACCTGCACTCGTGCTCAATGCCAGCTGTTACATGAGTACGATGGCGCGCAACGGAATTGATTGAAAGAGTGCAAATGCGACAATTCGAGGGAGGCAGCAGACACGCCGAAGATTAGCGGAGAGAGTCGAGGTGACGCGGCTGAGGCTTGAGAGAAAGATCGCGGAGCCCTTTCCGTGCAGCAGCTGAGCTTGAGTGGTGCTGACTTTTAGGTAGGGCGCCAAGCCTTGAGGTTCATGCGTTGAATACCTAGATAGGTTGGGTCCGTAACTAGGTTGTGCCAACAACGAGCGACCTCCCGACATCAAGATAATAGGGAATTCAGGTGCCAGTTGGACAGTGATCTTCTCTCCACTCGAAACACGCAATGCTCATCGCGGCATAGCGGCGCAGCGGCACTACTTTAGCGGGCATGGTAGCCTGATTTGTTGTCAAGTGGAGGTCTCGAGAACTGATGTTGGGTCCAATGGGGTCGATTAGGTGCGAGACTTGAAAGCAAAAAAAAAAAAAAAGAAGAGTTTCGGCCAGGGCCTGGATGACGGGGAGAGCGAGACAAGACTGGACAAGTCGAGAAAAGAGAGGCGTGAGAGGGTGGAGGCTGGAGGTGGACGAAACACCTAGGCTGGGGTACCGGTATGCCTTGCGCGAGACAGATGACCATCCAGCATCCGCCCTTTGCACTAACTAGGTAGTAGATGAAGTCTGTTTACGGATACGTCGAAATGCCAGGACTTTGATGTTGCGTTTTGCGTGGACTCGCAAGGATACCTAATTACTGAGCAGTGAGCAAGTTGTGCCCTGGTCATTCGCATTGCGAAAGCGGAGTACTCTGTAGGTTAGCTGCCACTTGAAGTTCTGTTGCAGACACCGATGACGGTGATGTTGGCGGTCATGCCAGAGCCCAAACTTATGCAGAGCTCAAGCCTCTCAGCTCTTAGAAGTTGAAAATCACTTGCGCTTCGCTGTCTCAGCAAGACACCATCTCGAACGGCCCGGCGCCTTCTGCGTGAGCTAGGAAAATACCAACGCACTAGGTCATCTCCAGCTAGTTAGCTAACTAGGTAATTCTGGCTGGACTGCACACTGCCCAGCGAAGAAACTTGCTTACCAGCACGGAGTAAGTATCCGTACTTGCAGAAGATATTATGACGATGCTCCATACATACTGATACGCCACCATGAGGATGCCACTGTACCAAAGTGGTCTAGGCGCATGTCAGCGAGAGCAAACATTCTCTTCCACTACAGGAATCCTCCTGGTGCAGTGCATCGGCCTCTCGCAGTGCAGCCAGTGAGCCGCTCAAAACGGCCCCCCAGACAATTGTCCACAGCTGCCTACCAACCTACCTACTTAGGGGCCAGGGCTCTCGGCAACGGCTGCACAGACTGCGACTTGGCCTTTCCCACGTCTTGGATATTCCATCGAGCCCGGCTAGATCCCGCCAACCAAACCAGTACCGGCAAGGCACTGAGCAGCCATTCAACTGCCTCCCTGCCGTTGCTCAATCATACGCTGCCTATGTACCTATCCGCCAAAGACACCGTCTCACTTCAGTTTTCAGCAGCTGATCCAAGGTTGCAGTGAAACTCCGGGAGGCAATAAATACCTAACCGGCTGCACCAATCTCCAATCTATGCTCGATTCGCTGGCTGGAGAATGCCACTGCCATGAGAACCGACCACTGATGCACCCACGGTCGTAGTTGCTGTCGCACTGTACTCCTTGGCCTGCCATGGCTGCTACCGATGCCGTTGAAGTGGTTACGCGCCAGTGTGAGAAGGGCGCCGAATCTGCCCCTCGCAGCAAAGTGTCTCGCAAAGCGACTCTAGGCAACGTTCGCCTTAGAAATGAAGAGAACAATGAAATCATCTTGATTCCGACGCCGTCATTAGATATTAACGACCCCTTGAACTGGTTCGTCTGCTCTGATCGTTCGGCTTCTCATCCACGACTGACTTGCCGAGAAAAGGTCGCAATGGCGCAAAAAGTACGTTGCGACTGTGCTGTGCGTGGCCATGACCATGTGCAACTTTTTGGCAGCCGGTCCATCCATCGCCATTGTGCGCACAGCCATCGACTTCTTTCCACAGACTGCGCAGAGTGAAAGTCTTATGACTTACGCCATCCCTAAAGTTGCATACTTCTTTACATCCACGTCGCTGCTCCAAGGCATGGGCAATCTGTTCTGGATCCCCATTGCGAACAAATGGGGTCGCAGGCCTGCCTACATTGCCAGCTACGCCATATACTTTGCCACTGCTATTTGGCTGATCTTTGAAAAGTCCTACTCTGGGTTTCTTGTTGGTCGCATCATCATGGGCTTTGGCGCCGGTGCGGCAGAGACTCTTGCGCCAGTCACAATCACCGACATCTTCTTTCTACATGAGAGAGGAGCCGTCATGTCCGCTTATACTTGCTTCCTCTCCATTGGCGTTGCGTTCGGAATGATCGTCTCTGGAGCTATCACCGCCAACAAACACTGGCGAACAATCTATGAAGTGAGCTCTGCCCTGATCGGCTTCGTCCTCCTTCTGCTGTTCTTCACGCTCCCTGAAACGGCATACAAACGAGTTGAGAATGGCAAAGTCATTGCTTCAGCATCTTCCGAGGCCCTTAGAAGTCGAGCAAGCCAAAGCAGCGATGCCGAGACGGGCCAGCCCACTGTTGCCAAGCAGACATACCTACAATCGCTCAGAATCTTTCGCCGCCAGCCTCTGACTCACGAGAGCGTGCTGAAAATGATATTTCGCCCCTTTGCTCTAATTCTCCTGCCGTCGGTGCTCTGGGCTGCTCTGGTGCAGGCTGTGACTATTGGCTTCCTTGTAGCTGTCTCATCGAATGTTGACCCTGCCTTTGAGGAAGCTTACCGTTTCCAGCCATGGCAAGTTGGCCTGTGCTTCTTTGCGGCCATTATAGGATCTTTACTGGGCCTCCCGGCGGGAGGCAAGCTCGGTGACTTTTGTGCAGACTACCTGACCAAGCGGAATGGCGGCATCCGAGAGCCGGAGATGCGACTTCCCACCATTATGATTTCTGCCATTACAGCGCCGCTAGCTCTTGTGCTCTATGGAGTTGGCATTCAACATCGCCTGCACTTCTTGTGTCCAACTGTTGGTCTTGCATTGTGTAAGTGGGCAAGCTAGCAACTCTAGGCTGTACTCACACGAACCACAGTGAACTTTTCCATCACGCAGGCCACCACTGTCTGCCTCGTCTATGTGATTGATTCGTATCGACCTGTTGCAGGTGAAATCACGCTCGCCGTCATGGGATTTAAATGTGAGACTTGCCTACTACTCGTTTTGGAAATTTTCTTAGCTAATGTGAAACTCGACAGCACTCTTTGGGTTTCTCCTATCTTTCGAGACAAACCCGTGGATCAACAAGTCTGGGTACCAAAACGCATACGGCGCCATGGCTGGCATTTCGGTGGCTGTAATCATCATGTGGATTCCATTGTACCTTTGGGGCAAAGCGCTTCGAATTAGGACTTGGCGGTGGAAGGTTATGTCACTGGTGCGCTGGGCAGATGATCGCGAGATCGGCGAATGATGTTCGAATGATACATATCTAATTACCATGTGCAAATATATCATGTAATGTTGCTTCGAAATATATGAGTGAATAGTAAGAGACTGTGAATATCAAACAGCCTAGTTTGTCAGCACGCGGCCATGCATATATAAGGCTTGAATGTATGGGAACAAGAAACCGATATCGAGGCATACTCACAAAAAATTCAACTTTATTGATACATCAGAATTTACTATCTTTTGAGTACATTTATCAGTGTTAGTCTCCGCAGTGGGTGGCGGTGCGATTTGTCGCCACAATAGGCACAGGTAGGTAGTAGGTAGGCGCTCAAGAGCGTGTGACTGTCCAACTTTTAGTGGCGATGCTGGATTGCTAATAAACGTCCACTTCCGGACCCCAGGGCTGCTCGCGTGTCTTGACTTGCCCTCCCAACACTAGGTCGCCAAAGCGGTTTCTTTCCGTACATCCGCATGCATTTGGAACGTGTCGCGTCTTTTGCTTGCGCATCTCTGACTTGATACGGCTCGTGCTGTCGAGCAGCTCCCCAGTCAAAGGGCTCGAGACGACGTCCCTCGAAAAGTCTCATGGCGTGAGTGGCTGAGCGCCCGAAAGCGACTCAGGCGTCTGCATCTGAAGACTCCAAAGGTTGACGAGATCAAAAGCCGTCTATCGAAAGTTACCTTATTTTTTTTGGCTCCTCTTCTGTTTCTTTTCTTTTTTTTCCCCTCCTCGCTTTGATACGTGATTCGAACCTTGATAGACCACACGTGCTTGACGGTGCAACCACCCGATGTTTTAGACCATGGCGACCCCGCGAGACCCTGCCGCGCATACGGTGCCGAACAAAACCATAGATGATACTACGACACAACCCGACGCCTCCACGAGCGCTGCAGGTCCCCAGGCCGTAGAGGACCTTGCCGGCTTATCTACAGGCCGCGGCGGAAACCCCGCTCTTGATCACGAGGAAGACTTGGCGCAGGCTGGGGAAGCCTCTTCCGCTGCGAGTAGGGGTCCAGCTGCACAAGTCGCTGCACCAACCGACGACGCGCCTTCAGCTGCCATGCCAGCACGAAGCGAGCCGCACATGCAAGATGATAGCGAGACCACGGAGAGTCACGACCTGAGCACCGACCGATCTGTCCGAGAAGAACACGCCACCGGCGGTGCTGGGAGCGCCGAGGTTGCCAGTGCCACACTTCCCATCCGGACCTCGTCAGCACGGGCTGCGATACGGGCTGCGCCAGCTGTGACGGGCACTGGCTCATCGTCGACGTCTCAGAGAGACACCTCGTCCCGGACGCGGTACGTTGGCCCGGACGGACAGGTTGTGGACTTGGGATCCATCATGTTTCCGCACCGGCCCAGCAGCGGTACAGAGACTGCTCCTCGCCTGTCTACAGGCAGGCGAAGCAGCCTGCGTCACCAACTGAGTCCTTCTCGAGACCGCTCGCAAAGACATCGGCGAGACACGCCCGATTTTGTTCTTCCCAGGTGGCAGCCAGATGCCGAGGTGACGCTCTGTCCCATCTGCAACACGCAGTTCAGCATATGGGTGCGAAAGCATCACTGCAGGTATGTAGAGTCCGAGGCACAGCATCTAGCATGTACGGTTCTTAACAAGATGATAGAAAATGCGGAAGAGTAGTCTGCAACTCATGCTCTCCCCACCGAATCACGATTCCGAATCAATACATTGTCCGCCCCCCCGACTCCGAGGTTTCCTTTACTTCAAGCCTGTTTGCGGATCCTTTGGGAGCAAGTCTTTTGGAGCATGATGGAATGGCAGGTGGCGAACGGGTCAGACTCTGCAACCCGTGTGTTCCCGACCCAAACACGGCGCCGCCGCAGAACCCGACGCCGCTTTCTCCGCGTTCGCCGCACCATAGGTCCCGGAGTAGCTTGAGCAACGCATATGGCGGTTTGCCACAAACTGGCGGATTTGGAGGGCTTGCAGGCGCGCTACAAGCAGTCAACGATCCAGATCAATATTCAGGCTCTCGGACAAGGAGTATTGTCCTGGTATGTTGAAGCACTGCGCCTTTTTTTCTACCAGGTTTTTGTTTTGGTAACACGCAACTAACCCGATGATTAGAACCCCCCTTCAAGAGGACATGATCCGGTACCGACGTCGAGCCGCAGTGCCTCGTACCAGACCCCATTCGAACGGTACATGTCTATGCGGCCGAGCAATTCAGGGTCGTCACAGTTCAGCACCCGGCCAGGACTCTTTCAGGATGCAGCGTCATCGTCACAGCAGCGCGCACTGCCCCCGACACCTCAGATTGCCGAAGAAGACGAGTGCCCCGTATGCCATAGAGAGCTACCCGCAACGACGCTGCCGGATTTCGAAGCGCTGCGGGAGCAGCACATTACGGCGTGCATCCTGTCGCACAGCACGTACGGAAGCCCCGCGCCGGGTGACGGGGCCGCCGCCGCACCGCCGCCGCCGCGACGCAGCGGCATGTACACGTACCCGGCGACGGAAAAGGACTGTGTGGACGACGCCGAGTGCACAATCTGCCTGGAGGAGTTTGCGGTTGGCGTGCCCATGGCGCGGCTAGAGTGCCTCTGTCGATTTCACCGCGCGTGCATAGCGGCCTGGTTCGTGAATCATCCGGGACGGTGCCCTGTACACCAGCACGACGGGTTCGGATTTTAGGAGGGATGATGGCGGCTTTTTGTGCAGAGAGCTCAGTGGAGATTGGCGCGATAAGCTGGAGGGAGTCGTCTATTTCAAGTCGGAGTTTTGGGACATGTATGTGGATTTTGGGGCCGTTTGATTTTCCATGGGAGCAAGCGATTTGTTTTTGTACTTTATACCACTGGCCCTCTCTCACTCTATTCTTGATCACATTGTACTTTTCTTCGTGATAACGTTGTGTGAAGTAGTACGTTGAATTGTATACCTAGGCATTCGAGGCAGACAAGCTCCAGCAGTATTTAGTGCTGTCCTGTGTGAACAGAGTATGCGATTTATTCGACAAGACAGTTTCACGGACACCAACCTCTGCTCAGAGACTACTGGTATCTGGTTTTGTTGGCCGCCGAGCTTGATGAAAATTTGGGTCCGCGTCCGCCTCGGTGCATTATTCGTGCACAGTTGTTGCTGGCGGGCGGGGCGAGGCTACGCGGACAATAGGCCGATGACGAGATTGCTGGTGTGGCAGTATGTGGGTAGGGATTCGTCAGTGGCTCAGCCGCGTCTGTGGTAGACAAGCGTCATCATGTACTGTAAATATGTTTTTTTTAAAGTAGAAGGGAAAGTTTAGCCAAGGCTCAGGGCACAGACGATGTTTATTATTTTCTAGGCAGTGGAGAGAGGAATACATTGTTTAATTACAGCCAAGCACAGAGCCTCACAGATGAGAGCAAGTTGAGCAATAATTAGGTAGCGTCTATCTGTAGAGGCGGTTTGTGGGGATGCAGAGCATCGTGCGATGTTTAATTTCGTTCTGGGAGGACCGTTATTTGGTGGACACGCCTCGGGATAGGCATTGCATAGTAGTACGGACTATTGTTTGCACGGCTTGGAGTTGTTTCGGACATGGTCAAGATAACTAGAGAGTGGCAGCCCAGAGTTTTGGGGCCGAATTGCCAGCGAAGAGGCAGAGTAAATAGGTACACAAGTATCGATACATTGAGAGGCAGCCTCACGATGACAAGGTTCTCGACCGGGGTCGCCCGTGCCAGACCTTGTTCAGCTGGGGAGATGCAGCGACGTATCAGTAGCAATGTAGACAAAGTTGACTAGCATCACCCGTCCAAGGTTGTGTGGCGCTCTGCTAGTCTGCGAGGTATCACCGTATCAGCTGCAGGGCTCCACTGCGACGGAGTGGTGGCCGGATTCGATCTGGATCAGGGTAACGTGTATCCGTAGAGAGAAAGCTGTGGCTGGTTTTGCTTGTGATGGCATGAGAATGAGACGTGTCGACGAGTAAATGAGGAGAAATGAGAAGAGCTTGTGGCTGGCGAATGGGTATCATCGTCGTGAAAGCTAGGATTAGGCGAGCTGCAAGGCAATTGTGGTTAAGCGAGCATGCCAGGAATGTCTTGCAAACGGCCACTTGGCCACGTACAAGTATTCAGTACATGCACCTACCTGCTTTTGGTACGGACGGAATAAATAAATACAGAAAATAAGTTAGATGTCTGCAGGCACTTTGCAAACGCCCACATCTAACCACATGCATCGCACTCGCCCAGCTTTGCTAGACTATTTTCAGCCGGACATTTTTCTCAAAAGTAACAAAGTAAACTGTACACACCAATAGAAAAGCCTCTGCCGTGGATGAGCGCTCTTTTAATGATAGCGCACCCTCTAGGCTGGGAACAAGACATGTATTTAGACCAGTTACGTAGCTCGAGGGGCTGCGTCAGCCCACAAGGTTCCCCCTCGTTCAGCAGAGCCAGGATCAGACCAGAAAGCTGGGAGGGTTTTGCGGGTACCTGCCTGCCTGCCTGCCTGCCTGCCTGCCTCTTTCTCGCTGGCAAGCTGGGCACCTTACTCCGCACCTTAGGTACATTTGTACTTGATGAACAGATAGATAATTACAGGCATCGATGCAATGCATGGCTGAGCCAACCAAAGAAGCAGTCAATGATACTTGGTCAACAACAACGCTAGCCTACCAGAGACCAGACTTCCAGCGTATTTTAGTTGTTCTGTGTGGCTTGACTGATTTGGCTGTGGTTCCCTGACGCCGTGACAATAACTACTGGAAAACCGCTTTGTAAAAAACTCAAGACGCCAAGTAAATAGGTAGGTACCTGTATGTACCTACCTCTCAGCTCTGGCCAAGCTCCTCTGGTTGCACAAATCAACGCCTTGCGACCTTGCTGGCAGCTGCACACTGTCGTCAATTATTTACACTCCCCCAGCCAGCCGCCCCCTCACAAGTCACAACTCAACCGCCTCTCTTTTCCTCTTTTCCAATCCGTCGTCTATCCGTTTTCCGTTTCATCTCTTCTCCTTCTTCGCCCGTTGTGCAATTCAAACGTTCAGCTTCCGCTATAGCTCCGCACTGGCTTCCTGCTTTCTGCCCTGCCGTTGTGGCTACCTTAACGCCTGTGCTACTATTGCCATTTATTACTTTTTTTTGTATTGCCTGCATCCTACCTAATCCCAAGATACCCCCGCCGCCTCTTCCTACCCCTGTCAGATCAGCGTCATTTTGTCACCTGCTTAGTGGGTTGCAAAGAACCGGAAATCGTCTTGTGGGCGCAGCTCCAGCTCCAGCCGTCCCATTGAGAGACAGACACTCCGCCGTCTCCTCCAAGTCTGCAGCTGCTCGCGACAGCTTTCAACACTCCTCCATCCTACAAACACCTGCTGCCGTGTTATCTTTTGGATGTCGCCTCGCCGACTGGCGCGCGCCAATTGATTATTTTGTTCACTCATTACACCTTTCCAGTGCAACCTCCACCTGCATCGCGCGTCACTCCCAGCCAGCTAGCTCCTCATGGCTGCCAACGATGCGCGCGACGCCAAGGTTGGCAACGCCGTTGCTGCCGCCCAGGACCCCGACAGCACCGTCACTGCCGACGATGCTCAGCGCCAGATGGTCGCCGAGTCTCGCAACGCTGGTATTCCTGCCTTCACATTTGATCCCGATGCCACGCCAGAACAGAAGCGAGCCCAAGCCAGAGCTGTATGTTCCGCCCTCCGACTGCCTGCCTATCCCGTTGCCTCGCCCCTCGCGTTTGCTAACTACCTCTGCTCTATCTAGGCAATTCCTCAAGAGCTGCGCCAGGCACGCCCCGAAAGATCTGTTGCCGTTGTAACTGACATTGACGACGGGACGGGCCCCGTCGAAGATTTGCCCGAGCCCTCCAAGCAAGGCGTCCTCGACGTCGCTAGAGACGCCGACGGCAAGCCAATCGGCGACGGTACTGACCCTGGCGCCAAAGAGCCTCCCTATTTGCGCACCGGATGGGCTCCCAAGATGGGCTGGCCCTCGGAACACACATTCGAGTCCGAAAGCTTGCTAGACCACGCTACCTGGCTCGAGTCCAGACTCCCCGACTCGCTCTACGGAGGTGAGATCTCGCACCCCACTAACAACCATGCGCTGGCCCATCATGCTGACTTGAGCCCTATCTAGATTGGTATCACAATACTGCCATTGTCATTGTCGCCTGCATTACCTCGTGGCTTATTGCTGTTCTCGGCGGCGGTCTTGGATGGGTCCTCATCATCATGGCCACTTGCGCCACCTACTACCGAACCTCTTTGCGCCGCGTCCGCCGCAACTTCCGCGACGACATTAGCCGTGAAATGGCCCTCAAGAAGCTCGAGACCGACAACGAATCTCTCGAGTGGATCAACTCCTTCATGGTCAAGTTCTGGCCCATCTACCAGCCCGTCCTCGCTCAGACCATCATCAACTCGGTCGACCAGGTTCTCAGCTCCTCTACCCCCGCTTTCCTCGATAGCCTCAAGCTCAAGACCTTCACCCTCGGCTCCAAGCCCCCGCGCATGGAACACGTCAAGACCTACCCCAGGACTGAAGATGACATAGTCATGATGGACTGGAAGTTCAGCTTCACCCCTAACGATAACGCCGATCTCACTTCCCGCCAGATCAAGAACAAGATCAATCCCAAGGTCGTTCTCGAAATTCGCATCGGAAAGGCCATGATTAGCAAGGGACTAGATGTTATCGTCGAGGACATGGCCTTTTCCGGCATAATGCGCCTCAAGATCAAGCTGCAGATTCCGTTCCCCCACGTCGACCGCGTCGAAATGTGTTTCCTTGGACGTCCCGAGATCGACTACGTCTGCAAGCCCCTTGGTGGTGAGACTTTTGGTTTCGATATCAACTTTATTCCCGGTCTCGAAAGCTTCATCCAAGAGCAGATCCACGGCACTCTAGGGCCCATGATGTATGCGCCCAAAGTCTTTCCTATTGAGATCGCCAAGATGCTCGCCGGCACTCCCGTTGATCAGGCCGTGGGTGTTCTGGCTCTCACCCTTCACGGCGCCCAGGGTCTCAAGAATACCGACAAGCTCGGTGGCACTGTCGATCCCTACGCCGTCATTACATTCAACCGCCGCCAAGAACTCGCCAGAACTAAGCACGTTCAGGACAATCCCAATCCTCGCTGGAATGAGACTCACTACCTCATCGTCACTTCCTTCTCCGACTCTCTCGATATCCAAGTCTTTGACAAGAACGAATTTCGCAAATCCAAGCAACTTGGTGTTGCTACCTTTGCCTTGGAAGACCTCGAAGAGCTCAACGTGCACGAGAACGAGCGTCTCGAAGTCCTCGCTGACGGCAAGGCCCGTGGTGTTGTCAGCTGCGACCTGCGCTTCTTCCCTGTTCTCGCCGAGAAGAAGCTCGAGGATGGCACAGTCGAACCCGCCCCCGAATCCAACCAGGGTATTCTCCGATTCACTGTCGAACAAGCCAAGGATCTTGATGGCACCAAGAGTCTTGTCGGCAGCCTGAACCCCTACGCCGATCTGCTGCTCAATGGCAAGCCTGTTCACCAGACCAAGAAGCTGAAGCGCACCAACAACCCCATCTGGGACAACGGCTCCAAGGAAATCCTCATCACTGATCGCAAGTCCGCCAAGCTGGGAGTCATTGTCAAGGATGACCGCGATCTCGCCGGCGACCAAGTTGTAGGCAAGTACCAGATTAAGCTCGATGAAATGCTCGACTGCATGGAACAGGGCAAGGAATGGTATAGCCTGGCCGGCGTACCTACTGGTCGCGTCAAGATGATGGCTCAGTGGCGGCCTGTAGCCATTTCTGGCGTTGCTGGAACCGGTGGCTACCAGACGCCCGTCGGTGTCATCCGCCTGCATTTCAAGCGTGCCACTGACTTGCGCAACTTTGAGGCCTTTGGCAAGTCTGACCCCTACGTTCGCGTTTTACTCTCCGGTATCGAAAAGGGTAAAACCGTCACCTTCAGAAACGACCTTAATCCTGAGTGGGACGAGGTTCTATACGTCCCTGTGCACTCCGAGCGCGAGAGGCTTACTCTCGAAGTTATGGATATGGAAAAGGTTGGTAAGGATAGAAGCTTGGGCCTGACTGAACTGGATGTTGGCGACTTTATGCAACTGAATGAGCTCGGCGAGCATCTTGTGCACGATAAGAAAGATGACCGCGAAGGTGCTCTGCGTCTCCATGGCAAGGGTGTCCCCAAGGGAACGCTTCACTACACGGCCGCTTTCTACCCCTGTCTCAACATTGCGGACCCTGAAGAGGAAGAAGAGGAAAAGGAGGCCGCTGAAAAGACCAATGGGGATGCCACCAAGGCCGCGGTCAAGGACGCCGCTGACAAGGCTGCCACTGCAGCTGGACACACCAAGGGCAAGCCAAGCGTTGACACAACCAAATCTGTCAAGTCCACCAATGGTGCCAGCTCGGAACATAGTGACGAAAAGGACACTGGTCCTCCCAAGATTCACATGAGCCCTGAACAATTGCTCAAAGAAGAGAGCGGTCTGCTCATTTTCCGTCTTCTTGATGCGGAAATGCCTGATGCTCCTAGCCATCTGGAGGTCTGGGTTGATGACTACATGTACCCTTCGTACATAACAAACAGCACCTCAACCAAGAGCTACAAGTTTGATGAGATCGGAGACTGTGTCATTCGTGAACTGGACTTTTCTCGCCTTACACTCAAGGCCAGAAAGAAGGGCGACGACAATGACCACGTTCTGGCGTATCTCGCTGGCAATACGCTGGATACATTGAAGCAGTGCCTCAACAACCCTACTATTCTCAAGCTAAAGTCCGAGGATGGCAAGACTGGCTCTGTCAAGGTCAGCCTCAAGTACATACCCATCAAGATGAAACTTGACCCCAGCGAGAGCATCAACAACATGGGTAACCTTCGCGTTGATATCTTGGATGGCGCTGACCTGCCGTCCGCCGATCGTAATGGCAAGAGTGATCCTTACTGTCGATTTGATCTCAACGGCCAGGATGTCTTCAAAACCAAGGTCATCAAGAAGACGCTCAACCCTACTTGGAACGAGTACTTTGAGGTGCCTGTTCCTTCGCGAACAGCTGCCAAGTTCAAATGTACTGTTTGGGATTATGATTTCGCTGACAAGCCTGATCTCCTCGGCACTACGGACATTGATTTAGCGCAGCTGGAGCCGTTCAAAGCCTACGAGTCTCAGTACCCTCTCGATGGCAAGTCCGGTAGCGTGCGAATTCGCCTGCTATTCCGGCCAGACTATGTCACCCGCCAGAGACAAGGTACCTCGTCATTTGCCGGCACGTTTGGGGCTCCCACTCGTATCGTTACTGGCGTTGCCGGTGCTCCAATCAAGGGTGGTGTGGCTGTTGCTGGAGTTGTTGGTCATGGTGTTGGCAAGGGTGCCTCATTTGTGCGCCGTGGTCTGTTCGGAAAGAAGGACAGCAACGGCACCGTAGTGGAGGTTGTCGAGCCAGCCGAGGCTGCCGATCTTGCTGCTGGCCAACCCGGTGGCGGCCTCAGGAAGGCACCTATGCTCGATACGGCCGGTCGCAGAGATCTGACGCCTACTCCTGGCGGCAACACATCGATACCTGTTCCTTCGATCGAGACACCCAGTCCCTCGCACAGGCGCACTCTTAGTATTGGTGCTGCTTCTATACAGAGCGGTATACCCGGCGGCGCGCCTAGCGGCAGCGCCGTCTTCACAGTCGTCAGTGCTTCTGGCTTTCCTAGCTCTACAGATCTCTACGTCGCTGTATCACAGGTCTCGCCAAAGGAGAAGACTGTAGGCAAGACTAAGCATTTCAAGTCTACTACTGGCGAATGGTCGATCGACGAGGACTTCAAGTTCAACTGCGCTGCTGATTCTCAGTTCAAGATCGAGGTCAAGGGCAATCACACCTTTGGCAGCGATGACGTCCTGGGAGACCACCCCTACTTTGTGGACGAGACTGGCGGCGGACCCAAGGAGCTTACCATTGGTGGCGGCATCGTTGTGATCAAAAGCACCTTCCAAGCCGCCGATACTGCTAGCATCAGAGACAGCCCGCGGGCATCGAGTATCCGCAGAAGCATGCTTTTGAAGCGAGGCGAGTCGTCGCGCATCAGCCGGGAAACTACACCGAACCCATGAGTGTTTTGTTATGGTGACGTGTAAGGGTGGGAGTTGGAGCGAGCGTGTTTCTTCTGCCTGGATAATCATTACAAGGGAAAAGGAATGGTGTGGGTGTGTAATTTTTAGTGTTGTCCTTTTTATATCAGTACATTAGAAATTTGCAAGAATGCTTTAGTCTGTCTTTTACGACTGTTGACGGTGACATGTACCTAAACCGTCCGCGTCCGGTATCGGAAGGCTTGCGCGACGACCTGGTAGGTAGTGGCTGGTTTTTACTGGGCTCAATTATTGCGGATTCAAGGCCCGGATCATATAATATAGTATTCTGAGGCTCTCTACTCCGTACCATCAAATACATTGGCCATGTGGTTTCTAGTGATGGAATCTGAACATGCTTGTTGGCTCCACTTGTTCCTGCATCTAGTTTCAGGCAGCAAGGCAGCAACCTCAGCTCCAGCAAGGCGCCCACGGTACGTACCACAGATTTGGTAAGCTTTTGCAGAGCTTCCAGCCAGCCAGGTTGCAGCTTGGTGACGCGCGAGCCGAGAGCTGCCTGAGCCTTTCGATCCTCTACTCTCATCTCCCGTCATCCCCCACGCCGCAGGCTCCCATCAATCGGAAGCATCATCACCCCTCCCGACGCTATTTCAATCCGCTGCATCAAAGCACAGCTTCTGCGGTGCAATTTCTTACTTTTCCAAACGACTCAGACGGCTCCGGACTGGCTGAGCCAGCAGACGCAGAGTGATCACACGGCTGTCTTGACTGGAAAGCTTACGCTCTTTGGGCGCATCGTTACACGACGAATCAAAGAAGAAGCGACAAGATATAGGAAAAAATGGACGCGCTCGTCTCGAGATATAGCCGGCCTGCCTATGCGCAGAACGAGTCCTTTGAGGATGAGACACAGGACCTCATGGCCATGGACCCTGCGGCCAATCTGTCGTTAAACTTTGCCATGCCACCCGTCGCTCATGTATGACCGTGATTGAGACCCTGCGAGAGAATCCTCTCGGAAATTCGAGCCGTAACGACTGACTTGCTTACTTAGCCCTCTGCCTGGCTCCGGGCCGCCACGGACGACCGATCCAACCCCAACTGCCCCATCAAGATTGCCCACGGCACCACGACGCTGGCGTTTCGCTTCCAGGGTGGCATCATCGTGGCGACGGACTCGCGCGCGACGGCCGGCAACTGGATCGCCTCGCAGACGGTCAAGAAGGTGATTGAGATTAACAGCGTGCTGCTGGGCACCATGGCCGGTGGCGCCGCCGACTGCCAGTACTGGCTGGCGTGGCTCGGCATGCAGTGCCGCCTCCACGAGCTCCGTCACAAGCGCCGCATCAGCGTCGCCGCCGCCTCCAAGATTCTCGCCAATCTCGTCTACAGCTACAAGGGCATGGGTCTCAGCATGGGCACCATGTGCGCCGGTGTCACCCCCGAGGAGGGCCCCGCCCTCTACTACGTCGACAATGACGGCACGCGCCTCGCCGGCAACCTGTTTTGCGTCGGCTCCGGTCAGACGTTTGCGTACGGCGTGCTCGACGCCGAGTACAACTATGACCTGAGCGACGAGGACGCCCTCGAGCTCGGCCGCCGCAGCATTCTCGCCGCTACCCACCGCGACGCCTACTCGGGCGGTTACATCAACCTCTACCACGTTAAACAGGAGGGGTGGGTCAAGCATGGGTTCAACGACACCAACCCCATCTTCTGGAAGACGAAGCTGGAAAAGGGCGAATTCTCCAACGTCACGAGCGAATTGGAGTAATGGGTCGACATGAGTGTATGATGTGAGGTGGAGAGGTAGATTAAGCTCATCATCTGGGGAGCGAAAGCAACACTGGTTTGGGTCTAAAGGTTCAAGACTCAACATGTTCCCCTGTAACTTGTACAGTACAAGAATACAAATTTCTTTTGGTCATGATGTATGCCTGGATAAACGTAAAGTTGTGTGTACCTAAATGTGTAAAACGCCGTTTTCCAACCCGTCTCGGTTTGCGCCATGCTATGTTAATGCTACAAATTTTCTGTACAAATTTTGTACACGTCTCGTCACCCCAGAATGCTATATATCGTACAAGGTATGCTCCGTCGCGGCAAACATGTAACAAACACTGCCTTTACCACAACTCATCCTCACTCACGCCGCAACCACCCGCCAACCTCCATAAGCCCGCCTGACACGCCGCTGCTGCTCTTCTCCGGCAGCCGGACGCCGGGATCCAGCGGCCACTTGGGCAGCGGCGTGACGTCGAGATGCGAGCACCAGCCGGCCTCGTACATTTCCATGCCTGCCCACGCAATCATGGCCGCGTTGTCGGTGCACAGCGCCGCCGGCGGCGCGATAATCTCGCGGATCCCGCCGCTGCCGCTATTGCTACTGTCAGAGAGCAGCCCCCGCGCCGCAAGCGTCGTTCGCAGCACGTGCATCAGAAACTTGTTGCACGCCACGCCGCCCGCGACGACCAGCGTCGTGGACGCGCGCGCCAGCGCCGCGCCGTCGTAGTCGGCGGTTGGGTCGAGCGCCAGGCACAGCCGGCTCGCGAGGTGGTCAAACGCGGCGCGTTGGGTGTGGCGCGCGAGAGCGCGCCGCTCAGCGTCATCCATGGCATCCCCGCGGGAGGCGGCGACGGCGTGGACAGTGCTGTGGATGGCGGAGAAGGAGTATGCAAGGCGGCGGGTGGTGCGCATCGGCGGCGGCACGCGCCACGTGTAGCCGGTATCAACGTCGGCGAGCTCGTCGGCTCGGGAGCGCGGCGGCATGTAAAAGGCGTAGGGGTTGTTGTCGCTGCTGCTGCTGCTGCTGTCGTCGAAGGGGGGCGGGTCGGGAAAGGCATAGGCCTCAAGATGGCGCCCGTACATGACATCGGGGCACGCAGCGAGGACCGAGGCCGGCAGGATGACGCGCGCCGTCTGGTCAAGGACGTTGCCGATCGCGGCGTCGGTCGTGGTGGCGAGTACGCGATGGTCCGTCAAGCCCACGGAGAGGACGAGCTGCGCGTGGCCGCCAGACACGAGGAACGTTAAAAACGGAAATTCAGGGGTCGACACACCCGACGCCGACGTCGACGCCGATGCGGGATCCTCGCCGGCCATGGGCATGCCCAGCGCGCGGACGAGCCGCGGCGTCAGCGCGTGCGCCTGCATGTGGTGCACGGCGACGAGCGGCACGCCCCACGCCAGCGCGAGGCCCTTGGCCGTAAAGAGCCCCGTCGCGAGGTTGGAGTGGATGCCGGGCCCGCGGGTAGCGGCGACGAAATCTGGGCGGCGGCGGCCGTGGCCGTCGTCGGGAAGGCGGGAGATGGCTTGCTGGACGAGCCCGGCGAGGGTGCGCTGATGGCTCTCAAGGGCCGCGGCTGGGCGGACGCCACGGTAGGCGCGCAGGTCGGCGCTCACGCGCTCGTTGAAGAGGAGACGCGTCGTCTGGGAGGGGTGACGGCGCTCGAGGACGGCGACGGCCGTGTCGTCGCACGAGGTCTCGATGGCGAGCGTCACGAGAGGGCGCCGCGCGACGGCGGTGGCGTAGAGGCAGGTCCACCGCGGGTGAGGGCCGGAGAGGGAAAAGAGCGCCCGGGGGCGCATCGTCGGGTGCATGAATTAAGGAGAGGAAAGAGGAGAGGGCAGTAAAGGCTGGTGATGGAAAGGAGAGAGGTTCATCGAGGGAATGAGGTTGTAACTTTTTAGTGGAGACGGTTTGGGGAACGGCAAAGACCACTTACACGGGAAGGAGGCGTCTGCAGCAGCAAGCAGATGGAGAATGGACCACTGAACAAAATGACATTCTTTCGAGTTTCAATCATGTTGAACAAAGTAATTCTACCTAACATAAACTTGAGAATGCAAATCTGTCAGGCTAGCTTCAGGTGCCTGCAACCGATATATCGTCATCCAAGTCCATTACTGCCATCCATCCTTCATGGCCTCTTTCACCTTTCCATCCCATCGTATGCATGTATATGAACCTAGACCCAATTCACCCACTCGCACTTGCAGCCACCCGTGCCGCCATCAAAGCCGCCATACTTTGCGTTTCCCGTGCCTCTTGGGTTGATCCAAGTGCCGCCCTCGCCCATCTTGTTCACCAGCAGCTTGGTACGGTCCATGGCGAGACGCTGCCTGTCGTCCATTGGCGTCTCCCACACCAGCTTCTTCTTTGGGTTGCCGCCGTGGGTGTCCAGCGTGATTGTGACCGGCCACGGCATGGTGCCGGGGCGGCGCAAGGCCGCCACGCCGCCGATACCCGCAGAGCCGTCCGGTTGGACGAGCCTAGACGTGTTGATCGCCAGCTTGCGAGTCCAGATGCGCACCAGCATGCGCGTCTCGCCCCATGTCGCCAGAAAGCCCGCCTCCGACTTGCGACACCCGCCATCCTCGTCCAGCGGCACGTTAGTGTCTTCGGTGCTGTTGGCCGTGACGGACTTGAGGAATATGGTGCGCCGAAAGTGCGTGTAGAAGCCGTAGTGCTCGGTGTCGAGGCCACGATCGTACAAGCGCACCGGCTGCTGCACTGGGTTCGGAAGCATGACGGCTGGGGCGGGAGTGCCGTCGGACGTCAGGTCAGGACGAGGCAGAATGTCGGCAAGGCTGACATTGCCGACGGTGGTGCTGCTGTCGCGCCTGTGGAGTGATGGGCTTTCCACCGTGTCATTCATGGATTTGAGTATGCTTATGTAGAAAGGAGCTGGTTCGCCGGCCTTTTCATTTGAAACAATGCCATCCGTCGTCTCCCCCATAAACCACATGTCCGTGAACTTGGGTGCTGAAGGGTTCGGCTCAAAGTCAGAACTAGCCCTGGCTTGGACCAGTGCACGAGCGCTTGCGACAAAGCCCGTGGTTCTTTTCGAGACGGAAACGGGTGCGTCTCCATTGGGGACCTTCCATGACTGCCTTGTGCTGTTGTCCCACTGGATTTGCATAATCACAGTCGGCTGGTTGGGCTTGTATGGCTCAACAGACTTTTGATCGTCCTTTGGTAGCGAGCAGCTCCACAGGGTTGTGGGCTCCGTGCAAACACTCTTGGCTGCAATGTTGTCCCCTCCGGCTACAGTCAGGACGCCAGTCGGCATAGGTGGGAAGTCTGTCAAGTTGACCCATATGGAGGGCATCTCATGCTTGCCATGAGGTCTTGTAAGAACCACGGACAGCACAATGATTAGAATAAGCAGCGCAATAATAGTGGACCAGATGCCACAACAGATGCGGCGCTTTTTGCGGCCTTCTCTTCCAGTGCGGCCATAGCACCCACCGGCCGGAATGCAGCCCCGTCCGCGCCAACAGCCGCCAGCACGGCGAGCAACCATGTCCTCTTTCTCGTGGCGACGCCTGGTTCTCTCGACACGGTTCTGCGGTCCCGTCGCATCAATTACATGGGCTGGTGGCAAATAGGTGCCTATCGGGCGAGCAGGAAGATGCGCCTGAGATGCGGGTGTGGCGCTTCTTAATGGAGAGTGTCCCAGATCGACCATTTGCGTAGCACCTTGTGAGGTCATGGTCGCTGCCAACCCGGGCGATATCGGGTTTGGAGACGGGGGAAATTGAGCGTGCAAAGGGTGTCCGGCAGGGAACACAGCTCTATAACGAACAGGGCCATTCTCGGGCCGTTTCGGGGGAGAATACGGAGGTGGGTGATCCGCCACGGTCTCTTCATCAGTCATCATGATCCCGTGCTTCCTGTCGCGCTGTGATTCAGATAAGTGTTGTGCGACTCGAGAGTTTGAGGTTTGCGACACCCCAGCCAAGGAATCTGACGACGGGGTCCGCCGCGGAGTGGGAATGCGAACAATAGGTGGCTTGGAAACGCTCGACGGGCAGACAGCCTGCGCCTCGGGGTAAGCTTCTGGTCGGATCTCGAGGGGCGATGGTCCGGCTCGAGAACCATTGAAGGACCGACTGCTAAAGCTCATTCGCTTTTCGGTGAACGGTGTTACGACATGATCCCACCAGCCTCGCGATGGTGAATCGACTCTCTCTGGGGAGAGCTGTTGCTTCTTTCCTGCTACCATTTTTCGCGGACTGGTACCATCTTCTTCGAATAGAGTGCAGGGGGTGTTGGCATCGTCATCCTCTGCACCACGTCCGAGTTCTAGGCTGATGAGTCTGTTGTTGGCCCTGTATTTCTGGGGAAGACACGGTACAGGAGGCATATCCGTCAGTATTGGAGGTTCGGATGATGGCGCTTGGGAATATACACTTGATGGGGGCCGGGGCTTAGCAAACGGAAGAACCGTTTCTGGAGTGTCGGGTGACCAGAAGGACGTTGGCTGGGATTCGAGGTGAAGCCCGAAGTCGAGGCCGCCTTTATTCATGCTACCACCATACGGATTGCTTCCATTCGATTTGGCTTGGTTCGGGGCCTGGTCATGAGATGAAGCATTGCTCGGTGGTACCGAAATGCCGATCATGATAGGGCGATCATCTGGAGACAGACCGTGCTGATCGATCTGCGGAGAGGAAGAAGTGCTCTGTCCATTATTGCCCTTTATCCAGTCCCAGTTTCCGACGGGCGCGGTATTGGCATCGCCTTCAAGTGCGCGAAGCGCAGCGGAATCGACAAATTTGGTTGCGTTTCGGTCGGGTTGTTTCGTCTCACGACCAAAGGCCGCCATATCCGTGACGACACTGATGCCAGCCTTGGCGTTCTGGGCCTTTTGCCTGTGTCGTGATTTGGGGCGCTTAATTTTGACGGTTGAATATCGAGAGACTCGTACTGATAGGTTCTTGGGTGGTCGATGATACTGGGACGGCGGCTTGGGGGGCGGCTGATGATGCACAAGAACATGCTCGTCATTATCGCTAGGTGCGACGCTGGCATCCTCCCATTCTTCCCAATCATCGACACTTGGTTGAGGAAGTGGAGCAAGATGCCCGTTTTTCTGGTAAGACTTTAAGCTCATGGGAGCTTTTGTAGTATTGGGATGAACGTATAGTTGCTGATGTCCGTTTGTAAGTCGTTGTGTGAGATTGTTGAGGGAGCTGGATCGTAGCGGTGAATGAGAATGCAACTGTTCTGGGTCTCTTGAAGATGTAAGAGTAAAGTGCTGGATTGTGTTGAGAGAATTTGCAGCTTGGTAGCAGTTGGGCGCGTAGATGATCAAAGGGCAAAGGAAGGACGTTGAAGCAACCGACAAGAGAGAGAGTGACGAACAGGAAACGACAGCCAAAGATGCACAAAGAGCGTACGCGTCTCAAACACGGACGTTGAAGAAGCCAGAAGAGGATGAAACACTGGTCGGGGGCGGAAGAGGGAAAACAATTACGAACATCACACGACAACATGTGAGCATCAAGTGGCAGCAAGCCGTGGGGCGTGGAGCAGCACGAAGCAGCCCGCGCCGTCTGGTAGCGGCCCGGGCTGCATGGCTGGGCATACAATCATTGCTAAATAAAGGGACAAGGCCTCTCTCCTGTGGTATCGGCAAGTTTAGAGTGACGATGAATGGGTGACCGGCAGTCGTAGGTGGAGATTCGCAGAGAGTTAAGCGCCGAGCTTTTACGTCGACCATGGTTGGTGTTGTGGATGATTTCATTGGTGATTGCTAGCCGCCCAGGGTTGGTGTTGGTTCAAGATGATTGGTTGTTGAGCAGCCAGTTGGGGTCGCCAGGGCGCAGGCGTGATTCTGCTACCCTGAAGGAAGCTCTGCAATCGCATTTGACGCTCCACGGTGCGTGGAATCCTAATTAGAGTGCTCCTTTATACTCAAAGGATTCGCTATAAGTACGATTGATTTTTCGGACAATTCTTGGCAGTATGGTGCTGCCTCAACGGAGGACTCGAGCATAACAGTGGTTACGCCAACACATGTACAGAACTTTTGTCTCCCCACTGTGCCCCAGGCCTGCATACAGCAAGTTCCGATACTCTCTACATAGCCAACTACATATGCATGTTCACATGCAATGCGGGCGACTACACGGCCGAACTGAAGCGAATTGCTAGTTATCAGGCATATGTGCACCTGCAGCAACAAGCCATGCCAGCCCGTGTATGCATGTACTCGTACATGAAAATGTACTCGTACATGAAAGAGATAGACGGCCAATCGCCCTACATCCCTAGCAATATCAGAATACAGGAGAGGAGACCAGTGGCATGTCAGCCCCACGATATGAAAAAAGTACGGGGATACAGCGAACAGTATACAGCGAAAACACATTCCTGCTGGATAGGCCGAGCCAGTTAGTTGGCCGGCTATGATGCAGCTCAGCGTGCGCCATGGAGCGAGAATAGTACGATGAGGACAAATACAAAGAGACCGGTTGTGTTGCTTTTTCCGGGACGACATCAGGAGGGACGAATAAGCTCAAGTGGCCAAGCATGCAGAATTCGACAATACAGACCGACAAAAAGCGGCGATGCAAGCCTGCCAACAATAGTTAGAGGACGAGCACCGAAGCATGGGCGGCATGACAGGCCGAAAGTCGCGCCATATTAGTTCACATCGACTACAACAATTTAACGCTGCAAGGGGTGTGCAAGACGCGTCAAGCGAAAGCTTCAGGACGTCTCTGCAACAAAGGCAAGAATTCGACAAAAAACTGCAACGTGTGGCGGGAGATTTAAACTTTCTGCCACGGTCTCGGTTCCAAGCCACGCCGCCCAAGAATCCCGGTGCAAGGGAGATTGAGTTGATGAGGAATCAGCATTGACGAGGCACAAGCCGCACAACACCCTATCTTTGTGATGGAGTATTGGATCTACTCTTATGAAGTACGTATTTACAGCCTAAAAGCCTAACAAGGCACTGGAATGAATGTGTCCAGCGAACCAGAGGCGCGCACACCATATTTTGAGTGGTCAGCGATAACAAACCATGCCCACCTAATAATAACACCGGAGATGAGATGATGTGCAGTCTGCGGCTGGTTTTGGGTCCCTCCGTCGACTGGACCTGGATTGTGGGGTGAGCTGTTTTTGTTCTCTTTGTCTTTCTTTCTCAAGCCGCAACAATGTCTGCTGCACATTGTCTTGACAAAGTCTGGAGTCTAGACACTGTCACACTGGACAGTCATATCTAAACAATTTTTTGCTTGTCGTTTGGGCTGATGCAGAATTTCATGCAGCTTTGCGCCTGTTTTTGCTGGAAAATTGTCATTTTGCATAAACATGAGCACACAATGGTAAAATAACTTCTCTACCAAAATCTGCGCAGAAGGGCAAATAGCAGAGGACGAGCGGAAGCGGCTGGCGTTGCAAATTGCCAAGACGCCATTCGCACTATTGTGAAAAGGGACCGAGGGCGGCTCCAGCCTGTCCAATTAGGTGTTTACATGCCGTGCTCGTTCGCTGTAGAGAGGGAAAAGGGTGACAGAATGATGATAAAGGGGCGGTTCCAAGATTAATATATTATTTTAGGGTCGTCTGCATCTCATCGGCGGATTGCACTGCAGATGGAACGGGCGCCACCGAGGGTAATATAACCAGTAATGCGGCGCGCTCTAGCCACACCGTCAGGTTGGTGCCAGCCGGGCTTGAGAGTCGAAACACGACCTTGCTTCGAAGCACGTTGCGATGCAAGTCTCTGGCTCATCTGGTCCTGTACCAGCAAGGTTGGGCGTCGTGTCTTGGAGTTTATTAGCCACGGATGGCTGAGTCTCCGCGAGCCTGCTTCCGGCTCAAGGACAGCCGAATTATTGGCAGCATCCCTCTGAGATAACGGCAAGCCCTGAGGGGAAACTTGACATGGACATCAATATGTCCCCCTTGCCAATTGCTTGCATTGATGTGAGAATGGTGCATCGGCTAGCTGAATTTTGGTGGGGTTCAGAGACTCGGATATGGCGAGGCTAGCAGCTGCATTGTAAGATGCCGTGGCCCGTTGCAGACGCCTCTTTTCCTGTTGGTCCATAGAATTGTTGATGCTATCGAAAATTTTGTACGCGGCTCCTTTGGATAGGGGGGCGGCGGAAGCAGAACCCATGTTCGAGGGTACGCCAGGTACGGTGAGATGAATGAATCACGAGGGGGAGGTAGGGGATGTGGTCGGTGCCGGGGCCGTGGTACGAGTATAAGCGAGAGCTCAAATGGTTGACTATTCATCAATCATGCCAGTAGCCTAGATTGGTAGTTGATGTGCTGATATTGGCCCTTTGAAATCTGCACTGATAATACTGCACGAGCAGTTGGTGATTTGGTGTTGTAAGTGGTGGCCATGACGGATACAAGCGCGGGCAACCAGAAAGAAGTGCTGGACCATTGTTTGACCGAGCCTTTTCTTTCCCCTTCGTGTATTCCTCTTTTCATTTATTGTTTGCATTCGTTGGCTGGTCCATATTTTTTACTGATACATTCTTTGTGACGAGGCTGTCTCAACTTGCTCGCCCATTCATTGTTTCCACTCGACGCAGCCGAAAGCCTGTAACGAGCGCATTGTCGAGTTGATCAAACGTCTTAAAAAAGACTGCATGAAATCGTCGACAAGTTGAAAGAGCTACTGCGCTGCAAGAGACGCCAAATCATTGCCAGGGCTGGCAGCCAAGGTCGCCTGCCAAAGGCGTCATTGCTGGTCACGTCACATTGCAGGCCGCATCTCGGCATGTTTCGAAAAGGATCGACGACGATACGAACGGGGTGCAACCAGACGACTTGCGCCATTACATCTGGAGAGGCAGAGTGCTGTGCATCGTCTGACCTCTTTTTGCGCATGCGCTAACTGCGTGGAGGGAGGGGTGTCGGCACCAGTTGGCCGCATTCATCATACGAGTCCTTAACTCCTGGGCCTCCGAAAAAGGTCATATTTGACGGCGGTACACGAGGTGGCTTGGCCATGAGGTAGCTGGTGGAAGAGGCTGATGAAGGATAGAGGAGTAACTAATGCCAAAGCATGGTTTGATTGTCGATTTTTTTTTCTGTTTGTGCCAAGTGTCTCTTTCCATCGTCAAGGGTGCGAAGCACACCAGCAGTGTTGGGTACATTGGTTGATTGACCTGGCAAAACACAACCACATATTGGCTAAGATAATCTACAAAAAAAAAGTGGAAGAATTCTTGCTGCTATTCTTAATTTACAGCATTTTTAAAAGTATGTATCCTTACCTTATTTTTGCCCGAAAAGAGCGAATCCAAGTCGACCATATTTTTGTCACTCGCTTGGCCCCCAAACAGGTTAGGTAGGTACACCACTGTAGGTTCCAGGCCGTGCAGGCTTCCAGCACAGAAACAAAAGAGGGTCCAGCTATTGGCACCTATTAAGTGGACCCACCCATCTTGCCATCTTGCCATCTTGCCATCTTGCCGTTTTCTGCACGCAAAAACTTATTTATTACGGATACAGCGCCTGGACCCCTGAAGCAGCCTCTGCATCCCTTTGGTTGCTTCACTGACTTGTTATAGGGAACCACGTACTAGAATGTATTTGAATAGGCAATACCTGATAATAAAACTCTGATTATAATAACCAGTTATCTTTTTTTCCTGCATTTCCCAAGCCAGCAAGTAACAAATAGTGCCCATCTATCCGTAAATACTTACATTATTGCCCAGACTGCCCAGGCCAGGTGGGTGTTTTTTTCCCCTCAGGCGGCTCCCTTAGCCGTCCCACTGCCCACCAGCAGTGGCACACACCCTTTTTGCTCACCAGCTGCCAGCCTCTTTTTCTGTTTTGCCCGTTCTTTATCTGCCTGCGACCTTACTTTCTTCTTCCTCGCGATCTCCCCCCCCCTCCCTAATTGCTTCCGACGACATACATCCCGTGCTTTGCTCCCTCAAGCCGTCACCCTGGCTTCTTCAAAGCTTTCCGCCGGCTCTTCGAGCTCCTACAGCGACCGGCCGGCTCACTCTCACCACCGGCGACGCTCCTCCGCCGGCCCTTCTCCTCTCAACGACAACCGCTCCGCCAACCTGCTCGAGATACATCCGCGACAGGCAAACGAGGCTTCCCTGCCCACCATCGTCGGTATGTATCAGACTCGTTATATGATACCTCCCCCCCTCCTCTCCCGATCCAGCCCTTCTTTTTCGCATAATATTCTGCCCTGTCTTGTGTGGTCCTGCAAGCATCTGTGCCACTGCGCACAGCACTTCTCCCAACCGTTCGCAGCGCATCCACCCCCCGACACAGTCCAGCAAAGTTGCTCCCTGCGCCGCGCGCCGCGCCGCATCCTCCCTCCCCCCAGCTATTCAACTCGCTCGGTTTTGCTTGCTGCCATTGCTTGTTTTTCTTGTTTGTGCCTGTCGCCGTGTTCTCTTCAAGCGAGTCAAAATTATCACGGTCCTACTTGACGTGCCCTGACAGCCTTCGTCCACCTGTCCACAACCTTGTGCCACCCAAACTCCCCATGACACTCGTCGCTAATCTTGTCTGTGTTACTCGCGATGAAGGAACCCCCTCGACGAATACTCCCATGTCCCTCTCTCGAAGCCCTTCTCCAGTCCCGGCCGGCGGTTGGTCAAGCCCTGGCCTCAACATTAATAGCGGTCGCTCCAGTCCTGCCAGCAGCCACAGTGTCCGTCCCGTCGCCTGGGAGTCAAAGATGCGAAACGGCCACCCGTCCTTTTCCAGCCAGCATCAGGGTTTCTTCAGCCGCCACATGCGCCGCATTTCGAGCAGTCTCCCCCGATTTACCGAAGACGAAAAGGAAAAGCTCATGCCATCCAATTTCTACATGGACAAGGTGCCCCTCGTCGGAAGGATAAAGCTCATCTTCGGCCGCATGGGTCGCAAGCTAAAGCTTCGTTTGCTGATTGCCTTGTTCCTTTTGTTTTGCATCTGGGTCTTCTACAACTCGCGTACGTTTCCCTCTGGTTATCTTTGCCCATCCTCATCCTGACCTGATTGCAGCTCTTATCTACTGGTACCGTAGAGCCGCCTGGGGCGGCGGCGGCTCCAAGTTTGTCGTTGTCCTCGCCGCCAATGTCGGTGGCGGTGTCATGGAGTGGAAGGGAGCTCGTGAATGGGCCATTGAACGAGACAGCATACGAAACAAGCGCAAATATGTCGCCCGCTGGGGCTACGATCTCGAGATTGTGGACATGAGCACTAAGAAGCGATATGCACACGAATGGAGAGAAAGCTGGGAAAAGGTCGACTTTTTGCGCAACGCCATGCGTAAATACCCTGATGCTGAGTGGTATGTCAATAAGCGTCTCCCCCCGACACGGCCCGCGCAGCTTCTAATACATGGTTGACAGGTTTTGGTGGCTCGATCTTAACACGATTGTCATGGAGCCCTCGTACTCGCTGCAGGACCACATTTTCAATAGCCTCGATAAGAAAACGTACCGCGACATCAACGACTACAACCCTCTTAACATTACTCACCCCTTTACCGAGCCATATCTCGAGCCAGAATCCCGCAGCCCCGTTGGCGATGGAAACCCCAACTCTGTCAATCTGTTGCTCTCGCAAGATTGCTCTGGCTTCAACTTGGGCTCCTTTTTCGTTCGCCGCAGCGCCTGGACCGAGCGTCTGTTGGATATTTGGTGGGATCCCGTGGCATATGAGCAAAAGCATATGGCCTGGGAGCACAAGGAGCAGGACGCCCTCGAGACCATGTACGAGAGCCATCCTTGGGTCCGCCAGCACACTGGCTTCCTGCCACAGCGCATGATTAACAGCTTTCCTCCTGCGGCTTGCGGTGACGGCACTGGTAACAACCACACCCGCTTCCACTACCACGAGAAGGATCGCGACTTCATGGTTAACATGGCTGGCTGCGAATGGGGCCGTGACTGCTGGGGTGAAATGTACCACTATCGCCAGTTCAGCTACTGGCTCAACCGCAACCCTTGGGAGCGTTTCAAAGAGGACTTTATTGCCGTCATTTGGTACCATCTTACCGGCAAGCACGTTCGCCTATAAACGAAACATGCGAACTCCGGACACCAATCGACCAATACCACGCAAAAGATGCAGACTACCTACACGCGATATTGGGCCGATTTTATTTCGATTCCACTGCACATATATATTTATTACATTTATCTTCGCTTGGACTGCAAGGCATCTGGTCCTATGATGCGGCTCTGGATCAGTTGAAAAGTGCAGTGCTTATAGAAGAGGGGAAAGGATTTGGCGTTTTTTATGCCCACTGTTGGCACCAAACGTTGGAAGCGAATTGATGGGCACCTATAACCCCACGGGACGACTTGCAACGAGACGATCTGTCAACACCTGCTGCAGGCCCTTTGACCAGCTTGACGACGTAACGCCCAACGGATGGCTCGGATAACTTGATTTACAGAGGGACAAAAGGGGGACGTTGCTGTGTGCAAGGTAGTGTACCAATACGCAGCTCGCCGTCTTCATCGCTACGAAATCGAAGAAGAAAACCGGCGATGCCTTTGAAATGCAATGGGGGGAACTCTGCTTTGAAAGAGGCGAATCATGATGCATGGAGAATGGCGACTGCTCCCTGTTTTCATTACTTTTTTTTCTTGTTGGGAGTAGAACTGAGCCGCTCTATGTCGGCGTTGTGCATTTTTTTTTAAACTTGCCTCGTCTTTTTCTTTTTCTTTTCTACGCTTTCGTTTCTCCCTTTTACTCTATATTCTCTTCTTCGACTGCATGAAGCATCGGCTCCTCTCCTTTCTGTGGAGAAGAGAGAGAGGAGCGGGAAGCGCATGCCTCGATTTAACCCAACTCTTGATTTTCTTCTTTTTCATTTCTTCAAGAGTGGTAATCTTTTTTTTTTCTCTTTACTTTGTATGATTGGGTATATTTATAGATTTTGATGAAACGGGAGCAGACATGTATAAAATGTAGGAGAAAAAAAACGCACATAATGGCTAAAAAGACATTTCTCCATTACGGAAGCTGCTCGATGGAGTCCAATATATGTGACGACAACTTGTGAATATGGCTTGTGAAGAGAAGGTCACTCACACAGTATAGATCTGAGACTTGAATATAGAGTCGAGTCTGACTTGTGCAAGTCGTGTGTATGCTTGTGGCCAGCTGCAAGCCATGTGTCTAGGCTTGATGCATGACATGTCCTGTACCATGGCCCGAAGAGATCTGGAGGTCTGCTCTGGCTCTCGAATTTGGGGTTAGGGTCTCGGACAGCAGCAGTCACGGCGGCAGAGTCTTGCATGACGTGTGTGTCTTGAGCCATGTGGCCTTTGATAGGATGCTGCTCAGCTTTCGTCTTTATTTGGTCTTGTTTGCGTGTGCTGGATGTTTCATCTGTTGCCTTTAGCTTACTACAGCGTGGCACTGGTGCCGAGTTGCGGCTGTATTACACATGACACGGACGGTATTATCAATAACGGAAGACTGCCCTGTTGGGAGCATACTAGAAAATGGAAAGATGACCATTTTGTTTACTGCTCGATTATCCCTGCCTTTTTCTCAAGTAGATAGACAGACCACGGCGCTCTCTCTTCCAACGATTGGCATATGAGAAGTGTGGGCTGCAGCTGATGGCGGGGCAGCTTGGGGCGGCTAAACGGAGGTGTGCATCTGATGGCTCAGATGCCAAACAAGAGCCTTTTGTTTCTGCCTCATCTGCCGCCTTGCCTCAAAATTTGACTACTTCAATCTCGTGATGATGACAAGTGCACTATTCGCAGGATAAAGGCTGAGGAGAACTCTTGGCAACGTGGTGTTGGGCGTTTAGGCATTGCCGTGATGAGCATATGAGAGCAGCAAATTCAGGATCAAGGTTTGTGTTTCGGTGTTTCTTCACGGAAAGATGGGGTGGCATATTTTGTGATAGTAGTGTTTGGGCTCGCTCAAAGACGGATCGACCATTGAAAACAATAGGCGGGAATAGATAGGTAGAAGATGAGATACGAGCAGCAAAGCAGAGCTAACAAAGAAGAAAGCTCCGATGCAGAGCATGTTTCAACCAGGGGTCGCCTAGGCGCTACAGGGGCTTGGGGGCAAGGAGATGTTGGGCGTTTGGCATGCCCAAGCCGTTTTCTGATAGGGCTTGAAATTTTTTTTCTTTACAAAAAAAAAAAAAAAAAAAAAAAAAACTAGTCTCTGTGAGTTCTCACTGACAGTATTAGAACTGTAGCCATGATACGCCAAAAGAGGTTATGACATAACAATATGGCTGGCCTTGATATATCTGCAAAAACGAAGAGATATCCAAGGGCTGTCAGAAAAGCAGAAAAGACCCCGCTCACAGGGGACGACGAGCCATTGGCTCCCCCCTGGCATTCACTGTGGATCCGCCGCTCGTCTGGAGCCGACCCCTGCAGCATGTCGACAGATCTGTCAGCTGGCGGCGTGCTCTCATTGGCTGGACCCGGCAAACGCAGATGCTTTCGTCAAACGGAGCCTCAATAAGTTATTGGTATGCAACCCACCACCTGCCAGCCTGATGGGGCTTTATACCTTTCGTCTCGACCACTTGCAGATTCACATCCACGCTCATCGTCAATAACGCCCATAGACCATTTTTTTAATGCAAAGACGCCCATTGTCGAGTACTCACTGGCTGCTACAGTCTGCAGGATAATGGCATCACCGCGCTGCTCGTCGTAGCGCACCATTGAGATGCAGCGGTTATAAGTGACAGCCCACACACAGCACTACCTAGTGTCGTTTGCGTGTGTGATGGAGGTGCTGGAACCAAGAAGAAACAACAAGGAGAAACTTTAGACTAAACAGAAGACAAGGCAAACAAAAAAGAAAAAGAGACACCCCAGAAACGTACCTATCGCTTACTGGTACGACTGTTGGACGGCTGTGCCTGACCGACCCCTCCATCTCACTTGCCTATTTAGACATCCACATTCCCGTCGGCGGCGCCAGAAAGTCTCACTCGGACTACTCCCGCCTCACGCTGCACTTTTCCCAAGCCCACGACAACCTCGTCGTTTGCCTTATTTTTTTCCCTTTCCCCATACCATCTTTCCTTTGGTATATTACACTCCTTTTTCCCGCTGAGCTGGTTCTCGGCCTTTTCTTTCTTTTCCTTGTTTATCATCATCGCCATTATATAAGACAGTCCTTTCCACTGTCGATTAGGAGCCCTTCTCTCCTGCCTCAATATCGTCATTTCCGCTGTCTCGCGAGCTGGTTCCGAGATTCACTCCTCCCTGAGATACCCCAGTCCTTCCTCATCGACTACCTTCCCGTCTCGCGATTGACCTCAATTCGGCCTCACTCCGCCATCAATTTCACCACTTTTGCGAATCAACTCACAATCTTACTTTGCTTGGCAACATCAACACTCGCAAACATCCTTCCTTGATAAACAAATTCGAGACTACTTGTCTTTCAAGTGCTAGAAACGACACTTCTTTCACAGCATCTACATCGTCGCAAAATACTCAATCACTCTTTTTACAGTCACCATGGTTCGCTCAATGCTTCTCCTTGCCGTCGCCGCTACATTGCTCGGTCAGGCTGTCCAGGCCAACTATGCTATCGACACGGTCTACGACCAAAACAATTTTTTTCAAGAATTTATCCACTTCAACAAGCCCGATCCTACCCAAGGCTTTGTCGAGTATGTCGACCGGCCCACTGCCGAGGGTGCTGGATTGAGTGGAATTCGCGATGGTGCCATTTACATGGGCGTGGATTCTACCACCGTAAACCCTGCCAACGGTCGACGTTCTATCCGCGTCGAATCTCAAAAGACCTTCACCAAGGGTCTCTTCATTGTCGATATCGCCCACATGCCGTCCAATACCTGCGGTGTTTGGCCTGCCTTTTGGACATTTGGTCCGAACTGGCCCACGTCTGGCGAAATTGATATTATCGAGGGTGTCAACACGCAAACTCAAAATGCCATTACTCTTCATACTAAAGACAGGTGCCAAATGTCTGGAGCCTCGATTCTTGCCAACACCTTTGTCGGTGAAGTGGAATGCAACACCGCGACTGGCTGTGGCCAGCAGACGGGCGACAACCAAAACTACGGTGACGGTTTTAATGCCATTGGCGGCGGCGTCTACGCCATGGAGTGGACAGACTGGCAAATCTCTGTCTGGTTCTTTCCTCGCTCCAAGATTCCCGAGGACATTCGCAGTGATAGCCCCCAGCCCTTGACCTGGGGCGCGCCCAGCGCAGGCTTCTCCCCTGGCTCGACGTGCGACATTGGCTCTGCCTTTAAGGACCACAAGATCGTTTTTGATACCACCTTTTGCGGTGTCTGGGCAGGAGAAGTCTGGGCTGCCAATGCCGAGTGCTCTGCCAAGGCCTCTTCGTGCCGAGACTACGTCGCTGGCAATCCGCAAGACTTTGCTCAAGCCTACTGGAGCATCAACCACCTCAAGGTTTTCAAGGCTCAGTCTCTCTAGAAGACCACCAGTCTTGTTCCCTTGGTGCGCGATTCTGAGTACTAGGTGCCGGAAACTTGACAGTTCCGGTTGCTGGAAAGTGAGAAGCTGGCTTGGCAGACCTGGCGTTTGCTTGCTTGCCGAAACACTGACGATTTTATCATTTTGAGCAGTTCTCATGTTTATATTTTGCTTTGCTCGCTTTTTGTATTTATTTAGGATAGACTCTTGAGTGTGAGCAGTATATACCAATGCATCTGTGAATCCATTCAACCGCACCATGATGTTTTATAAACGTTGTCCATACAGGGTCATAGCTCTCGGGTGTGGGTTCGGGGGAAGATGCATTCAATTCGTGCTTTTGACTGGGCATCTAGATATCTGATGCAGGTATCCAAGTCACTACCACCAACCAACCACCCCCCACTCAAACTTACGAGGGCAATCTTCACCCCCCTCCGCGCCAACGGCACAAGCGCCGATTTTCCCACGGACACCTCGTATTTTACTGATTGAGAGCCCGATTAGACAAGACAGGATCGTCCTTGCGGCCGTATCATTGGTTAGAGTTGCCCGCAAAAGCAAACCATTGACGACGGTCCGTAAGCACGGTCCGGCACCGAAAAGGTTAAATATTAGAGATGCGTGGGAAGATCGGGATCGGCACACGGTAGCTGAAGACGGAAAAGTGGCAGCAAATCGTTATCAGATCTTTTGACTAATGGTGCCAACAAGAAGAAGAAGAAGAAGAAGAAGAAACAAAGTAAGAGATGAAACAAGAAGGAAAAGTCAGCAGGGCGATGTACATGCAACAATTCAAAAGAGAATAAATGAGAAATGGTCGAGGCAACTTGCTATTCATTTAGTAGTTCTCGACCTCGAGCTCTAGCAGGGCTGAGTTGCGCCACCAGGTCCAACATGAGCTAAAGCACGGTCTCGGTTTATCGAGAGCAAATTGAGTGATGACGTAGGTGACTATTATTTTTATTTCTATTTTTTTATTCAGAATCTTTCCAATTCTGATATTTTCTAGGCAGCTTGAGCTTACGCATCTTTGTAGAGCTACCCCCCGGTCCCATGAGCAAGTCGGCGGAGACTGCCAGACGCAACAACCTCCTATCCGAAATCAGCAAGTCAACTTTACGCATCACCCAATTCTCGATGCAAGATGCCCCCCTTTTCTTGTGTCATTTCTGTGGACATGTAATCAATAACCCATGAAATCATATACTCCCATCGCCGTATTTCCATCATGCAAAGTAACATTTAAAATCATGGTATCAAAACGAATCATACGTGCTTTCGCCGCCTCTTCGTCTCCGCCGTCCACGCATCCTCAAACAGCGTCTCCCTCTGCCCAACGTCCGCCGCGGCAATGCCCAGACGACGCACGACCTGAAAAGCGCCCGTCCCTACCGCCATGCCCTGGCCCATGATGATACCCTCGCTGACGCCCTCAATCTCGTCCGTCTTCATGCCCGCGGCGGCCTCGAACAGGTGGTCGGGCGTCTTCTCAAACGACGCGAGATGCAGCACGCTGTCGCGCATCTTGGACAAACCGAAGCGCGTGATGCCGAGAATCTCGCCCTTGAACGTCATGGCGTCGGCCAGCAGCTGCATGTGACGATGGTCAATCTCCATGAACTTCATAACCTGCTCAATCTCAAACGCAATCGTCGTGCGTGCCGCCTCAATGCCCAGCACATCGTTGCACTCGGTGACGCTGTTGGTGCGCACCTGCGTGCCGATGACGCCCTCGGTCGTCAGACACGCCTGGAAACCGTACCCCTCCACCAATACCCTGTGCGTGCCGTCCTCACACGTCTCAATAAGCGCCCTCGACGCATCCGGGTAGCCTGAAATGGGCAGCGCCGGCAGCATGCGCCGCAGCGCGTTGGCGCGCAGCAGCATGTCGCTCGTGTCTTCGGCGGCTTTACCGCGCGTCGTGCGCTTAGCCAAGACGCTGGCATTGTCGCGCACCCGAATGGAGATACGGTCGCCGATAATGGCCACGTCGGTCGCCTGAATCTTCATCTTGCGGTCTTTGCAGATGGCCTGCGCAATGTCATGGATGCCGATGCCGAGATGCATGTCTGCTAGCGCTTGCCTGTCAACCTGTACCACCACGTTGCCTTCATCGGGGCGCCACTCGTCTTCGATGTAGTGCAGCACGTCCTCCAAGAAGATCTTTTCGATTCGCGCCTTGACGACCTTGGCCGCCTCAATTTGTTGGTTGTTCATCAGGGGACACGTAATTACGGGAGTACTGATGAGCTTGGATGCGTTGATGATTTCCTTGATACGAGGCACACCCTGTGTGATACTCATACCGGCGACACCAGCAAAATGGAAAGTCTTCAACGTCATTTGGGTACCTGGTTCACCAATGGACTGCGCGCCGACGGCACCGACGGCATGACCCGGTTCTACTTGAGCCTTCTTGTACTTGTGTAGACACAGCTTGACAAAAAGCCGTAATGTCGTCGCTGTTATCTTAGCTGTGCGGTCGGCATGATCCTGTGCCGCTGCTCGCGTCTTTTCATTTCCGGAGAGGCCCGCCAAAGCACGAACTCTCTCCAGCTTGTTGATCAGGACACCAACAAAGTCTTCCACTTCGGTGATAAACTTTCTGGCCCCTTCGTGCTCATCGACAGCATAGTCGCTGTCATCCTCGTAGTCGAGCTCCTCGCCATGCAGAAGACCCTTTCGAGGAAATCGTTTCCGCTCATTGATTAACATATTGGCACACAGCTCGCGCGCCTCATTCGGGGTGAGCGCCGCCTCATTATTGTCCCAGGTAGTATTTTCTGCATGCCGCCATGTGCGAACGAACTGCACCGGTGCACCAGAGCCTTCCATATCCACAGGGTCTAGCCGATCACCACCAAACTGGAACTGAACGACTGTGCCGCCAGACGTTCGAACTGTATCATCGTATTGAGTGGAGAGATCTTCCAGAGACTTCATCAATCGGCGCGACATGTAACCAGTTTCGGCAGTCTTGACAGCGGTATCGACTAGACCTTCACGACCAGAAATGGCGTGAAACAGAAATTCTGTGGGATAAAGACCAGTGTAGAAACTGTTCTTGACGAAACCCTTGGAGGGGGGCTGTCGGGCATTTTTGAAAAAGTGTGGCAGACTACGGTCCTGAAAACCATCAGGAACTCGCTGACCTCCGATAATCTGCTGACCGACCAAGGCCACCATCTGAGCGACGTTGATATCCGAACCCTTGGAGCCGGACTTGGCCATGATAAGCGGGGCATTGTTGCGGCTCAGCGTATCGACACAGTAGTCACCAGCCTGCTGTCTGACCTTGGAAAGGATGCCAGAGATGGAGTTTTCCAGCGTTTGTTCCAAGTTACAGCCAGGTGACTTCTCGAGCTTGCCTGCTTTGAAACTTTCAATGAGATCGTCACACTGTGCATAGGCAATCGACACGAGACGCTCAACCTCTGCAGTGAGGCTTCCGGTGGGGAAGACATCACCAACACCGATAGAGAAGCCTCGGTTTGTCAGAGTTCTGGCGCATAGTCGGGCCAGGCGATTCATAGCTGTTGCAGCATGGTCTGCTCCGAAATCACGCAGCATGACATAAAAGACGGAATCTTTTTTTCCAGTTCCTACTGTCGCCTTGTCCATTACACCACACATGACTTCGGAGTTGCGGACCACCAACCAACCGTCGTTGGGATCCATGTCGGGTATGTTCTTGGACTTGCCAGAAAAAGTCTTGCACTTGGACTCGAAATTGATCCTGATCTTTGATTCCTTGTTTGGCCGCATCATGACGTTGAAGAGCTGTTTTCCGGTCCACAGCGCGACTGGAGCAATGATGGTCGGCGGCGGGAGGTCGAAACGCGTATTGGTCTCGAGCATGTGCATGCACATGTATGTGAAAGTTTTGCGATCAAAGAATCTGTCTTTGCTGCTGAGTAGAAAGGCAGCTGTGATGAAATCCTGAGTGGCTCCAATGATGGGCGCTCCGTCCTTTGGAGTTGTAAGGTTGTGTCTGACACCCATCAAAGTGATGGCTTCGGTACGGGCTTCTTCTGTTTGTGGAACGTGAAGGTTCATCTCGTCGCCGTCGAAATCGGCGTTGTAAGGATTGCAAACACACTCGTTGAGTCGGAAAGTTCTCCAAGGGCGCACCTTGACAAGATGGCTCATGATACTGAGCTTGTGCAGTGAAGGCTGACGATTGAAGAGAACAATATCGCCATCCTCAATGTGACGCTCGACAACATCGCCAATTCGCAAATCTCGTGCTACCATGTTCCTATTGCCGAACTTGAGATTAATCTTGTAGCCACCTTCATCCATCTTGATAACGCTCTGCGCTCCTGGCCAAACATCAGGGCCATTCTTGACGCATTGCCGAAGCTTGGCCATATTTTGGCGTTGAACTCTTTCGGGATATGTGAGGTTCTTGGCGACAAGCTGAGGGATGGCGACCTCATCAATGCCGAGGTTGGGATCAGGAGAAATGACGGTTCGACCGGAAAAGTCGACACGCTTACCAGACAGGTTACCACGGAAGCGACCCTGTTTACCCTTGAGACGCTGGCAGAAGCCTCGCATGGCTTTGCCGAAGCCAGGCTGCTGTAGGCCAGGAACATCACTGTTGACGTACATGGCGATCTGAGTCTGGAGGTACTCCCATTGTTCCATGATTGTCTGGATTGCGGATCCCTTTTGCAAGGCCGATCGGATCATGCCACTGACCCAGACAATGTCGGCGAGCTTTGTGGTAATGTCGTCTTCGTTGCTGGCATTGTCCTGTGCAACAGACGGCCTAATGCAGACGGGCGGCGCAGGCAGGAACTGCCATATGAACATTTCGGGCCGGCCCTCTGTGGCATTGAGGCCAAGAAGCTCGCAGTCGGTAGCAGTAATCAGCTTGAAGAGGTTCAAGACTCGCAGAGGGTTGAGATCCTCCATGGCCTTGCGCAGATGCTTTTCGAGTTCTGGATTCTCGCGCTTTGCTTCGGTGAAGGACGCGTCAAAGAGAATCTTGCTTTCAGGCGGGACCTTCTTGATGGCTGTGGATTTATTGTAGGAAATAAACTTGTCGTGTACCAGCTTCAAGACGCCAAACTTGCGAATCTGTCCGTTGACAGAGCCGCAGTAAGGGCAGTTCTTGGTCTTTCTGCATTGCTCGTTGATTTTCTTGCATATCTGGGTGCGTCGCAGGTTGTCAATGAGCGGTCGGCGGAGCTCGGAGAGGAACTGTTGGCGCTGTGGCTCATCGAGCAGGACTCGGCCGCAGTCTTTGCAAATCTCTTGCAGAATGGAGATGATGAAGCGCAGATAGCCTACGTGGAAGACGGGCAAAGGAAGCCTGACGTATCCGAAGTGGCCGTTGCAGTTTTGCAGGGATTCGTTGCAAGTGGCGCATTTGCCCGTCTTGCTCGAGGTGCCGAGTTGATAATCGAGGGGTCCGTTCTGGTATGGAGCACGGTTGTTTTCGATGTCGTAGAGTAGTCGGTTGGAAATCTCGGTCACGGCCTGGTTGGAAATATCTTGGTTGGACCTTGGGGACAGTCAGGACGGTCAATCACAAAGATGGTGGTCTGAATAGGGCCTTACTGAATGCCAAATTTGATGCCGCGAAAGCGCTTGGGCACCTTGTCAACAAGCTGCTGCTTGACACCGGCATCGTGAACGTGCGCCATGCCGCCGGAAGAGCGAGCAGCAGTGTCCGGCGCTATAACATGCGGCTGCTAGATGGTGTAATGGTATTAAGAGTGCAATATGCAATAAATTGCCACCGGGATTCAAGACTGTCGTCGCAAGAGTGAAAGATGCAGAAAATTTACCAGTTTGCGGCCACTGTTGGTGGAGTCTTAGGTCGTACCCCACCATTCTAGGTGTCTGCCAGCTCCCCGCCGCCCGCCATGCCGGGAATAATTAGACAATGCGGCATAACTACCGTTAGCAAGTCGATGAAAGCCAAAAGAAGCTTACAATGTCAATGTTTATGCCGATAATAGTTTGAATGTGAATTCTGTTCGACATCAAAGTCATTGCTTTTTCTACAAAATATAGCTGTGCCAACTTTTCGATCGATTAGTCCCCTGCTTCGCGCGAAGATGGGTAATGGAGCTTGCAGAACTTGCAGAACTTACATAATTACAATCGAGATGATGCCCGAATGAGCCTCAGTAAAATATAGCAAGTTTGCACCTATTTGCGAGCATGCCAATTCGTACTGACCTTGGATTCTCCGAGTTGTGCAGCAAAGAGAGCTCCCTGCTCGCTCCACTGTTGCCGAACGTTACCAGCGAGCATCTTCTCTTTCTATGTTGCAGAATACAGACTGCTGATTAGATCAGACTATTTACTATCTTCTTCGCTGTCCTCGGCGCTCTTGTTGCAGAGCTTAGTTGATCCGGTACTTAGGTCTACATCCACACCCTAGACACCATGATCTGCTACTATGACGAGTACAGGCTTCACAAATCTCTTACTCTGGAAAATTTCATGACTGTGGCCCTCTCGGTGTATGGAGGAAGACCATGAAAGTCAGAGTTTCCGTTTCTATGGTTGCCGTTGCAGAAAACTTTCCTCCTGTTCCGACTTCAGGTCAGATGTCTCGCCTCGGCAACTGAGGCCAACGTTGATTGACTCGGGCTAATAATGCTCGAGGATGTCCGGACAGCAAGTCCAAGAATTGGCCGCTCTGCCAATCAACCATGACACCCAGTCTTTTTACCGGCACTTTACTTGCAAACAACATGTCGAGCGGCTACATAATCAAACACAGTTTGTTTCCCTCCGGCGTCCCGGACTAGAATTCGGCCGAGCAGGCAGAATGGCTGGCCGCCTCCGTCCAATGGCTGGCCGCCCCGTCCACCAGGTGCGCCGCGCCCATCGCTGGCTGGAGGAGATTGGGGCCGAGGGGCCGGAGCGCTACTTGGATCGGAAAAGTCCACTGGCGCTCACTAGGTATCGGGACGACGTCGGTGGGGAGCTTTTGCCGTCACAGCCATCCACCCGAGCTCGCGGCGGCCTTACAAGGCTGTAAGTTGACCAGGTAAGAGCTAGCTTCCGTGCCGCCGTCATCTTGTCCATTTCAAATCTGCTCTTCTCTCTCAACCCAAATCTTGCCCATTCATACCTTTCCCCCCCTTCCCCGAGTCAATTCGTTGTATACACATTCATACAACCGTCGCAATGGCTTCCCTTATTGGTCTCGATGTCACCAAGAACCTCTCCTACTATACGGTACGCTCTTCTTCGGGTCTTCGGAGCGCACACGCGCACTGTTCCATTGGCACTCCGCGACTTGCGCGTCTTACACCCAGATGAAATGCCAACCAAAGTCTCGGCCGCTAACGCACGCAGGTTCCTGCGGCCCTCGTCGCCTGCATGCTGCCTCACGTCATCGCCGTCACCGGCGCGAAGGACACCTATGATAAGGCCTACCCCCGCAGCCTCAGGGACAATGTTGAAAAGAGCGATTCCATCGACAAAGAGGTACGTCTTTGATGGAAAACTCGCCCAAACAGTTTGCATCTTGACCAATTAAAAAAAAAAACTCCTCCCTCGTCTCGTTTTCTTCGCTAATAGTTCCCGTTGCAGGCCAAGCAGCGCATCGTACGCGCCAAGGCTGCTTCCGAGAATGGCTTCGAGACCATCGGCCTCTATGCCGCGGCCGTCGTGGCCGCCAACGCCGCGGGTGTTGAAACTTCCCTTCTCAACCGCCTGACCATTGGCTACGTCATCAGCCGCTACGCTTTCGTCTTTGTCTACGTTCAGCTCGGTGCTAACCGCAACGCCGCGCCGGTCCGCAGCCTTACCTGGTTCGCTGGCATCAGTGCCATCGTCGCTCTCTTCATCAAGGCCGGCAACAAGGTCGCCGCTTAAATGTTTGAATAAATTGTGTACACTATGCAGACCAAGATGAGCCAAAATCAACAGAGCACTGTACGATTGGAATATGATAATAAGCAGGGTCATATACGACTCCTTACTTAAAATAAATAAATTGCTCAATAGTCGAAAATTCAAAGACGTCAAGTCGCTCAAGGGTATGAGATGATGGCAGCTCCATTACCAACCGAAATACACTACTCAAATTGAGTGTCCAAGATACCGTTCCGGGTATAGGCCCGCCTACTTAGCGAGGAACCACCGCGTGCTCTTCGTCATCCCCAACACTGGCTGTAGATGCGCTTTTCCCGTCCAGGTCTCTGACGTAGAATGCCGATGCTAAAACAAACAATCCGCCAATAGCGAGCACCAAGGCAATACTCGTGTCGCCAGGCGTGCCGCGCGGCTTCTGCCAAATCTTGAAGATGATGCTGGATCCTACGTTGGCGAGGATTTGTGGCGCCGCAATGGACATGTTGTGTATGCCCATGATAACACCCGCCTCATCCTGGTCCTCACCGACTTCAACGACGGGAGCTACTTCTTCGCTCTGTAGTCGCTCTAGAGATGCGAGCTCGGCTGGCTCCCGCGCTCGCTGCTGCTTCTGAGCACGCTGCAGCACATCACGGTGGCTAATCTCGGCACTGATGATGGCATAAGGAGCCCACAGAGTCATGGCCCAAGTGATGCCAGCAATACCAATCAGTGCGGTGGCAGCTTCCACGGATCGTACAACCAGCGTGCACAGCATGGCTCCGGCAAAGAGGACCAACGATCCGAACCAAGCTCTGTTTAGTGTGAATCCGGGAATTCGTAGACGGTCGAGCATGGTGCGTTTCTGATTGCGTAGCTGGTGATACGCTGGCGCAGGCTGGCTCATGGCTGCCTGGCTATCGTATGTGGGCGCAATAAAGAAGGGCAGGAGTACATTCGTGAGAAGGCTCACGATTGAGTTTACGAGGAGCGCGAACGATCCAATGCGAGTCGCCTGCTCGTAAAGCTCATCAAGCTCTTTTGGTGTCATGTGAGGGTTTTTCTCGAGGTGCGGCTGAACATATATCTCGCCAATATAAGACGACGAGTAAAACAGCAGAGGAAAGAAGCCAACCCAGCCGCAGAACTGCACCTGGCAAACGCGCTTGATTTGTGGGGGCAGGCGCTGGATAGACTTGAAGAGTGTGATGAAGAAGGCAAATACCCCTGGATTCTTGGGTGCGGCCGCGCCATGTTCGCGCGGGTCCCGTTCGTGTACGGTGACGCAGCTGATAATAACTGTGATTGTCAAGGATATGCTGGCAATGGCACAGAGAATCTGGAACTGAGTGTGACCAAAGAACCAGAGCGGCTTGGTCAAGTTGACGTAGCCAGCAATGAAGCCGAGGATGTTGCCGATGCCAATAAGTCGGCTGGCCATTGCGTTGGCCGCTTCTTGTTGATGAGCTGGGCCACAATCTACAATGAAGGCGCGTATGGCCGCCTGGAGAGCATTGATGGCAAAATCAAGAACATAAATGCCGATGACGGCGGCCACGATGATGGTCGTCTTGGCAAATTGCGAGTCGTCTTGAACACCGAAAAGCGACAAGATACCGCCGATAATCTCCTTGACCCAGGACAGAAACAAGAGCGAGAGGACCGTGCCGATTGTGCCGCCGACCATGAACGGTTTGCGCTTACCCCACGAGATGCGGCAGTTGTCACTGAGGATGCCAACATATGGCTGCACGAGCGTGCCCGTCAGGGGACCAGCAATCCAGACAAGGGCCATGAGAGACTTGCTCAACCCGAGCGAGAGCAGGTAGGGCGAGCCGTTGGAGAGCTCGACAGACCAAGCGATTTGCAAGCCACCGATGGCGAGAGTCAATAGTGTGAGATGCCACACACTCTTGGTGGTCTGGCTTGGGTCGGCAACCTGCGTCCGTCCATCGGAGCCGGCGCCACCTCCATCAGCATCGCTGGCTGCTAGCAGCGGAGAGTCCTCCCGAATCATCTCCAGCTCCTGATCTGGCTCCGGATCCAGGACATGAAGGCCGCTCTCTTGGGCCGCCTCGCTGAGCGGCTCGTCTGGCGATGCAGCACCACGAGACGTCGAATCATGAGAGACCATTGTGGCTCGCCGACCGATGTCGTATTGTCGCCGCAGCACTGAGTTTAGGGGTTGCGGCTGTGATCTCGGCGTCGGCAATGTTCACGATATCTGTGTGTAGCTACTCAGGAGTGCCTGGCGTTGGCAAGCTTGGCTAGCTAGCCCGCATCCGCAGCGGCCAAAAGGTGCGTCGTGTCCTGCGGTGAACGAGGCGAGACTGGGCGAGCAGGAGGCAAAGTAGAGCCAAGGCTAGGCTAAGAATAATGATGGCTACGAGTGCGTGATGATCAGTAGCCAGATCATGTATTATTTGTTGTTTGGGCTATGCCGTTGTCGGGCGTGTCGTGTGTACAAAGAGGCACGGCAGTCAGCAGGGTTGAATGTACGTAAGGTAAGTCATCACCTGGTCCGATCCTGACCAGTCACGAGCGAGCTGCTGATCTGGACAAGTTTGTTACCAAAGGAATCGCGGCGATGAGGCCCGACTCGGTATGGCAGTGATGAGAAAAATTCCTCCTAGCAAAAATTCATGGTCGGCGTCTCCTGGAAAGATTGTACCTAGATGATGAGCAGCCAGAGCAAGGTGAGCATGCTTTCATGTTTAATGCAACAAGGATATTGAGAGGCACATCCTCAGGCCCTCCTCAGGCCCTCCTCAGTCAAGCAAGCGCTAAAAATAGAGGGTCGCCTCACCTGCAGCAGACTATTACAGTGGGCGACAACGGTGCCAAAGGTGCGCGGCTGGCAGCCTTATTTGGAGTTTCGAAACAGGCATCAAATGCGTTTCAGTAGAATGGCTCATGCGCGCAATTCAATGCCCCCGTCGGTATGAAACTTTCGCCATCACGTCCGCCTCTTATCTTGGAATCAGACGTCGCCGGCTATCGTTTCGAGTCAGTGGGTGGCAAAGAGGACTTGCAGCAAGTTGCCTTGCCCTGACGCCATGACGGCGCAGCGAGATAAAGGGAGAATTGGCCAAGGAAGAAAAAAATCGTATTCGAGACGGAAATGCAGATTATGCATGGAAACAAACGAAGTTGTTTCGTCTCTTCTTGAGAAGGTTTGGCAGCTGTTAGCGCCAAAGCGTACCTGCGCAACGCAAGGCACCGCTATGTGGACAAGAGAATGCCCTGTGTAACTATGAGAATGCCTTTTGGTGAATATTCACCTCTGCGATTTCTTTCCCCTTTGTTGTGGCTGGCTCAGCTCTAACAGACCCTTACCCTGCCTTCTCGCGCTATGCTTCTCGCCAGTTGACTCTAATGTTAAAGCAAGCTGTGCGTGTCGTGGCGCAATTGTAGATTCGACAAGTGCAACTTCTGTTGCAAGCAAGACCCAGAAAACAGCTTGATGTGACACTCGAGACTGAAGAAGGTGGTCGTAGCACTCAAAATGCCCCACCGAAGTAGAAGAAATAAAAAAACAGGAAAAGAAGAGAGAGTCGTCGAGTATGTTAGCAGAAGCCGGTTGGCCGGCTACCGACGTATGCTGACGGCTCTTTGCTGGAAGCGAGCTTCGGCATTTGCAACGAGATAGTGGGGTGTGGTGGTCCAATATTGTACTCTGGCGCCGGTGATGGATGCAGCATGTGTGTAAATAGTTATTATATCTGGATATAATATGACTTGTAAACACGACTATTTTCTCTTCTTGCATGAAAAGCCTCCGGCGAAATGAGTGGTTCCCGTGTCATCAGACTCGCCGCATTCGGTTCAACACATTATTCCCAGACTCAGTTTCTTGGCCAGATATCTGTCAATGCCATCACCTGTGCAGCGGCATGGCAAGTCTGGACCGCGACTTGCAGGCGAAGCATGACAGCCATGGGCAGAATGCTATTCCTATCTCGTCAGATAGACGACCGTTTATTAGCCTACAGGCTCCACTGAAATGCACGATATCCGCAATCAGGAGAGATGGAAGGCGATTATTAGGCTACTAAATAAGCTCGTGACTATGCCTACGTACGCCGACAGGCCGAAGCCAAACCTTGCTGCTCAGTTTATAGCTTCAGCTGAAAACTTCAAGCCAAACTATTGCATGTATCTCCAGTTCCATGCATAGGAACTACGTCAATCTATTTTTCTTGCGCGGTAGCATGCCAGACGAGGGGATGAAAACGGCCGACTCTGGCATTTGATGCAATGAGTGAGATCTCGAATTCAAGTATAAATAGTCTTGATGATTTCATCTGTATTTCAATTTGGTGCATCAATCTAGACAACCATACTCATATTTCTCCTTCTATTCAAAAATATCAATATCACCTTTTCACAATCATGAAGCCCACCACTATGCTCATCGCCGCCTTTGCCGGCCTTGCCGTGGCTAGCCCTATTGGCAACGAGGAAGGACTCGAAAAGAGATACACAGACTGGCCAGGTTGCATGGTGACCTGCTCTCCGGGCACTTGCGCGATAAAGAATTGCTATCAGTGGTGCACGAATGTCTGCTGCAAGATGTATCCTACATATTCGGCGTGCTCTTAGGCAGACAACTTGGGTTCTTGCGCATTTTGTGTTCAAGGTACATGGAGATGAGAGACGTCACGTCAGGCGATCCTATGGCAGTTTATCGACGGAACTCAGTCTCACCATCAGACTGCCGGAGAAAATGACAATTTGCTTGAGCATAAACATGTTGAGGCGGAGGGTTACATAACAAGAATACAAATTACGTTGGGACACCATGTGTTTTGTGCGCTATATTACAAGTGTGTTAATTTTGTGTACGCAAGCGGCCATCTCCTCGGCAGATCTAGAAATTTGCAACGCCGCGGTCTGCATTACGTGCTGAGCCCTTGCCACCATTAATGCTCCGGCGCTTCCATGATGCTTGTCGGGCGGCCTATCCCACTGACGCGACGACACTCATGCTAGTTACGGAGATGCAGTGAGCTAGGCGAGGCGAGGCGAGGCGAGACTCTTTACTGACGAGGGTGCGTTGCGGTGGTACAGTGCCATGGCTGGCCGGAAATACTCGAATAGTTGTGCCGCCTTGTTTACATAAAGTCTCGAACCGCGACGCGATGGGCCGGCGTGTTTCGTTGATCACAACAAGTGAGGGTGCGTCATGTGATGACGAGGAGCTGTAGCACCCATGTATTCAATTGGTATTTCATGTTGAAAAAGGCACAAGTCGGTTGGCCGAAAGCCTGGCGACCCGGCAACCAAATTATCAATGATAAGAATGATACGCCATTGATAGTTACCACGAGGACGATACCTAGAAATCGACATGATCCAGGGCTTGGTAGCCTTTTTTTCAGGCTAACTTTCCGCCTAGAAAGTGCAGAGAAGCGCTAATGCTGGCTTTGGTGGCCCGAAATCGATAAGGCGACTGGGCGGCAGTGCCTAAATAAAGAGCAGAAGTCTGCGTCGAGTTTCTGTCAGGACGGCCCGCTTTTGAATATTCCACGTCGAAAGACTCCACTCGCTGGTCCTTTTTTTCTCTTATGATCAAGCGCGCTTTCGAGTTTTTCTTGGATTTGATTAATGGTCGTCTTTAAGATGGATAGGTATTTCCGGGGACGGGGACCTAAATATTTTCTGTTGCGGTGACGCAGTGCTGGACCCTCCGTTTGGCTTGGACTGTGTGGACACGGGTACGTACCCAGACTCCAGCTTTTTCTGGCCCTGTCATTAAGCCCGTGGCCTTTTATTTACTTTTTCTTGCTCAAAAAATGCATGCTAGCAAAACAAGCAAAGAATTAAATTAGCAAATAGAAAAAGAAAAAGAAAAAGACAAAAAGCAACAAAAAAAACGATCCAACCTATGATGGCGCTGACTGAGCAGTCAACCTGGGCGGCGGTCGGGGATACCCGCTTTCTGCCACGAGCCCTGACATGGCTGGTCACTGTACCTGGCGGCCCAACCGTGCAGCCACGGGTGGCTTCCGCGGCACGCAGCCAGCCCCGTCAAGGGACCCTAACGACTGCTGCAGCGATGGTATGAAACTCAAGTATCTCCCTGGATCCGCCTTCCGCCCTTTGATGGGTCTCTCATCAGGCACGCTGTAGCAGTACCTTGATACTTTTGCGCGTGTACCTGGACAACTGCTCGACTGACCCAGACTGATCCAGGCTGACCCAGGCTGCCCCTGAAGTTTTGAACCCCCTGCTGTTCCTATGTGCCAATGTGCCACCAGGCCACAGGCTCACGCTCGAGGTCGGCACTGGCGTGTTCGTTGTACTGACTTGACCTTCCAGGTAATTCTTACAAGACAAGCCATCGTTGCTTTTCTCACGCATCCTGTGACACTCTTGTATTTTCTTTGCTTATTACTGATATTTGCCCCTACAAAATGTATTACTTTCCCCTTCTTGTCAGCCCAGGTACGACTTCGCGTACAACCAACTGTTGGCTCAGGTACCACTGTACCAGCCCGATGCGCGAGCCTGCAGTAAATAAGTAGTTCTTCGGTAGCAATTTACTAACTACCTAGGTACCGAGCTTTCGCTATGGCGACACTCTTGCCTTGCTTTCACTCTCTAGCGATGGTCACTTTCATGACGAAAAAAGCAGTTTTGGATATCGGGTCGGCACATCTACCCTCAGTATAGGCGCTTCAGTCCTGCTGTTGACCTCGTACTGGGCCTCGCCGCTGCGGCTGCGACAAGCGACTGGACAGCGATGAGCGAGTCCCCTTTTCTTGTTTCCTCCGCTGTTTGATGGCTTGAGTTGTTCCCTCGGGCCTCGCCCCCTTGACATTCCCCACGCGGCCACGCCCACATTCTCGCCGTAACGCTGTGCCTTGTCTGAATTTTGGCAGGCTTTTCAGCTAACTTATTACTGCGACCACTGCGATTCAGTGCCCGCCCCCCGCCCAAAAGCGTAGTGGGCCACAAGTAGATTTTCGCAAAGTCACCATACAACCGCCATATATTTGCTGCTCCAAGTTACCTGTACCTAGACATTGGTACTGTCACCGTCGCTACCAGCAAGTGCCTAGGTACCTACCTGAGGCTACCTGAGGCTACCTCCGTGTGCTGTGGTACCAAGCTACGCCCGCTCCCCTCCCTCTTCGTCTCACCTGGGCCGTTCTCACCGTTGCCTATGACTTGCTCGCAAACATCACACATTCTTCGCTGTTTTTCTTCGAAGCCTTGAACCCATTTCACGCGATCGCTCGTCGACGCAAGAAAAGGCTTCTTTGGCTCAACCCTCTAGCACACCAACCCAGGAACCGCCGCGCACTACGGGACTAATATCCGCTGTGTTTCCGCAGCTTCCAGGTACCCGAGGGCGGCACACGCATACTCACACCACCAGTCCACCACCACCACACACCCTGGCGGCGACGCCAACGATCTCCTTTTCCCCTAATATCACCGCTATCCACTCTGCAATTACACTCACTCCAGTCGCTCCTTTCTTCGCATGAGCCGTGCTCTGCGTCCAATTTCCAATCTCTATTCCGCATCTGTGTCTTGCATACAGAAACTATCCTTCTGCATCGTCCCGCCACAGATACGCTGCTTCGACGTAACACCAACCGCCACGCATCATCGTCAATTCGACTCGACGCGACTCAATCCATTCTCACCCACGCCCTCGCCAGACCTCTCTTTGCATGCAACCACAATAGATCGCAGGCTCTCCCGCTGAGCCCACTCACGGTCTTTCCTCAGGCTCTCCCGTTCGTTCAGCTCGAATTGGTCTGACCTGATAGGATCCCTATCCCTACCTATCCGACCTGCAGACATCCTCTGCAGACCACCAACACCCGTTACAGCTTCCTCAAAATGACCGTTGCTGGCGACCTCACTCACCGTGGCCAGCCCCACAACTCGCTGGCTCTCGAAGATCGCTTCGAGGTTCTCAAGGAAATTGGTGACGGCTCTTTTGGTAGCGTCGTGCTCGCCAGAGTTCGCACTGCTGGTGCCCATGTTGCCCGCCGCGGCTCCGTCGTATGTTGACCCTCGTTGGCCCTCCTGCCCCCATCTATACCATGATGCTGACTGCTACTCGTCAGGTTGCCATTAAGTCTATGAAAAAGACATTCGACTCGCTACAGCCATGTCTCGAGCTCCGCGAAGTCGTCTTTCTCCGAACCATCCCCCCTCATCCTCACCTCGTCCCGGCCCTGGACATTTTCCTCGACCCGTACAGCAAGAAGCTGCACATTTGCATGGAATACATGGAAGGCAACTTGTACCAGCTCATGAAGGCCCGTGACCACAAGTCTCTCGACAACGCTAGCGTCAAGAGCATACTGTTGCAGATTATGCACGGTCTCGAGCACATTCACGCCCACCAGTTCTTCCACCGAGACATCAAGCCAGAAAACATCCTCGTATCTACCTCTTCACATCAAGAGTCGACAAACTCTTTCCGACGCTACTCCGCTCTCGTTACACCGCCCTCAACACCACCAGCATACACAGTCAAGCTTGCAGATTTCGGCCTCGCTCGTGAGACCCACTCTAAGCTGCCATATACAACCTACGTCTCTACGAGATGGTATCGCGCCCCTGAAGTTCTCCTTCGAGCTGGCGAGTACTCTGCCCCTGTCGATATCTGGGCTGTTGGTGCCATGGCTGTCGAGATTGCCACCCTGAAACCGCTCTTCCCTGGAGGAAATGAAGTGGACCAGGTCTGGCGAGTTTGCGAGATCATGGGTAGCCCTGGTAATTGGCACAACAAGGCCGGCCAGCGCGTTGGCGGTGGAGAGTGGAGAGAGGGCAACAGACTTGCCAGCAAGCTTGGCTTCTCCTTCCCCAAGATGGCTCCCCACGCCATTGACACAATTCTGCAAGCCCCTCAATGGCCTGCATCCTTGGCCAACTTTGTCACTTGGTGTTTGATGTGGGATCCAAAGGCCCGCCCTACATCTGCGCAGGCCCTGGCACACGAATACTTTGCTGATGGCGTCGACCCTCTTCGCCCCAGGTCGGCTGCTTCCAAGATTCTCGGTCGCAAGCAGTCCGACCTTGCTCGCCCAGCCAAAGAGTCATCCTCGGGAATTACCTCATCGAGGTCGTCCTGGTTCCGCAAGTCACTCATCGGTAGGAGTGAAGCTCCTGAGACAGTGGCTGCCAAGGACCCTGCCCCGAGGCCGGCTGTGGCACACGCTGCCTCTTCCAACGACCTCAAACAGTCGCGCACTAGCAAGCGTAGTACATGGACAAATGGTCTGTCCAACGTCGCTCCTATGCCAATTCTTCCCAGCATCCGGCCCATCTCGCCACTCTCCGATGCCGTTACAGCTCGTGGCAACAATGGACCAGCCGATGCTCCACCACCCGTTGGTGTCACGCAAGAGAAGAAGAAGCTCGGAAGACAACTTTCTGTCGCTTCTAGCACCAACAACTATAACACTGAAATGCACCGCCAGCAGGCTGAGCGTGCGCTGAATGGTCAGAGTGGTCTTGCCTCGCCTCCTAGTGGCCAAAAAGAGAGTTTCTTCTCGCATCTTCGCAAGCGCGCCCGTCGATTCTCCGGTCGCCATCAGACCCCCGTTTCGCCCGCCTTTGAAGAAATGGAGGCACAGGTCGGCTGCGGCCCCTGGAACAGTAACAGGTCATCCTTGGTTATGGATCAAAATGTGGCCCCAAAGCCTGAGGTGTACGACTCGCTTGGTCGTGCTCTCCAGAACCCGCAGAACGGCGGTGCCCCAGCTCCTCCCATGCACCACACTTCATCAGCCAGCAAGCTCAAGCGACACCATTCCCTTCCTCAACAGCAGCCTCGCTCTGTCGATAACCTACTCAGTGCTGCGCGGGGCGGCCCAATCTCAAGTCGCACGCGTCGCTCACAGGCAACTCACGGTATTCACCAGTACGAAGCACCCGCCGAAGAAGACGAGTTGCTGGACGAAGTCCTCAACTCCACTCAGCATGCCATGAACCGCCTGGACGGGACCAGCCGCAAGCCTCTCCGCCAATCAATCAGCAACATTGGCTTGACATCGCAACCGTACCCTAGCCCATCACCATCCGCTAGCGGCAGTCAGATTCTGTTTGTTGATGGGAGCGAAACCATGACTCCGAGACCATTGGACCTCGGCAAGAAGAACAATAGCCAATACAAGTGGCCTACACCACCATATGAGGGTGGCGAATGGAATTCTTCTAGCTCCAACAACCTTTGGGCGGCCGGGAATCGGATATAAGTACTTGGAGAACTGTGACAGCTTTCAAAGTTGATGCTATGTGCATTAATGCCACCACCTTCACGGATTTCCACCTATACCTACCGACACAGCCTTGACATAGCAACTGTACCCTTGTTGTACTAGCTTTGCATTAATCATGTTGGCCACTATATCGAACTTTCGACCAACCGCTGCACACTCATTTACTGTCGACCCGTTCTAATATTTCCTTTTTCTGCGACACCATTTCCTTCAACATGCAAGCTTTGGATTTACTTCACATCTGCAGCGACCTGCATACACATATTTTCCACAATACCCCCCTATAGACTTTGCTGCTTGAGACTCTGGGAAGGCCTCTACAATATTCGGCCCCAAGAGAGAAACTCTCACTACTGCGGTTTCCTTTGTTGAATTTTCACCACTACTCTCCTATATCTCCGGGAGGCTTTTTTTCTTACGGTGCATGGCGTTTTTCTCATTGGGTTGGGCAAGTAGCCAAAGAACGCTACGCAGGATGCAAAAAAAAAAAGGAAAAGAAGCAAGAAGAGAGGAACCTTGAGTTTGGACTTGTCATACTGGCACTGTTTTGCTGGTAAAAAGATCTACTCGACAACCCTGGCCATTTCCTGAATAACAGTTGTTCCCAAGGTCGACACGAGCCATCTTACCTTGTTGAAGACCTGTTGCGTCTATCTGGATCACAGGTGCCAGCTGGATGAAGAAATGGCATTACTGCTTTGGGCAGAATCTATACATATACTATACCTGTATCTAATATGCGCTTGTGTTGGAAGAGGAGGGATGATGCGGACGGGCTCTGCATGGAAGGCTTAGAAGATGAATCAAAGGAATCGAAGCGATCCTGTCTCAATGCCATGGATACTTCTCTGTAGAAAATGAGATCAAAGAGAAAAGCTCCATGCCTTTCGTATCTCGCATTGTAGCCGACATATTTATTGGTCAAGCTGATGTTGAATCGGGTTCGTCAAACGTCACGTGCAGACAACAGGCAACGAGGCTGCGAGCCACAGTAATAAGAAGGTTGGCGGGGATGAAGTGCCCTTTTGGTGGGGTTTTCGGGGTTTTAGAGCTCGTGTCCCCAAGAGCCACCTCAGGTCCGTCCTTGGCTAGCAACAGGCAACAGGATAAATTGCCCATGCTGGCGACCTCATAAGCTGTCAGGCATTTCTGCGAAACCTTATACGCCTAGGTGTTTTACAAAGGATCTGAACCTGCATCTTCTCGCTCTACTGCGTCTTCCCTTTCCGCTGCCTTGACCAGCTCACGATTCAGTCAGTGTGCCAGACTCGTCGTCACCCCGCTATCTGGTTAAACGGGCACGACGAGCCCAGTCTCACGCTCAACGGTCGTGCGCTGTGTTGGTCAAGACTATTTGCAACATTCAATTGGGGGGTTGTCTTTCTGCGCACGACTTTCCTTGCGGCTACTCGGCTGTCCAACGGCTGGCAAGGTGCTTAGGGTGTGGCAGTGCGCCAGGCACTCTTTCATCGTAGATTGGGGGGTAAGCTTCTAGAGACTTGATCACACAGGGCCAAACTTACAACTAAACAGACAAAAAGATTGGCACGAAGCTGTCTACACGGAAAAAAATATACATCTCCCGTCGAGCATGGCACTTTACTAATTCGTCACCGCTCGCTACTGACACCGGCGCACACCTCTTCGCTGCACTGTACACGGTCTAACGCCAGCGATCCACATCCTACCAAGACTCAAAGCCCCTCGCGCGCAATATGCAGAACAATAGCCTTCCCAGCAGAAGCAATGTCAATCTTGCACTGCCGCTGCGGCCAAATGTCAGCCAGCGCAACCAGGACAGCCGCAACTTCTTCATCAGCCACACAACGGCCAGCTCGACCGAGGCCATCAATGGCCCTGTGCGCGAACCCACGCGAGAGCAGCCTCCGATCAGCGACAGATTAATTGTTGGAGTTGATTTTGGCACCACATTTTCTGGGTGAGTCTCTATGCGTCCTTATCTGTGCCTTTTCGGACGGCTAACCGTCTACGTAGTGTGGCGGCCGTGTATACATCCAACCCCGACGATATTGATATCATAAAAACATGGCCTGGGAGTAACGGTATTACATCCGACAAGGTACCAACTGAGATATCGTATGACTTTCCCACCAATACAACGGCAGAGACCGAACCCAACGTGAAATGGGGCTTCCAATTCAAGCCAGAAGAGTCTCGACTGCGTTGCATCAAGCTGTTCCTTGACCGCTCGCAAAAGCTGCCCTTTTATGTCAGCCCCCTCGACACGGCCGCGCAGCTCAAGCGCTTCAACAAGAATGTCGTCGATGCTGTCAGCGACTATCTCACACAAATATACAAGCACACCATGGATACCCTGACGCGCCGTTACGGCGAGTCCTTTATGGCGTCGACCAAGGTTGACTTTGTGCTGACCTGCCCGGCGGTGTGGAGTGATGCTGCCAAGAACACAACGCTGCAGGCGGCGGAGCGTGCAGGTATGGGCAGCCGGTCCGAGATTCAGATGATAAGCGAGCCTGAAGCCGCGGCTGTATACACACTCAAGGCTATTCAGCCAAACCACCTTAACGTCGGCGACAATTTCATTGTCTGTGATGCTGGCGGAGGTACTGTCGAGTATGTCGGGACCTTGATCCTCGTTGCAGATTTCATTTACTGACAAATTTATAGTCTCATTGCATACGAAATCAAATCATTAAAGCCCTTGCGAGTTCAGGAATCGGCGGTTGGGACCGGTGGCTTGTGCGGTAGCGCGTTCCTCAACTACAGGTTCGAAGAGCATGTGCGCGGCAGGTTGGGCCAGGCGCGGTTCGATGAGATGAAGACAAAAAAGGGAAAGACATGGCAGATGGGCCTAAAGTATTATGAAGAGTTCGTGAAGCGCAACTTTAATGAGGAAGAGCACCAAGAGTTCAATGTCCCGTGAGTATCTCGATTCTTGGCAGCTCAATTCGTTCAATAGCTGACACAAATAGCTTCCCTGGTCTGGCCGATGACGAAGAGGCTGGTCTTGACTCTGGATTCCTGGTCATGACGGCCGAACAAGTCAAGGACATTTTTCAGCCCGTCGTTAAGGAGGTGTGCGACCTCGTGCAAGGCCAAGTCGACACTCTCCGTGCCAAGGGCGCCATCGTGTCCGGCATCGTCTTGGTTGGCGGCTTCGGACAGAGCGACTACCTGTACCGCCGCCTCAAGAGCCACTTTTCCACCGCGCCGCCACCCCCGTACAGCGAGCGCCCGACTCACGCGACGGCAACGGCGACACAGGCGAACAGCTCGATCGAGGTGATGCAGCCAGTGTACGCGTGGACAGCGGTTGTGCGGGGCGCGGTGCTCCGGGGCCTCGAGGGCAACATGGTCATCTCGCGCAAGTCGCGCATGCATTACGGCACCTCGTACGCGACCGTCTACGACGAGGACCGGCACTCGGTTAGCGAGCGGTACTGGTCGCCGCTGTGGGAGCGCTGGATGGTGTCGGATCGTATGCAGTGGCATATTGCCAAGAGCGAGTCCCTGTCGCCGCTCTCGCCAATTGCGTTTCACTACACGCGCAACTTTCGCCCGGGGCAGTCGCTCATCGTCACCGACGACTTGATTGCGTGCGACGCCGACGAGCCGCCCACGGCGTTTACGCGCGACCTCATCAACGTCTGCACCCTGACGACGGACCTAAACGCTGTCCCGCGCAGCCTGTTTACGAGGCTGACGACGACGCGGGGTGTCGAGTTCGATAATCTGGACTTTACGCTGGAGATGATTGTCGACAGCGCGGGGCTGGGCTTTGAGCTCAAGGTGGATGGTGTGCGATATGGTCGTGTGGAAGCCGAATTTCATTGAGGATATTCCTTGCTTGGGTAGATGCATCGTGCAAATGGGTGTGGTATATAGTGTGTTTGAAGAGCCTACAATGTTACGAATAGATTTTTATATACATGAAGCAATAGCCTCATAACATGAATTAAGCAGCGCCTCTTTTGTATTTGGGGGTCGCACTTGACCTTGATTGAGCGCCGGTCGTATCTCATTCTCAATGCATCGTGTTGCGGGCTATTCGTCCTTGTCCATGGCTTCCATGGCAGCGGCCAGCGTCTCATCGGTATTCATCATCTCCAAAGTGCTCTCCAGCGCTGCGCGGCAGCGGTCCCTGTAATCAAGCGCGAGTCTCTGGCACGGCGTCAGCCGCTCCTTATCGGCCTCGTCCACCTCGACATCCGTCTCGAGGAGGCGCTCCAGCTCCTGCAGCACCTTGTTCTGAATCACGGCCGCCGTCTGGGCAAACAGCGGCAAGCACGCGCCCTCGACTTTACCCGTTAGTAGCAGCTGTCGTCGCTCGCGATCCGCAGCTTCAGCGTCGGCCTCGGTGTTTTGGACGAGGATTAGATGCTTATAGACGTCGTCACCGCCCGCTAGAGACTTGAATATGTCCCAGGCCATGTCGGGCTGTACGTGCTGGAACGCGGGGGTGATGGAGTCGGCGTCGAGGCCCGCGGGCAGCTTGTCCCGTGCGAGGACGGAGCTGGCATCGCGCAGGGGCCGCGCCGAGATGAGATACTCTTCGGACATGGGCGCGTCGTCGGCGCCGGCGCCGCCGCGGCGCTTGCGCACGTGGATGTAGTCGTTGTGAAGGGCGTCGGTCGGCGCGATCATGAAGCCGTAACCGAGGAGCAATTCAGCGTTGGTCTTGAGACCGTAGTTGTTGAAGACTTGCTCGCCGGGTTGGTGCGCGCGGCCGGTACGCAGCGCGCAGCCGTCGCCGTCGCGCTGCCAGCGGACGGGCACCGTCATGTCGTGGTTGCCAATGTCAAAGAGCGGTAGCAGCACGGAAAAATCGTCAATGGCGACGCCGGGCGGCAGCAGGCGGGCCTGCTCGTCGGACAGCACGAGGCTCGGGCGGAAGCTGCGGCTGGAAAAGATGGCAAACGCCCAGCGGTACAGCTCCGGACGGAACTGCTCCACGAGGCGCTTGTTGGTCTCGTCTTTGGCATCGGCGTCACGCAGGGCGGCCGCAATGGCGGCGAGGTCGCGGCGCAGGTCCGCGCGGATCCGGGCCAGGCCGACCTCGACGTTGGTGCCGTCCAGCAGCTCCGCATCGTCGTCGTCTTCCCAAAACGGCGGGAGCAGCGTCCACGACGACGAGCCCCCCGTCTCGGCGGGCTGCGGTAGCGACTGGATGTACGGGTGCCAAAAGGACGACGTGCCGGCGAGGTACTCTCGGACGAGCAGCAGCCGGCCGAGGACGTGCGGTGGCAGCGCGGCGGCGAGGCTCGCGGGAAGCGGCGGCGACGACGTGCCGCGGTTGGGGGTGGAGGAGGAGGAGGAGGAGGAGGGGCGGACGGCGTCGAGGTAGGAGAGGGAGAGGGCGGCGGGGAGATGCACGATGGCAGCGGAAAAGTCACCGGGGATGGGCTGGATGGCGCGAAAGGAGAGGCCGGTGGCGGCGTCGTGGGAGACGCGCACCGAGGGGTGGAGGACGGCGCCGTGGGACGTGGCCCAGGCGATGAGGGCGTCTATTTTGGTAGAGGAGGTCATGATGGAGGTACCATGGCTGGAGAAGTTGTTTGTAAGTTGGGGGGAGATAGGGTGAGTTAATGATGCTTCATTCTTGAGCTGGCTCTACAGTGTAGATTTTTTTTCTTTGGGCGTTTGCGGAGCCCCGCGGGTGAGTACCGACGAGATGGGGGCCCTCAGATTTTAGCAGGAGTCGACTCAGACATTGTAGTATGAGAGTGCAAGGAATTTACGCAGAGTATCCGTAAATTCGTGGTGTTCGGCAACAATACACGCCGGAGATTTTCTTCTGTGTGGCCGAGGAGAGCAAGAGAATAATAGTTTGGACCATGGCAGTGCAAATGGCAGGGCAAAAATTAAGCTCCATCTGGGAACTTGTAATGACAGGCCGGAGGTTTGACGAAGAGGCCCCCTTTTTATATAAATCTGGCGAGTCATGACAGAAGAGAAAGAGATGTTGGTGAAAATTGCAGTAAGATTCTCCTGGCGAGGAGGCGTTTGTCGGCGACCCGGGACGGAACGACACGGGCTGGCAGTCTTGGCGTCTAAATATATGCTTCTGATTATAGTTGACGATTACTGAGTAGGGGAGGCTAAGATGGTCAAGTCCTGAACAAAGCGCAACAGCAGCTCATTGGTGCTAAAATATGGCATCCATCTGGCGAGCCAAAGCTTATTAGATAGCTATTACCCACCCCATCAGCATCACAGCGTCAGAGCAGGAATGATTTGAAGCCCGGAAATTCGGTATAGTGCCGCGGGTTATTCGGTCGCAAGCTGGCAATCTTGCAGAATCCCCGTTCCTAGCAAAATTTCCTGGTCGTGGGCTTGTAATATAGGTAGTTACGGTAATAATGCCGCTACTGTCGCTGATCGGATTCCGCCGTCTGTAGTGCATAAAACAAAACCCCTGTTGGTGGCGCCAGGAGGATCTCGGCTCCTCCGCTCCACATGGGCATCCACCAAAACGTCGCATCCGTTTGATGGGAAGAATAAAAAATTGCACCTTAAGAAAACCGCTTCTTCAGGTCAGTAATGGAGCTCTTTGGTCATTGGTTGTTTCACCCTTGAGCTTTTTTGGACTGGCCGATTTTGCCGCGACGACTTGCTCACCTGCTAGCTTCGCTCCGGATGCAAGTGCCCAACTTACTACCCAACGTTAGCCAGTAAACAAAACCACAACCACACCTCGACGGCTGAGCGACCGCAAACACCTCTCTGCGGTTGCAACTGGCTACTGGCCCGCTCAATTCAGTTTATCGGCATTGTTTGGAAGCTGTCTCGCGATGGAAAAGGAAGCATCCTCCTCTGAAGGGCCTGACGCCGCCCGAGACGAGATGGAGCAGGAAAAGAATGAGCAGCAGCAGCAGCAGCCTCAACAACAATCCAACCATGTGTCGCAGACATCTCCAGCTGAAGCTTCTGCTCCCACGCCTGCTCCTCCTCTGCCGCAGACCCGAAGCCTGCCCCAATGGCTCGATCGCTTCAATCGCAGGGACCTCACCACCACCCTTCGCTGCATTATTGCCGTCTGGGTCGCCTCGCTCCTCATGGTTATCAATCCGAGCCTGCGGCGCTTCGGCCAGTCCACCTTTCTCGCCTCCGTCGTCATCTACATCATTCCGCCCGCCGGCAATCTCATCGTCGCCATCGTCGGCTACCTCTCCCTGCTCCTCGGCATGTGCCTCGCCTGGGCATGGGGTCTCGCCACCATGAAGGCCGCCCAGGCCGTCCGCTCCCCGGCCGAGCTCAACGCCCGCCTTCAGGCCCTCCAGCAGCAGGTAGGCGCCACGGCCCAGGCCACGGGAAACAACGACACAGCCGCCATTGCCACAGTCCTCATTCACGACGGCTTCATGCTCGACACCCGCGTCACCGTCGTCTACTTTGTCATGGGTTGCGTCTTCGTCTACTTCATCAGCCGCCTGCGCTACACCTTCAACCTGACCGTCCTCACTCAGCTCTTTGGCATCATTGCCACCGACATCTTCCTCGTCATCGGTCCTACCATCACCCGCTGGACTCCTCGCCTGCCCGAGGTCGTTGTCCTGCCCGCCGCTTGTGGTTGCGCCATTGGCATTGCCTGCGCTCTTTTCATCTTCCCTCAGTCTACCAGCCAGGTGGCCGTCGGCCAGATCCAAGACCTGCTCGCCATGCTCAACTATCCCATCCAAACCGGTCGCCAGTTTGTTGCCGGTTCTCTCGACTTGGACACCAATCTCCTCAAAAGGACAAAGCGACGTGCCATCACAGCCTACGCCCAGCTTCAGCCAAACATCGCATTCCTTCCCCTGGACGTGTCCCGCGGGCAGTGGAGCCCCGATGATGTCAAGTCAGTCTACATCAGGTTCCAGGACGTCTTGGCTGCTACTTTTGCCTTGCTTGACTTTCAGATCGCCCGTGTCTCCAGCCAAGATAAGATTGACAAGCTTCGTGATATGGTCAATCTACCCCAGACTGCCTCGTCCGACGGCAAGGAAGCCAAGCCCCGTGACCCTCGTCGTGCCAAGATCCTCCAGAACCCCGATCTGATCCATGCTCTCATCGCTCCCGGAACAATCGTTGGCTCCGAAGATATGCATGATGCCTTGCACGGCAGCTCCGAGGCCGTCTTGGATATCACCACCGATGCCATTAGCCATCTTGTCGAGGCTTTGAACCTGGTGAATATGAACCGTTGGTTCGTCTCCAAGTCTGCTCGTGCCAGATTCCCTCAAGCCGCTATTGCCCTCAGACAGATCGGCACAAAACTAACCCAAGCTCGCGAGGCTTGCATTGCAGACACTACCAAAGCTGCCATCGACATTCATGGCAATCTTTTCGACGACAATGGTCTTATCAAGACCGAAATGAAGGACGAATCAAAGAAGATTGCGGGCCTCGTTATTGCCTTTGTTATTGAAGAACACATTATTGTCACAGCGACCGCATACGAAAAGCTGACGGCAGAAGTCGCCCAGCTCTTGGAGACTCGAACCACCAACCAAGTCTGGGGCCCTTTGAAACGCCTCTTTACGCCCGACCCCCGCCAGGAGACCGGTGCACCGGCCTTGTCTGGCCAGACCGTCACCGACCCTGACAGAATCCAAAGACAAACTCGAGAAGTCGAGAGACGCATCAAAGTCGTGTCCAAGGGGCATGGTATCCCTAAGAAGCGAGGAAATCTGATAGCGAGAGCCGTTGCCGCTGTCTCTGGTTGGCTCACTGCCCCTGGCAGTCTCTATGCCCTACGTGTTGTCATCGTCACCATTGCTACCGGCATTCCCGCCGTCATCCCTCATACGGCCGGCTTCTACTATCGTGAGAAGGGAATTTGGACGCTCGTCACAGCACAAACCTGCATCCTCATGTACATGTCTGATTTCACCTTCTCCATCATCACTCGCACTGTGGCAACCGTTTTCGGTGGGATAGCAGGTCTAGTCATTTGGTACATTAGTGCCGGCACCGGCGGCGGTAACCCTTATGGTCTGGGTGCGGCTTTGCCCTTTGGAATTGTCCTCTTTGTCTGGGCGAGGCTATGGCTCCCGCAGGCTTACCTGCAAGGTACAGGACTGGGCGCCTCTACTTTTGCCATGGTCATTGGCTATAGCTGGGACATGCACCACCTCAGCACGTATGGCCTGCCTGGCCTCGGCTATACCACCTTTTGGAGACGCTTGGTGACTGTTCTCATCGGCTTCGCAGCCGCGCTGATTGTGCAGATGCTGCCCAAGCCTCCTTCAGGAACGCGCCACGTCGCAAAGACACTCGCCAACAGCTTGCACAAGATCAGCGACCACTATGCCCTGCTCATTTCTCACTGGGGCAGCGGTTCTGTCGTCGGTGATGATTACAGTGGCGTCAGAAATGTCATTACCTCAGCTGGCCTTGGTCTCGGGCAGAAACTCTATGCACTAAATGACCCCATTGCCATGCTCAAGTACGAGACGAGCATGTCGCCCTTTGACAAGACGAGCCTTCGCAGAGTTCAAGAGCTCCTAATCTCAATGAACCAGTCCCTCACAAAGGTGATGCTGGCCGGTACCACTCTTCCCCCGGAGTACCAGCAGCGTTTGATCAAGACTTCTGGCATTGCCGACGACGCCTGCATCAGCAAAATCATGTCCGTTCTTGTCCTTGCGAAGCAGTCGCTGCGTAGCGGAGCTCCCCTGCCAGAACGTCTTCCCACGCCGCTCATTGCTACGTGCTATCTCGACTTTGGCGTCAGACATGGCTTTGTGGAGCTGCGTCGCGAGTACATGGAGAGCGAAGATTTTCGCAGCTACTGCGTCGCTTTATCAGCGTACCTCACATTCCTTCATACCGCGGATGATCTAGTCCTTTTGCTCAAGGAGACTGTTGGAGAGAGTCATATTGTGCATGACTGGAGCGAGCTCTCAGAGGAAGTCTGAAGCAGCTACAAACCTTCATTTACCATGTAAAGTCTCATTTTTCTTCATGTACAGCTATATACCTTTTTTCCTTCATTCATCTGCATACGTATAATACAACGCTTTTCTTTTTGTCGACGAAGATACTTGGCACTTTGTCCTTCGGTCCCAATACCATTTGCGTATTATGGCAGAGCGGCCAAATGGCAAGTCAATACAACAGCAACTCAGCATTTATACTTGCCTGCGGCATGTGTCACATCCAGGAGCTTTCCAGTCAGCAGGGTTTTAATGATGCACTCGAGCGACACTGCTCCATAGCAGCTCACTTAAGTGTCGTCCGTCATACTGAAAGCCACATCAAAACTTTGCTAGACGCCATAAAACTCTGTAAGCGATTTTGCAAGGCGAAATTCGACAACGCATATCGTTTTCCAGCGCTTCGAGACTTCAACGTCCGCAACTGAAATTGAGTGTATTAAGAGAGGGAACAGGAACTAAAAGGTATTGCGAACCTGTGCAAGACGCCTTGAAAAGTGATATGAATATCTGATGCCAACACTCCGAGGCGCCATTTTGCAACGCCAATCCAAGCCACGGATGCTGGCGTTTACAAGCCACGAAATCTTGACCACAAGGTGTCTATAATAACAAACTTACACATTCAAGGCACTTTATATCGCCGTACGTGTATAAGATGATGCAAACCTATCATCTCTCTCAGAGGGCATACACCAATTATTCTTTCACTTCCGTCAAAGGGTCTGCGCCTAGCCCTTCCTTCTCTGGGGCCCATCATGTCGATTATGAGCCACATTGTCAAAGGGTCTGCATCAGACTATAACCCTGCTTCATGGCACAGTGTGCCTTTTGAGATCAAAGAATCTATTATGAGCCATGTTTTCAGAGGGAGAGGGCCGTTTGCTGCTCTTGCTACCGTATCGCAAGAGTGGCGAGACCTGGTAGAGCCGTACATCTTTTCACGAATTACACTCACAAGATGCCGTCTCTTGGATTTTGAGCGGATGACTGGTCGAAACCGCGGTTACGTACGACATTTGTGGCTCTCTCTTGAGCTGCAACCATATGCCTGTCTCCAGTGCGTTGACAGCGACGACGAGTTTGAAGAAGACTTTGAAGCGGACGAATTTGCGAGTAGCCCAAAGGACACCAAAGCTATCCAGAAAGCATTCGAGGTGCTCTTTAAAGTCTTGAGCTCATGGCCACCGACAGGCAAGCTGGTGCTAGACATTAGCGCATACTCTGAGACTGATAGGCAGCACGGCTTCAAATACCTCACATTTGAACCAGACTGGAAGGGCAACGACCCAGCCTGGCACTGTCGGGGAAGACGTCTCATTCAAGGTGCATCTCCGCACGATCGCCCAACACCTTGTGAGACTTGGATCCCATCCTTTCACGAACTGCATAAAGTCTTCAGTGACATTCATCAGAGGTGGCCATCGGAAGAATGGCGATGGCGAGCTCGACTTCGTAATGCCCCAGCCGTTACGACGATAATGATACGACAACAGAATCGCCGCCGGTGGAACCCAGAAATCCTACAACAGTTGATCCTCAATTGTCCAAGGCTCGAAGAATTTTATTACGAACCCTGGCGGGAATGGAATAATGCCGTTCAAGAAGACTCTACAGATGCAGGTAAGAGGTCTCCATTCTAGTCCCCCCCTCTGCCTAAACCCACGGTTCATCGTACGGAGTCCTTTGCTAACGATGCAATATTTTCAGCACAAAATGTTCTCTTCCGGTCGCTCCCATCTCTACTTCCATCTCTACGAAAGCTAGTTGTCTTTGAGAACTTTAGTGAGATATACGCGCTCACGCGATTTTGTGACCTTGACAGAAGCGTGCATCCACAGAGAAGGGACCCTCTTGCAAAAGCCAGCCTGTCGCTCGAGGAATTCTCTGCATCATTCCTCAGAGATGCCCGGTACTTTTTTGCAAACCTGGACGAATCGTGGAGTTGGCCCCATCTTACGCGCTTCGCCATGACATCAAAGTGGCTTGATGAAGAAGAGGATCCCAAGCAAATTGAAGAGTTGCTCATCAGCGCTGCCACTGCCGCGAAGCGCATGCCCAGCCTGAGAGTCATGGAGATTTGGAACGGAGGTGTGTATAATGCCATGGTCTTTCGCTACGAATTGTCGCCGGACTACCGCAGTGTGACGGTCCTGTGCCGAGGGACATGGCTGCTCCAGATTTCCCCTGACGTCCAACACATGTGGAATACAGTCGCGAGGCAACAGCGCTGGATGCCAGAGGTCACTTTCCGTCAAGAAGTGATTGATCCTGATACGATTACTTCACACGCGCACGCCATTTCCAGGTTGAAACTTGACAACCAAGTCATGCGGCCCATATCTCTGCAGCAAGTTCATGTAGAGACTCTGCAAAGATGCAAACTTTTGAATAGAGACCTTTGGCAGCGCTTTGCTGCGAGATTAGGCCCTTTTCTAGCTGCCAGACGCGCCAGCGCCAATTCTTTGCCCGCTACCAGCACCGAATCGCCCGTCGCCGGCTCAGGAACCGCTGCCCCTCTGAGCCCACGTCCTTCAAAGCGCCCGCGCCGTCATTCCTACTAATTTATCAAGGGATTCGGCTGTTGAGATGATGGCTCTCTTCTCCGGACTCGACTGAACCGGCCCCTCTGAGGGGGTTCCTGCCTCATTATTTACACCGCGGAAGCAGCTCAACAACATGCCGCAGGTTTGGCACCATTATGGCCATGCCCTGCGTAAACATGGTGGCTGGATGTCCATTTGATATACGAATGATGGTGGCTGCACAACACGATCCGCTCTGCGAACCCGACTACCAGCCGGCCAATTACCAGCATCGGAGTGATGAAGACCGGCATGGCAATTTTGAACGGTTTCATTCCCTTGCAGATATTAAGCTTTCAGGCCAAGTACACGATACTGGTTCATAGTTCTTTTCCTAATACTGACTAGGAGTAGATAACTTCCTGCACCATAATATTGTTGATGGTAGTTATATAGCCCTAATAAACCTCTACTGTCTATTCGTGCCCGCGCTATCAGACGCTCTCACCACAAATTTCTTAGCACAAGTGTCTCATCTTCGTAGACATGATACCGCTTGGCTGCACTGCTGTCGGGTATATGCTGTCGCAGCGGAAATTTACGGCTCAAGTTTATGCAATATTTATGAAACATTCGACAGATGGAAATGCACAAAACCAAAATTGGGGATTGCTTCGAAGCTCTCTAAAGACGCGCGATAACACAGTTTGAATTCATAAGAGATACATCGACTAATGTACATACATGCCTGAGCAAGAGATATTCGTCGCGACATAATAGTATGAGTAGGGTCACATAGACTCTGATGAAGCAGTATTGAATGCAATCGAAGCGGCCAGTAATTGCTTCCATACTTCAAATTCCTCTGCGTCTCGCGGGGCATAGATTAAAACGTAGCTGAGGGGAAGCAAAACACCACTGAACATGTGCCTCTCAGCCCAGCCCTTTGCCGTGGCCACCTCGGCGTCGGTAAGGCTAAGAATCAAATGTGAACTACCATCGGGGTGTACATGGGCGAATTCGCCCTTTGTAGATTTTGCAAGATATGTCGGCTTCCCAGCCGCCTCGCCAATCCACAGAGCTTGGTGTTTGGGACCCTCCAGTTGTGAGGGCGCAAGCGCGAGAAGCTCCTTCTGCTGAGCAACGCGACTAGCCAGTTGGAGCTTCATCGCCTCAATCTGTGCCGCGTCAGAGTGATGATTCATTTGTCTCTGAGGCGCGACATAGGTCGGCACATCTGGGCGCTCGCCACGACGCGCAGGCAGTTCTCCTAGGAAGCTGCTGCGGCCATGAGGCGCGTAGCGTTCAAAGACGCGAGCATCAGCAAAAGGCCACGACTCTCTAGTGTCATGTCGTGCAAATGGCTGTCCGATGGCTTGTATAGTCCAGCCGAGAAAATTGTACGGCAGTCCTCCGGGACCGAGTGCGAGGAAGCCGCGGTACGAGCGGATGATGTGGGAAATGACGGGGATGGCGGCGAGGCCAAGGCCGACGACGGAACTGGCGACGAGAGGGCGCTGCTGGAAGAAACGAACAATAGTTTGTTGGCAGCTGGCAAGCAACCGCGGATAATAAGAGTCTGCCATGATGTTGGTGACGTTTTCCGCTGGCGGGCCCTGGACGAGTTGGCGAAAGCCTGCGGCGCGGGGTCGTGACGGTGTATATAGCCTGATTTATACGGCAAGTATGGTTACGAAAACGAGTCGGTGGTGCGGGATTCCAAACGCAAGCAGGCGCATATTTGGCGGAGACATCTACAGTATATTCGACATGTCAGAAGATAAGGAACGTCATCCTTACTGATGTTTTGCGGTGAAAATAAGATGGCTGTTTGGTGCGACCGGATGGATATTCTCGGAACCTGCTAAAAGGAGCTTCATGTTCCGCCCAGCGAGTAGTTAATCGTACGATGAACTGCGTTTGTCACCTTTTCGATGCCACCGAGCAAAGGCCCCTCGTGATTTAAATGCGGCTACGAAATGGGCGTTCAGAAGCCACAAACATTAGAGATGTCCATGTTGATTTGAACGTATAGGCGTGCGTGAGCTATTATGGAAGACCTTGACACCTTTGTTGCGCTGGGAAGGCTGGGTGACCATGAAGAGAAAGGCAATTCATCAGAGTTGGCTACACGAAACACAGAAAGAGTCGAAAGAGACCCGTGGCATGCTGCTTTTCCGCATTTTTTCGGCCTCGATCCCCCTTCTCGGCTTCTTGCTCCTTGATCTCGTGGTGGCAAAGATGGAGAGGGCAGATCGGCCTAGGAGTTGGCTGTAGTGACGTTGCACGTGATTTGATAGAACGCGCTCGACTTAGGTACGGCGGGATAAATTAGAGAGAATAAAAAGAGATAGGATGGAATCGGCAGATATATACCATCATGAGAAACTTAGTGTTGTCTTTAAAATTTGTAGCGGTAAATTTTTAGCGACTGCAGCAGACCCGGTTGTAGCGCTAAGGGAGAATCAGATGTCAGCGAGAGAAAGGAGTGGCTCGATGAGGGAGAACGTCAAATAAAGAAAAATTGAGAATTTTGATGATGGATTGGACGAGGCTGTATTCATGATTGGGAGCGTGGTTTAGACCGCAGAGGTGTAGAATGCAGCCAATGTAGAGCTTCGTATTTGTTGCATGCTTTAAATTGGCAATTGAGTGAAGCATCAATTAAAGTGCACACCGAGAAGCTGGGCGATCAGGTTGACTGTCGTCACAATACAGCTTCAGAGCGGTAAACGCAGCGGCCCACGACAGTCAATGGCAAAAAGCCTTGCCTCATCAATCCAGATTGCCTCGATGCATCAGCGCCAGCGCAGTGTGCCCGGTATGTACTCATCATTTATTCGGCTTCTAACTCTCGGTACGTACAGGAAAGCCGGAAATGGTCGGCCGCTCAAGCTCTTTGGTGTGTCCACTGCTTACCATTATCTGTCTCTGATTGGTCAAGACAGACGGCCGGGAGTCCTCGGCGGACGAAGTTCCAGTAGGTCAAAGTGGGGCAAAAAGCGGCAGAATATTATTACTCAATTGACCTAGGCTGTAATACCTAATATTAGTCGTCAATTGGCAAGCCTTCATGCCTTCAAGCCGTCAAATAGGTACTATCCTACGCAGGCGCCACTCACCGCCTTTAAAAATCGACCCCACTTCAACCTACGTGAACTTGTGATAGAACTCTCACCAAAACTACCGTTACTCCATATTTAATTCTCCCCGTCACCAACTACCTCCTCGACTCATCGCCTACCGACACTTCTCCCCTCTATTTACCGTCTACATCCTCATCAATCTGTAGCGTATGCAGTCAGGCCATTGACCCTTGCGACAATATGGCTTCTTTAATGAGGAGATTGGCCTCGCGGCCCGCTACGGTGCGTTTCCCGTCACTGACTGTAACCTCGGCTAGATGGCCTCACCACCGCAACTCCCAGTTGCTGACTTGATTTCGTCTTTTAGTTCTCGCAGGCGCAAGCCAGAGCCTTTTCCACCACACGCCCAGCTGGTGAGTATAGACAGACAATCACACAAACATCACAGACTGACGACCTCATTCCACAGCGCGCGTCATTGCAAACGGTCCTCTGCGCGCCAAGGAGGCTTCGCCCTTTGTTAGCAACAAGTACCCCGTCATCGTGCGTATCCCCGAAACCAGGCTCTCGAATGCGATGCGCTGGAATAGGAATTGACTCCCCAATAGGACCACGAGTACGATGCTCTCGTCGTCGGCGCCGGCGGTGCTGGTCTTCGTGCTGCCTTTGGTCTTGCCGAGGCTGGTTTCAACACTGCCTGCATCTCCAAGCTCTTTCCTACTCGTTCCCACACTGTCGCCGCTCAGGGTGGCATCAACGCCGCCCTTGGCAACATGCACGAGGACGACTGGAGATGGCACATGTACGACACTGTCAAGGGCTCCGACTGGCTCGGTGACCAGGACGCCATTCATTACATGACCCGCGAGGCTCCTGCTTCCATCATCGAGCTTGAGCACTACGGCTGCCCCTTCTCCCGTACTGAGGATGGCAAGATGTGAGTTTTTCTGGGCCCAATTGCGCTTCCACTCATTGCACCCAGCTAACACGACTCCCACTCCAGCTACCAGCGTGCCTTTGGTGGTCAGTCTCAGAAATTCGGCAAGGGCGGCCAGGCCTACCGATGCTGCGCCGCCGCCGACCGTACCGGCCACGCTCTTCTCCACACTCTCTACGGCCAGTCCCTCGCCCACAACACCAACTACTTCATCGAATACTTTGCTCTCGACCTGATTATGCAGGATGGTGAATGCCGCGGTGTTCTCGCCTACAATCAGGAAGACGGAACTCTCCACCGTTTCCTCGCCAACAACACCGTCCTTGCCACCGGTGGTTACGGACGTGCCTACTTCAGCTGCACTTCTGCCCATACTTGCACGGGTGATGGTATGGCCATGGCTGCTCGCGCCGGTCTTCCCAACCAGGATCTCGAATTCGTCCAGTTTCACCCTACTGGTATTTACGGTGCTGGCTGTCTGATCACCGAGGGTGCTCGTGGTGAGGGTGGTTACCTTCTCAACTCGGAGGGTGAGCGCTTTATGGAGCGTTACGCCCCTACCGCCAAGGATCTTGCCTCTCGCGACGTTGTCTCACGTTCCATGACCATGGAAATCCGCGACGGTCGTGGTGTCGGTGCTGAGAAGGACCACATCTACCTCCAGCTCAGCCATCTGCCCGCCGAGATTCTTGCCGAGCGTCTGCCTGGTATCTCTGAGACTGCTGGCATCTTTGCGGGTGTCGATGTTCGCAAGCAGCCCATTCCCGTTCTTCCCACCGTCCACTACAACATGGGTGGTATCCCCACTCGCTACACTGGTGAGGTTCTCACTGTCGACGAGAAGGGTCAGGACAAGGTTGTCCCGGGTCTGTTCGCCTGCGGTGAAGCCGCCTCCGTCTCTGTCCACGGTGCCAACCGTCTTGGTGCCAACTCTCTCCTCGATCTCGTTGTCTTTGGCCGCGCCGTCTCCCACACTATCCGTGACAACTTCACCCCCGGCGCCAAGCTCAAGCCTCTGGCTGCCGATGCTGGTGCTGAGCACATTGAGGTCCTTGACCAGGTCCGCAACGCTGACGGTCCCAAGTCTACTGCCGAGATTCGCCTCGCTATGCAGAAGGCTATGCAGACTGATGTCTCTGTCTTCCGTACTCAGGAGTCCCTGGACGAGGGTGTCCGCAAGATGACCGAAATTGACGCCACCTACAAGGATGTTGGTATCAAGGACCGCAGCATGATCTGGAACTCGGACTTGGTTGAGACCCTTGAGCTCCGCAACCTGCTTACTTGCGCGTATGTGACGATTTTTCTCCATCTTTTCTTCTTTCGGAAGTCTGGCTAACACATCTGATTTCTAGCACTCAAACCGCCACCGCCGCCGCTGCTCGCAAGGAGTCTCGTGGTGCCCACGCCCGCGAGGATTTCCCCGACCGCGACGACAAGGAATGGATGAAGCATACTCTGTCTTTCCAAAAGACGCCCCACGGCAAGGTTGACCTGAATTACCGTCGCGTCATCTCGACGACGCTAGACGAGGCCGAGTGCAAGCCCGTTCCCCCATTCAAGCGTGTATACTAAAGAAAAAAGTGCATTTGGCAGAGCCAGGCTCAGAAGCCGAGATTGGGACTGAAGCCGTGGCAGAAAAGCGATGGAATCAACAACAAGTGCAGTCACAGGGACGCCGGTATGGCGGTATTGCCTACGCAAGAGGCCGAGGCGAAGTCGGCCACGCCTCGCTTCTCGTATTTCGCTTTGTAGTTATAGGTTGGTTAGACGGAGTTAGTACTCTTATTTTACGTTTCGGTGCTTTTAATGGATATAGGCTGGAGATATCTCTCAGGAACGAGGACTATCGAAAGAAATTTACTTTGTTCTTAGACCATCTACGGGGAGTTGCAGTAGTAAACGTCAAGTCCAAGGGGTCCAGAGGACAAGTCCGGGCGGAGCCAAGAGCGGCAGAAACATATGGCTTAATTGCAGCTCTTTTGCAGATATGCTACAGCTAGTACTTACCCAGTAGTTGGTCTTAATGAACAGTCCATCAGCAGCCAGTCAATCAGCAGTCGGTTATCAGCAGTCGGTAAGATTTACTAGGTGCCCTGAGCCTTTACGCGTGTACTGTGAACTGAACTGCCCCTTTACTTTTAGCTGCACAGAGTGTATGCCAATACCAGAAAAATCGTCTATCAATCGCACTACCAGTATCTACCTATCTATAGTATCTAGGTATGTAAGTTCTAGCTCGAGAATAGGTACTGAAACTATGTACCAAAAAAAAAGAAACAATCGCGCACAGGTGAGAATCGCAGCAGAGAAGAAATAGAGAGCCAAACAGCGAAACGGCAAGTACTCCTACTATTTATAGGAGATCTTGATGGGCACTGTATCGCTCACATCCCAGTCATTTCCGTTGGCGGCATCTCCAAAGATGCGCAGAGCTTTGACTCGTACCTTGTACGTGCCCGCGCCAGCATAAGAGCCGTTGGCAAGCTTACCATCCCATCCGACACCGAACCCAGCGCCACGCGTAACCATACGATACGGCACATCTGGCAAGTCCGCGACGGCAGAGCCCGAAGAAGCATCCACAATTCCGGCAGTCAGGCTAGTCGTGCCAAGCGTCAGGTTGGCGACGATGAGAGGAATGTCGGCATTCGATGTCGAGGTGCCAGGTTTAGGAAGCACAAACTCGGTATTGGCCGGAACTGGCTGGCGGTTTTTATCGTTGCGGTGCGTCACGGATGCGCCGTCGGGTAGCAGCGTTGTCGTGTTGCGTAGGGATCCGGCGAGACCCTGGTAAGGAATCGAAACCACGGATGAGTCGCTCCCACGACGAAAGGACAGGAACCCCGACCAGAGCGCGAGTCTCTTGGCGTCGACGGAAGCGGGCGGGTCGGCAGAGACGTGCAAGATTTGGGTTTGCCCGGCAGTCAGGTTGAACTTTGTGACGGTGGCGTTTAAACTGCCAGAGGCGGGTGTCTGGTCGTTGGGCGACCGTGAGGGATACGGGCTGTTGCTGGCGAGAACGTAGACTGAGACTGCGGGACGCACGAGAACCTGGTACTCGACGGTTTCGTTGCCCGTGTTTGTGACTGAGACTTGCATGTTGGAGTTGTGGTGCTCGGTGTCGTTGAAGGACAGGCTCGAGGGCGAGACGAGCGTTTTGCTATTGAGAGCATTCAGGGCTTGCACAAGACCAGCACCTTGCTGCGCAGCAGGAGCCAGGGCATCAAAAGTCTTGGAGCCGCTGCTAAACTGCACAGGTTTGGCATTGGCGGCCAGGATTTGCCGCATGCGCTCGGGACTGAGGGGCCCCATGGCTTGGTTGAGCAGGGCCATGACGCCGGCAACCATGGGCGCCGACATGGACGTTCCCGAGGCGCGGCCGTATTTGTTGTTGGGAAGAGTCGAGAGAATGTCGCGTCCGGGACCGGCAAACTGCGGCTTAAAGTTCATCTCCATGGTCGGCCCCCACGACGAGAATCCGCTGGGCGTCCCTCCCGTGTTGGGCGTCTCGGTCAGGTCGACGGAGGCGATGGAGTTGACGGCCGCGGCGTTGGACGAGCCGGACGAGTAGAAGGCGCCGTATTCGCCGTCGTTGCTGGCAGCGACAGAAGAGGTAATGTTCTTTTCCGTGGCGAGCCTGCTCAGGAAATTGGAGAAGCCGTCGTCGGACCAGCCATGCGCGCCTCCCACGGAGCAGCTGATGATTTGCGCGCCATCTGCGGCGGCGCGCGCTGCGGCAGCCATGAGTACGTCGGTGTTGGTGCCGCCCTTGCAGCCGAATACCTTGTACATGCCAAACGTGACGCCGGGGGCCACGCCGGTGAATCCGGCTTCGTTGGCCTCGGCGGTGATGATGCCAGACACATGGGTCCCGTGCGATCCGCAGTCCTTGGGATCGCTGCCAGGTTGGGGCTTGTTGCCTCCATTAAAGTCATTTCCGACAAGGTCATAGCCAAAGGAGACTCTGCAGCCAGGGCCAAAGCAGCCGCCAAGGGCAGGGTGAGTATAATCAACCTTTACACACAAATGTCAGCCAGTTCGCTTCAGCCACTTTGACGGCCCCGACTTACACCAGAATCGAGGACAGCTAGCTTGACGCCCTTTCCGTCGAAACCTCGAGCTCGGAGCTGGTCAACCTGCATCATGACGTGTGGGCTAAATGTATCCTCGGCGCGGGTGCTGCGACCAGACGGCACCACTTCTGTGGCATTGAAGCTAGGTCTATCGTAGGCATACACGGGCCACATATTTTTGACGGCGCCAGAACTGGCAAAGAGGCTGCGTGTGGTGGTTCCCATAGCCTCGCTCTCGTTGACCTGAATCGAGACGCCCTTGAACGTCTCAAAGTCGAAATGTACGCGTACATGGTCTAGATGAGCGCCAATGGCGGCAGCAATACTAGTCGCATTCTACGGCCATGGTAAGTAAAGGGACTGGACGGGAAAGAGACTTGGGGGGTTCCGTACATGACCGTCTTCATACTCGACAATATAGGCACCGGGAACAACCTTTCTACCAGGCTCAAAAGATTCGAGGGAGGCTGCAACAACGGCTATGCTGGCAATAACTGGCAATGCTGATCTGCCAACCATGATGTCAAAGGATCAGTTGCTCTAACTTTGGAAGAAGCAATAGCACACACAAAAGCCAGTAAAACAGAACAAAACGCAACAGAAGAAACAGGCAAGTCTAAAACAGAATACATATTGATCTTGATCTCGACCTGTTATATATGCTCAGCAAAGCGTAAAGAGGCTGGTCACGTAGCGTCACATCCTTTTTGTGACAGCGGCTGCGGCCGCACATCACGCTGTAGATACAAACGACCCGCAGAATTACAACAAAAGCCCCTTGAACATGCAAATGCACTGGCATTGTATGCCACTTTTCAGAGACATCAAACCAAGTTGGTGCATGGCGTGCTGGAATGTTGTCGTAATGGAATGCGACGGCAAGAGGTTGGCATCGCAGCGGCGTCACTCGCTCAATGTGAGAAGAAAAAAAAAATGTGTTCACATGGTACAGAGCACACACTCGCGTCGTCAGGTGCTCATGGAATCCCGCGGGCGAGTTTTCAATATCCTTGATGCGGGTGAAGAGTGAGACACAGTGGCCGGAGAATATTTGAAAGGATACCATGTTGTCATTTATCAGTTTTGCTTGTCTGGTGAGTCGGTCAAAGGCTGGCCTGCAGCTCAGCTCAGCTCAGCCTAGCAGCCTTGCAGCCACAGAAATTGCGCATTCAAAATCGCCGAAGAACATGATACCAAGACCAACAATATGAACACAATTCAACGTGACAAAAAAGAATTAAAAATAGAAATAAAAACATACAGCAGCCGGTGTTCGCTGGTCGTCACCGACCCAACTACTAATCTGCCGATCAATAGCTTGATTTCCGCGGAGCAGACGGGACGCGATATTTTCTACTGTCTATGGCCGTATGTACCAGTCTAACCTCTAAAATGGTATATATCCGGCGCTATTTGTATCCGACCTATTCTCCTTCTCGTTTTCTCAGCGTTTCTTCATCATTCATCGTTACCATTCCTGATAAGCGCCGAGTTGGTAAGCTGAATATGAATTATGTGAACGATTCGAGGTTCAAGGACCCACGCAAACACAGATAACTATATCGAACTCAAGTAGGTGAGATGAGCACACTACCCAGTTGTTGCAACCCTGTGGTTACAAGTAGTGAAACTTGATGAGGTCAATGATTGACACGCAACTGAAAGCCAAGGTACTGCACAATCTTCGATCTTTAGCCATGCCATGTGACTTCGACCGCTCATCAAGGAGAATCAGGCAGAGATCGTCACCTTCTACGGCTGTAGGGTATGAAAGTATCAAAGGTTTTCGTAGGAAAATTACTTTTACAGAGCTCGACAACTTGCAATAGTACAGGGGGTCTTGTTATCACTGTAATCTCAATTGTCACTAGTATCGTCAACGGTTCCAGAATGCTATCGAGTGCGGCGTCGGCTGATGACTGCTGTGTGGTGGAGCCTCTCAAAACCATACAGATAGGCTGCACTTCAAGCATCAGGCTGTTCACCACATATGTCTGCCATCGTGGCGTCGTACAGTCCACCAGAGACTTTTGTTATATCACGTACATTCTTTACTAAAGGGAAACAAAAAACGACTCAATCATGACAGCCGATACACAAGGAGAGCCGCTCCCGTCACTCCTTGATCTCATCACCAAAGTCGACAAGTGAGCTGACAATCTCCCCTCGCCCAACTTGTTCACGCCCCTCATTCGTTGCCACACCTAACGTCACTTTGCCAGCCTTCCCCTCGACTTTGCCACCAACAGCAGCCCCTACTACAAGTTTCTCCTCGCCCCAGATCCCCGCCCGCATGGCTTCATCCACCCCACCACCGTCGAGCGTCTCCCGTGGCCGTCCGCCTTCCGCATCGACCACGCCGCGGCTGCCGTCACGCTCGCCGTCCCGACGGCCGCCCTCGCCAACGCCGCGCTGCAAGCCGCCGTCGACGCCGCCATTGCCTGCGGGCGCTTCCCCACGCTCAACGGCCTGCACAGCGAGCCCTTTTGCGTACCCGGCGTCGCGGCCGCCGCGTACCCGGACCCGGGCCCCATCCGGATTGAGCGCTTCGCGGCAACGCTCTTTGGCATCAACACGCGCGGCGCGCACCTGACGGCCTATGTGCGCGACCCGACGACGCGCGCCATCGCGGGCGTCTGGGTCGCCCGCCGCAGCAGGTCGCTCTACACGTACCCGGGGATGCTGGACAGCGCCGTCGCCGGCGGCGTCAAGGCCGACGACTCCCCGCTCGACTGCATGCTCGCCGAGTCGGACGAAGAGGCCCGTCTGTCGCCGGCAGTGGTGGCGCCGCGGCTTCGGCCGGCCGGCGTCGTCACGCTGGCAAACCGGAACCCGCGCACTGCGCTGATTCACGGCGAGATTCTGTACGTGTACGACCTCGACCTCTCACCGGCGCCGGGTTCGGAGGCGGGCGCGCTCGGCCTGGTGCCGCTGCCGGGCGACGATGGCGAGGTGGAGGAGTTTATCCTGATGGAATGGCAAGATGTGGTGCGGCGCATGAAGGCTGGCGAGTTCAAGCCCAATGTGTGCGCCATCATGATTGACTTTTTCATCCGTCACGGCTTGATCACGCCAGAGGAGGAAGATCAATATGTAGAGATTTGCAACAGGCTGCGCAGAAAGCTGCCCATGCCCACCAACGCGCTCGAGACTTGAAAATAGCTTCAGGTCTCACGATTGAATAATGTACGGGTGGATAGGAAACAGTCACATTCAAACACGAGTTGGGTTGTCTGTCCGCTTGCGGTTGGTATCTCAAAAGTGTAAAATTTGTCCGTGTAGCCCAAATGGCAACGGCAGCATTGCTATCAGCAACAAATTAGAATCTTGCTACGATAAAACCCACACTCGCTCCACTCCTCGTTTCAATCCAAACGAAAATGAACCACGTCAAGATGCCAAAAACTCCAATGCGCCTATGCGAGGCAAACATGCCTCTTCCCGGCTCCTTTGAAGCAAAATATCCCTCGCGGGAATCCAGTGGCGCCATAGCGGCGGTCCTTTCTAGAGCCGTTCCTATCATCTGGTCTAACCATCAACCAGGTGCCTGGCCAGTTCTTCGTGCGCCGCAATTAGCGAGGGAATTCAGAGGGAGGAAAAGAGAGCGGCTCGTTGCTGGCAGAACAGCAAATGAATAGCCAGAAAAAAAGATGCCAGAAACTTTTCTTCTTCGCCACTGAAACTCGTATGCAAATCCGTTCCTCATAACGTAGTCTTACTCGTACACTGTGAAACGCTGAGGCGTCCACTACATATCTTGTCAACTCATTCCTCTTCCGAGTCCGAGTCGTCGCTGGAGTCTGCAACAGGCGGCGACTGCGCCAAGCCAGATATGCCTGAAGCGGCAGGATCGGACCCCTCAGGACCCTCCTTGTACATCTGCCTAAGAGCAGTGAGCTGTGCAATCCTGGCCTCTTGCTCTTGCGCGCTCATCGGCTTATTCTTCTTGGGCTTGCCGGCAGTTGTCTTGGACTTGGGAGCGCGGCTGGGCTCGGGTGCGGGTGCGGGGGCAGCAGTGTCCTTGGCAAAGCCCGGCAGAACCTTTTTACAGAGCTCCCAAAGCTTTAGCAAAGCTTCATTGCTGAGCTGGTCAATATCTAACTCAAGTTCGCCATCGGTATTTTCGTTCTGTCCGGTGTCTCTCTTGATGATATCTATCGCACGGTCAAGGTGGCCACCTTCCAGGTCGTTGATAGCGTTGGCAATATGGTCCTTATCGGCAGCGGTCAAGCTCTTCTTGGCAGCGCCCTTCTTACCGCCGCCGGCTTTCTTGCCTTGGGTGCCACCCGTCGATTTTCGTCCAGCAGCAGCCTTTCCCTTTGGCCCCCTCGCCTTTTTAGCGCCCTTTTCATTCTTGGGCTGGACTTCACCGGCGCTAGCAATGGCCTTGATGAGAGCCTGCTGCACCATGTCGACAATGCCCTTTTGGATGTCAATCAGGGACTGATTAGAACCGGGTACGAACATTGCATGCAGTTTCTTGGTTTCCTCGTCGAGTTTGGCTTGAAGTTCCTGAATCTCCTTGGCGTTATCCTCAGTAGAGGGACCGTCGTCAGCGTCTTCGTCTTCGTCTTCCTCATCACTAACATCGGCTGACGTAGGTGCGTTTGCCTTGGCAAACTTGGCCAGCCAAGCATCCTTGTTCTTTAGTTGAGATGTGTAGATGCCTTCCAGCTCGGCGGCCCTCTGGGAGACAGGGTTACCCTGGCTAGGAGGACCGTTGAAGCTGTAGCAGTTCTCGAACACGAGTCGTACGTGCTTGTCAAACTCTTTGAGGTTAGAGAATTCACCTGCAGAAAGCATGGCCGAGACTTTGCCCAAGTCCATGGGTTTCTTGATAATGGAGTAATAATCGGGAATGTTCAAACCCTCCGCATCCACAGCCTCAAGAAACCACATGTTGAGCTGCTCATATTTGGGGTGCATGACCTCGCCAAGGACCTCCATGGCGAACTGAAGCTCGGGCTTGAGCTTCTTGCGCGAAGGCTTGGTTGTGTAGTCAATGTCCTTGGGCTTGGGCGCGCGAACTGTGCGCTTGGGACGATCGCCCTCAGTAGCGGTGGAACCGCGGCGGTCACCAGCGACCGACTTGGCATCTGCATCCGTCGAGGGACTACCTCGAGGTCCGGTAGACGTGCGGCGGGATGGAGGGGCTTCGGCAATGACAACGGCGCGAGATTCTCGAACAGGCTTCGCCTTGGGGATAGCCTTGGGTTTAGGAGGTTCTTCAACGGGCGCGGCAAGCAACTCTTCCCATAGAGCCTTGACGACGTTAAAGGCAGCAAACGTGACGTCGTGCGTCGGACCATTAAAGTTCAGTGCATTGAGGTAGATGAGGGATGCGCTATTTTTGAACTCCCCAAACGTGGCATACGAGCCCTCTCCGTCGCGTACGGTGCGGTCGACTTCGGAGAGATCCATGGGCTTGTCAATTTTGGCCAGGTATGCTTCGCGCAGCGTCGGCCAAAGCTTGACGACAGCATCACGGAAATGAGCACCCCCTTTAGTTTTCTTGAGTCTACCAATTGTCTTGCGAACCTCACGGCGTTGATAAGGGCTCAGGGACCTGCCGTTGGCTTCTGGATCGTTCCAATTCGGTAGTGTATCAAGACTAGGGACGTGCTCGGCAGCAGTAGTGTCATCGATGGCCGCAGCAGGATCAGCCACGGGGGCATCCCGGCTGGGCAGTTCGGCCATAAGCTTATCTTCCTCAGGCTCAGTTCTGGCACGCTTGGCGGCGGGCTCTTCGTTTGCGCTGTCGTCTTCACGCTCGCGAGCGACCTTGGCAGGCGCGTCGCTCATGGAAATTTCGACCGACTCAACGATAGGGGATGTATCAGGCTGGGTCTCGATGTTAAGCTGCGACATGCTAGCGGGTTGAAGATCGACCTCGGACGCGGGTAGGGCAACGTCATCCTGCCTCTGAAGAGATGGAGGCTGCTCGGGATGACTTGCAGAGCTGTGCGGTGCGTCTTCCATCTTGACATCATCCACTTCTTGTGTGGGCTCGACGACAGACGTCTCCTTCGAGACAATGGGAGTCGATGTTGTTTCAGCCGGAGTTGGTTCGACCGAGAGCTTTTTGACCGGGGAAGACTCCTCCATTGCCATGTCGTTGGGCCCGGAGTTGGACGCAATCTTCGGCCCCTCCTTGAAGTCCTCCTTTGCTTCAGAAGTGTCTTTCACGGCTTCCGCAGGTTTCGAGGCAGTCTCCTCAGCGGCAGGTTTAGACGCCGTTGTTGCGGCAGGCGTCTCGCTGTGCTCCTGGCCAAGGCCTGACTGCGTGGTTTCCATCGGGGATGACGCAGAGGGCTTGTCTTCAGACTGTTGAACGGGCACTGCAGCGGGAGAAGGCTCTTTCGAAACGGATTTCTCAGGCGACTGCTCACTGGCGTGCGAAATGCCGTTAGTGCCGTTGTGTTCGGAGGAAGAACCGCTTCCGTTGACGATAGGCGCAGATGTCGAGGATGCAGGCTCGACAGGCTCGACAGGCGCGGCGGCGCTGAGTGTGGCGGAAGGTTCGGAGGAGAAGGGCTCAACAGGCTTCTTGAGGACCTCGGTGGCAGCGAGACTGCGCATAAAATGAATGAGCAAAATAGATCGAGACAAGGCTTAGGCGCATCACACGCGTCGCGTAACATCAGAACAGATGCACTTACCCATTGGTATCGGGCTTTCGTTCGGGTTGCGGCGGCGAGGGTTGCAGCTTGCTCTCCGAGGGAGGCGCGCTCGCTGGCGCTGGTGCGTCGGACTTGGGCCCCTCCATATTGATGAGTTGCGACGAGTGCGCTGTGCAAAAGCGCTATGTGTGGATGTAGCTCAAGAGGATGGGCGCAGCATGAAATGGGCAAAGATGCTGAAGGCGATGAAGAGCGGCCTCTTGAAGGCTCTAGGCACCGATGCGCCGTGCACGAGGCGGTGAATGGCAGTGGCGCAAACGGACTGCGAAAGTGAGAGAGCTGCAGGCAGCAACGTCACCGCGGGCAGCTATTGAATGAACCGAAGAACCAAATCCCGGCGCAAAACGGTGAGTGATTATAGATGCAATGCGACACGGCGCGCTGAGTCGTGTCAAGATGAGGCGATGCTGCGAATGCGACTGTGACTGTCAAGGGAAGCCGGCGCAATTGCAACGCTGCAGACGCAGACGCGAAGCGAAAATCGGGTCGTGTGAATCGATGATTCGATTGGGTGCGCCGGAAGAAAATAAGGCGTCGAAACTGATCAATAAATAAAAAAAACAATCGGAGAAGATATTGATTGCTGAGCAGGACCAGGAAGCAGAATGCGCCGTGGCGCAAAGATAGAGAAGTTCCCGGAGGGGGGCTGAAGGCCGAGTCGGGGGAGGGTCTGGAAGGGAAAGCGCGTGCACGTCGGTCTTTTTTTTGCCAGAGCCGGAGGCGCGCTGGTATTTATGAGAGAACAAGAACCTTTGGTGGGACGGGCTGGATATTCCTATACCGGGGTCCATGGAAGGGCTGGTGAATGCTGGGGGAGTGCGCCAGGCGTGGAAAATGGAAGAAATTTACTTGGCCGAGTAGCCCAAACAGGCTAGCTGTGGCTGAAAGAGCTGACCTAATGCGGTCATTCTCAGCTTCTATTGGCTGAACTGTAACAGTATCCACTTTGGGGGCGTGCTTCATCAGCCCGCCTGTGCCAGGTGCCAACCGTGTGGCTGGGGAGCTCTCATTGCGCTCCAATTAGGTTCTGATGGCGCGCAGAATCACTAACTACCTTAGTTCTAATTTATTTAATGATGCAACTGCTCCTCTTTCATGGGCCATCCTGGAGTTACTCCGATCACTCCAGTCATAATACTCTTGCTACATTTCGCGTCATCCACCAAGCTTCTTATCACACAACACATCAATCACTTTTTGCCGTTGGTATACTCTCTTGAGCCCGAAAGAGACAACGACGGCATTACCACAGTACAGCTGCAGCTACCCCGACTGGCAGCAGCACTCTACGTACGTGCCACCGCCTCCGCCACCTCCTGGCGTTTGTCGATTGCTCCTCAAAATTCCGTCACAACACAGCCCGCAGGAGCTCGGATCCCGTAGCCAGACGATGTCCACCTCGAGTATCCGTATGGCGACACAGAAATGATCGTTGGTGCTGAAACCCCAAACCCACGAGATTTATGCCGTCATTGTGCGACATGCCTACAATCGCATGTTTATATGTAAGAGTTTCGCGCCCGCAATTCACCACTAACTAACCATGTCGGCCCTCATGTTGCCTCCATTCACTGCCGTATCTTGCCCCGTCGCGTGCCCAAATTCGACAAACCGACCGCAAAGGGTACGGGCATCAACAACATACCAATTGCTTACCCTCAGACGCAAAAAAAAAAAAACGGGAAACGCAGGACGGGCCGCAGATAAGTGCTGGCTATCGGTGGTAGACCGTGACCGCGTCGCATTGTGGATCGCGTCTGCTTCCCAGAGCTTGCTCGTCCTAGCCACTTGAACATGGCCATATCATTATAACGGGGTCTTGACAAGGGGTGCCTGAAATTACCGCACGCCACCCTTATGGATCATTACCTGTGGCGCAAACAGCTAGGCGCCACATCAAGTGACACCGACGAAAACGGACTTTCTGACTGCAAACAGCCTCGGTAAACATGGCGCTGGGCAGCCATTCTGACTGAAAGAGATTCAGAAAAAGCAGCTGAAAACTACAGCGATGAACTATTTCGATTACACAGGTGTCCTTGTTGTGCATGGCTGCTTTATTAGTGCCTTTTTTGGCCTTGTCACATAAAAGGCACTTAGTCACGTGACCTCATCCACTTTCCATTCAAGTGTGGAGACACTCTGATAAGATAAGCCAGCTGCTTAGGTAACGTCAATTTTTGGCTCTCTCGACGCTCTGGCCGCATCTTTGGCCGGCCCGCCAAAAAAAAGTTCAGTAAAACGACTTAGGAAAATTTCCCAACCGCGAACGACTCAACATCGCGGCCTGCAAATCGCCCTTCTGACCAGATTCCTTACTACTCGACATTCCTAGGATCAGATATTCTCTATACTTATGCGAATTGTCGGGCTCCTTCCTTTGTTTCAATATTTGTAGCGGCCTGCGACTCTGCTTCCGCCTCTTGCCTCATGCCCATGTCGACCAAACGCAAAGCTCCAGCAAAGCTGGCAGCACCAGTCGCCAAAAAGAGCGTCAATATCCCCTCCAAGAACACAATTAATGAGCAACACACTTCGGTCTCTGGCACAGATGCTCTGCACGGCTCAAAAGCCGAGACGATAGAGATTTCTTCCGACGCGGAGAGCGAGTACACCTCGGACGAGGAAGCTCCTCCAGTGCAAGTAAATGGTACCAAAGAGGAGGCCCAGGCTTTCGAAGACAACAAGATCAAGTCTATCGCCACAACTAGCGCTGACGACAGCAACGACGCCGGATCAGATGCCGAAGGGGGCTCCCCCACGTTTGGCGAGCTTCTGCGCGGCAACGAGACCATTGACGTGTCCAGCCTGCTCCAACAAGCCGTAACCAGCACTTCTGTGCAGCCCACACGCACCGTCATTGCGCCGCCCTCCCTCCAATCCCTCACCACCGTCCTCACTCAAGCGCTCAAGACCGACGACACGGAGCTGCTCGAATCGTGCCTGCACACGACCGACCTGATCACCATCCGAAACACGATAGAGCGCATCGATAGCAGCCTCGCCGGCACCCTACTAAATAAGCTGGCCGCACGCCTGTACCGTCGGCCAGGCCGGGCTGGCAACTTGATGATATGGGTTAAGTGGACGCTCATCGCCCACGGCGGCGCGCTGTCGTCGCAGCCCAAGGTGCTGCAGAACCTCAACGGCCTGCAAAAGGTGCTCTCCGAGCGCGCCAAGGGCCTCGGTAGTCTGCTCGCGCTCAAGGGCAAGCTCGACCTGCTCGAGGGCCAGATGGAGCTCCGCCGCAAGATGAAGCGCGGCGCGTCGTCGGGCAAGCACGGCGACAGCGACAATGAGGACGAGGTCGACGACAATGTTATCTGGGTCGAGGGCGAGACGCAGGATAGCAAATTGGCCAACGGGGCGGCGGACGTCGACGAGGACGCGCACATGGCCAACGGCGTCATCCCCGACTCAGACGGTGACGATGATGATTCCGACGCCGAAGACGAGGACGATGAGGACCGCGCGGAGGAGTCGCTGGACGAGGACGAGGTGGATCACGACGACGTCGACGAGTCCATGGGCGAGGACGAGGAGAGCGATGCGGAACCCGCTCCGCCTTCCAAGCTACAAAAAGTTGCTGGCTTCTTTACGAAGCGCAAGTGAAGGAAAAAAAACCCCGAAAGAGCAAAGAGAGTCATGAGAAAATAAAACTCTAAGATGGGTGCAAAAACGGCATCAAGATTTGATTGGAAAGCAGGGCAAGTGAATCATGAATTTAGACGAAAGTGAAGACGGAAACTCTGGGGGGCTGGCTTCTGTAAGACGGCAAGGAGAGAAAAGTGTCCTCTGTGTTGTTCTTTTTGTATGTATGTATGGACACAGCATCCGTTCTTATTGTAACTATCGGAGAGCAAGTGCGAGTTATGTCGGCCATACCTTTCTTTTTCTGGTATGCTGGCACTCATTTTCCCACACATTTACTGGCGTTGGGTAGAAAAAGAATACATTTGATTCCATCCTACAAGGCTTTTTTCAATTTGCGTACCACATCCTGTCATTTAGATTCAAAGTAAGGAATAGAAGCCATTATGGAAAATAAATATGGAAAATGTATAATGCGCGCTGTAAAAAACAAAGAATATCAAACGACGCCTAATTTCTAAAAAGGGGATAATTCTAAACGTTCTGGAAGCCTGGCAAGGGTCTACGCTAGCCCGTGTAGTAGATTGGAAAGATTCGCTGATGAAGATGATGAAGCTGATGAAGCTGATGGAAGACCGTAGTGATCTATAATCGGATGTGAGGTGAGGCCGCAACATAGAATAGACAAGAGATGAGGCAAGAACAAGAGAAAAAAGCATTCTGCCCTTGCTTGTGTCTTTCTTTACGAGCACATTTGTTATATGGCCCAGCTGCCTCGTCGTTCGTGCACGCCCCACGCGAGAGGGTTGAGGTTGTCAAGGTCCGGGTGCTGCCGCGCCCACTCGACAATGTACACGCGCAGCGCTTTCCAGCGCGGGCAGCGCGCCTCCTCGGGAGTGTCGTCGAGATTCATCTCGAGCATGTGGCCCTTGGCGAGCTGTTTGTCGTCGTCACGGCACAGCTCCTCGACACCGATGCGGCTAATCCGGGAAAGCTCCTCGTCAAAAGAGCGCGCCATGGCCGGATAGCCTAGCGAGAGGTAGTTGTAAACTTGCGTAACAAACTCGTCGCTGAATTCGAGCGCAATCTTATCGTCGAGCTCGGCGCGCACCTTTTCCTGCTGCAGGCGCTCATCGAGGCCGTGAAGCATGTGCAGGCCCTTGGGCGCGCCACTGCGGAGCCGGTGCTCGGCCGTACCCGGGCATGCGCCGGGCGGGCTGCCGGCGGAGTCCGCAGCCGCAACGTCCCACAGAGATGCCGGCTCGTCGCTCACCGCAAGAATACAGTCGGCTTCGTGCGAGAACAATTCTTTGGGGGTGCCTGGTGTTCGGGGTGTCGCCATCATGGCTGGCGGGTGCAGCTCCGCCGGAACCAAGTAACCGCCGGTCGATTCCGACCTGCAGCAATAGCCCCTCCACAGGCCACCGTTGCCCGACAAGTCCCGATTCTGTTTTGCATTTTGTGACAGGACAAATGAGTGGTCCGTCTCGAGCTTTGTTTGCTTGGGCGAAGGACACTTGCGAAAATTGAGCTCCTTTCCCAGCATTGGCGGCGACACAAACTTGCGGATGCGCTGTAGCTGCGCAACGTCGGGCCGTATGCCGATGGCAGCAAAGGGGCGGACGAAGGGATCGTGGTGATTTCTAACACCAAATTCATTTGCCGGTTGCTGCTGCTGCTGCGGCGGCTGCTTTTGTAAATGTGGTGATGGGAGGTGTTGTTGTGCACGAGGTTGAGATCTGTTGGCGTTTGTAGATTGGAGGGCGGAGCCCCGCAACACATGTAGGGCTTCGTCTTCTTTAGCGGCTGCCCAATTCCTTGCCTCGGCTTGTTGACTTGCAGAATCTCGTCTGTCGCCCAGCGATGCACGCCGACTTGTGGTCCACATTGCGTCGGGTGGTACTGTCAGATCCATCTTGTCCAGTTCTGAATCAGATGTCATGTCCACGTCCTCAAACACTTTGTCCGCCTTCTCAGCATCTTCCCTGTCATGGGCCAACTTTTCCGCATGCTCTTGCATGTGCCTCTGCCACCAGTTTAGATCAAGGCTCGATGTCTTTCTTCGCAACCGACGCCTGCCACGTTCGTCTTCGGCTGGGCTCACGGCCGCAGAGTCCTCGCTGCTCGAGCCATCCCGAAAATAGAAATGGGCGACACCACCCTCACGAGCGCGACTGTTGGGGAAGGCAGCCAAAGCATCTTCCTGGATTTGCCTCTCTACCTCTTTTGCTGCGAGTTCGAGTAAATACTCCTTGACCTCTTCCTCCTCTGTCTCTCTTCGGGATGGCTGCTTCTGCCGCAGACCCTCGTCCTCAACTACCGCACCGTCATGCCGCTTCTTTGACCTGGCCTTTGCAGTATAGATGTGATTGGTATATGGTGTGATGTCAGTCTTGTCGGCAGGACGTGTTGCCGGACCGTGATCTCCCACGCGGTGACTCCTTCTCGAGGATTCAATGAGCTGGGGGGCAAAACGGCGTCTAATGCGAGGACATGCCGACGCCGGGGAACGAGAGCGCGGTGATGGCTCCGGAGTAAGCTCTGGGTTGGGACCGATGTGAACGCGGCCGGGTGGCAAATGGGAGGCGTGATGGGAATTGTAGGTCGTCTCAATCGGCTCGGGCACGAAGCGCCTACGTGGCGGGTCGGAATTCATTGCTGCTGCAGTCTCTTGTCGTGCAAACGACGGATCAAGGTCCAACAGGTATCGAGTATTCTTGAGCGAGTGCCCGGTGCTATAGCCGTCAAGGACGCTAAGTCAGTACTGTAGCATTGCCCGTGCCGACTCTGGCAAGGTTCGAATCGCAAGACAGAGGGGATGCCAGAGGCTCAATGGTCGTGTGCTACTAGTTGCCGCCAGCTGCAGGGTGCGGGGAACAAGATAGGGACCGCAAGGCAGTGGCACAGAAACTGGTAGATGGCGGTGACGGGTGATGCGAGACACGTCCGATGTGTGTATGCAGGCAGCGATGGATAGCCTGTGTAATGGCAATGGCCTGCCTATCCTTGACTTTGGACAGACCTGCCAATCAAGGAGATGGCGGGGCGCGCAAATGTGCTTCGAGGGTGGTGGGGGTTTGGCGGTAAGTCCGGATACAGTGCGCAAAATTGTTATGAGCGAGCAATGACTGTGCAAGTGTCTGCTGATTCGGAGGCATCTGGACAGTCCGAGGCTTCAACCCACACTGTGGCGCTACTTGGCTTCTCTTCGCCGGCCTCGGTCACAAATTGCTAGCGTCATCCTCAGCACAAATCCGCTAGCGAGGAAGGCATTGAATGAATGAGAGCAGCAAAAGTCCAAAACCCAAGACTAAAGCCGAGGCGAAGCAGCGTCTCTTCATCTTTCTCTGCATTTGCGCTTTCAGCCTACAATATCTGCTGGTACTCATGGTTTGGAATCTCGTAACCAACAATACTATCTGCATGCAAGTACGGTGGTAGTGTCGGGCCGACGCAGAAGCCGGCCGTAGCCAAAGGGAAGCCATGCGTTCAGTACAACCAAACTCTTTACGCGCTCATGGCGACTGTGCCTGACTAGCTGTAATAGGATTCTGAAGCCCCTGTTTTCCTTTTGACTTTGTGCTTCTTCTCCTGCTTTTCTTGCGCGTAGCAGCCTTGTGCCTTGCTGAGCGCGAGATGGCCAGCCCACGCGGCACTAGCGCGAACCCAATACTTTGTTTCGGCCAGTCAAAATCAATGCAATTTGCGGAACAAGGGGGATGACGGCGCTAGAGCGATGGGAAAGTATCCAAGTCAGAATCGAGTAATAAATTGTCCCTTTCTCGACATTTCTGTATTATTCAGGCTTCCGCAGGCTGCGATCCAATGAGAAATTGCAGCTATTTGCCTCTAGGACTGTGATGTTATGAAGACGCATCACATGATTGCCCACTTGGTGCCATAGGAGGATGATTGTGTTTGACCGGAAAATATCGTTAGTGGTCTGCTCGAATGACCTGTAATACGGCCGAGCTCTTTGTGCTCTCTCAGACGCTGTGTTTAATGAACGGTGTCGGACAGGACGTTGCACGAGATAAGGAGCAGGCTAGAAGTGTAGTTGGTGGGGAAAATCGCCCTTGAGTACTAGGAAAATTAGAAAGAGGCGTCTTATATTATGTAGTGTTTGTTCAGGCTTTTCTCTGGAAGCTTGTGATGTGAAATGTGTGAGGGTTGCTATGCCGGCACAGCAATGGCCTGTTGATGATGCATTGTGTGGGGTTACTTGACAGCGTGGAATAGTGGCAAGATTGCAGCCACGGTGCGCTGGCAGAAATCTTGCAGATGAATATTGCTTCTTGCAGGCGTGGGACTCCGGTAAATACTGAGATTGTCGGGAGTTGAGATGGCAGAATCGTAGCATGTAATTATGCAGGTACAGCGATGAGGCCACATTCAATACTACATTAATGATGTGAGCTTATTCGTGTATAGTTGCCGTGTTATAGTTTTATAAGGAAATGATTCGATATCAACCGGGGGGCGTCATTTATGAACGCAGGCGGCATGAATGACGGTTTCAAGCCACGACAAGTTAGTTAAAGCGGCACACAGGAAGCGAGAGTCAGGACAAGCTGCTGCAAGGTACGGACAGACAGTGCATTGATTCCTGCAAGGTCTCGGGCTCATGTGGCGTTTCAAGGCGGTGGCACGTAGGACTTGGTGTTGTTCCCGATGCGGTGCTGGGGAATGCGGGCATGACAGTATGAGCTGAAGCAAAAGTCGGCAGTAGGAGCCGAGTGGCGCTCATCAAAAGAAGGCGACGATGACAAGAGTTGCGATTTGCCGGGCAGGATAATAAAGGGGCCGTAGGGCGTGTTGATTTCTGACGTCTGCACTGACTGTCTTGAGTCAGGCTGGTGAAAGGGTTCAGAAAGGGCGAACAGTGTGGTGGAGAGCTGCTGTGTTTGCGCGGCAGGCAACAGTGTGACTGATGATGCCGTGACCTGTAATGCTCAGGGCGCTATCATTAACATCATTAACAACAAGGTAGCGATGGAGTTGATTGGGGGGGGGGCAATGATTATTGATGGCGTCTTTGCATGAAAATTAGGAGAAAAGACAGGCCACAACATGGTATTACTTAGCCTGTAATCTGTAAGGTAGGCAGAGCAATATTTAGAGAGACAGATGGCCCAATACGCACGCAGTGTGGGCCTCGGATACGGGACAGACTTTTTTTCTTTCAAGACAATTGTAGCTCGCCAATGAACCTTGATAACAGGCCCCCGCCTCGTACTGGAACTAATAGGTACTACTCCGTAGTAGGGGCGCATATGTCTGCGGCGGGAGTGGTGCCAAAATCCAGAGCCACTTGAGGCATGGTTGATGGTGCGGTACAACGGGTCGTAACTAGTCAGTACCTGTAAGTAGTCGATGTGGCAGAAGAACGGCCGGGTGTTTGATGCATATCGATGACGGGTCATGGATCGAGGAGGCGCAGAAGAGTGGTTTGTTTGTTTGGGGGGGGGGAGCCTAGCCCGTCTGGGGCTCGGGACAGGCTTATTTACTATGGAGAAGAAGATGGATAAGTAGGTAGGTAGCCGGAGCAGCTGGGCAAGTCGAAATTATGATGACAAGTATTATAATTTACTGAAAGTCTGCCAACTGCTTTGTTGCCTGCCTGCGTGTTTGCCTGCCTCCTAATGCTTGCTTGCTTGCTAGGTAGGTAGCTGCTTTGCTGCTTTGCTGCTTGCCTGCCCTGCCTGCCACTGATTGCCTGCCAGAGATCATACTTCTTACGTGGCTTACAATCAGACAATGCAGCGAGCGCTGTGTGGCTGCTGTAGCAAGGTGGGTGCTGCCAACCTGCCAGCGGGAAAGACCTCGTAATCTGCAGCCCACTGCGAGCCAATCCATTGCCCGAGCTGGTACTTGCCAGTTTATCAATTGCCAATTGCTACCTAGTCAATATGTCCCGTGTCCAGGGGAAAACTCACAAGGAAACGCCTGCCAGCCTGCCAGGGCCTGAAAAGGGTCGCGACTCGGACTTTCCCCCACCGTGCTGTCCCAGTAAGGCGAACGACGTTGATGGGAGCAGCTTGTCCTTGAGTTGAGACTGGAGGAAAAAGATAGGGACAAAGGGAAAAAGGAAAGATAGGCCTCCCGTCGAATATCAGTAATATCAAACTTTGCACCCGGTGCTTACCTGTGGCCAAGTTTAGAAATGCTAACAAGCCTGCAACAGTGCACCTTGGCCAATGGCATTGTCCGTCGCCACTAAAAAGTCCCTCCCAAGTCCCAGCATGGCCCGAGCCCCAGCCTGGCCAGCCCCCCAGCCAACCCGGGAAGCCCAAATTTGGCAACCAATCCTGGCAGCTTTTCTTTTCCTCTTGTTTCTGTTGCCCAACTGTCATTGTCACCGCTCTCAACACCATCCTTTTTTTTTCTTGCTCACACATGAGATTACTTTGGTTGCGACGCGCCCATCCTTCGCATCACCCACTGGCTCTACTGTTTACCTCGACGTGCCCAACTGGCCATCACCCATTTCGCTTCCCGAAATAGTATAGCGTCTGCTGCAACCACACAACGCTCCCAACTTCACAACACACGAGCTTTCCGTCGAACCAAACTCTGGCCACAGCGTTTCCTCATCGCTTTTTAACCCTGCTTCCCCCCGACTTTTGCTTGATTCTGCGCTCGCCATTTCTCCTCCATAGCTTTGCCGCTGCCGTCCCGACTTGGCCTTATCCAAGACCATCTTTCGCTTGCTTTGCTCACCACTGTCCGAGCCTACCTAGGTACCTAACTATAATATCTCTACCTCCGGCGATAACCTGCGGTTCCCTCAGCCTCGTTCGCAAAACGGCCATCTGCACGGTCCTGACCCGACTTTCTTTCTTTGAGACATCCCACGCCTTTCACCTCCGCTGCCACCTCGAATCGTGAATGTCTCGGCGCTTCCGCCACCATTTTGAGACCCGCCCCGGCAACACTGTTGCTGCTTTTACTTGCAATCACTCTTTTAGCCCCGCGCCTGCCCTGAGCCCCCGACAGCTTCCCGGCTAGAAGCATATACATGCCCGATTGCCTTGCTGCGCTTGCGTCTTCGCAGTGGTCGCCGACGGTCATCTCTTGCCCATCATGGCCGACACGTCGCAACCTCATCTCCCGAGCGCTCCCGGCGACACAACAACAGGCGCGGCTACGCCTACTGCTTCGCCCGCGCAACACCCTCAATCCCCGCACCTAGAGTCAAAGACTGTCAGTCCCATTGCCAACAGGGTATGCACACCCCTAGGGCTCTTTGTTCATCCTGCCCCAAAGGGTGCTCCCATGAGCATGCCTCAGACTCTTACGCCAGAATCCACACCCGCATCACCAAGGCGACATGATAGGCTCACCAAATCAACATCGCCAATCCGACAATCCGGAGCTAGCCCTACTCGATCCCAAATCTCCGCCTCGGCATGTATGCGAAAGCGAACCGACTCCATCAGCGAGGCACTCCGTGCTGCTGCTGCCACCAATACTCAACCCAGAAACGACGATGTCCCTTCGCCTCTGGTTCCTTTCGGCGAGACACAACCCCTCCACACAGGCACCGTTCTCGCCAATACCAGGATGGTCCATCCTAAACCTATCAATAGAGTAGCGCCTGCCGATGTGACCAGCCGGCCTGGTACCGCTAGCAGCGTTGCGCAGCTCGAAATAACTGCCCAACAACTTTCAATGACGAGTTCCATCGACGATGCGATTCGAGACCTCCACGGCGAACTCAAACGAAGCGACTCTCGACGATCATCAATTCTCGCTGCCAGTGTCAGGCCCGGAGACGACGTCGGCCCGGCACCTGCAAGTCAGCTCAAAAGGCATCTCTCGAGCTCATCCTCCATTGTATCGACTAACATCGCCGCACGCCAGGGTGGCTACTCACCGGCTGCATTTGTCAAGTCTCCCAGTGCCTCTGCAAGTGGTCGCTTGATTCCTGGCTCACTGACGGCTACCTCGCCCGAGTCTGAGGCTTCTACTGTCTTGTCTCGCCACGGCCCCGGCAATAGCTCTGTCCGTAGTGTACGCTCGGCGAAGCTCTCGTTGGCTGACATTTCTGAATCCGAGCCTATTTCGCTCACCCAAACAGTCTTGGACGAGGCTGACATGGCGCCGCCGCTCGAATTCGAGCCCATCATTCACCAATCACCCGCCCACGAACAAGAGAGCGAGCACAAGAAGCCTAGCACCGATGCTTTCCACCAGATGATGCACAACGGCGCTACGCAAAAGCCCATCTTCAACTACTCGCCAGATCCTAGTCGAGATGCGTCCACAATCCCCGACCGGGGTAATCGCCCCGGCTCCTCCCATTCCCACGACACTTATCACCAAGCTCAACATGCTTTCTTCGACTTTGATGGAGTTCACTGTTCTGACAACGGAATCGACATGCATCATGAGGAATATCACCGAGAGCGCACCCCCATTGAGGGGGGCTATGTCGCCGTTGATCAGCATCTTGAAGAACTGGATGATCATGTCTTTGATCTCCCTCCCCTGCAAATTCCACAAACTCTCTCCCGGGCTCCAGCTTTCTTGTACGGAGAAGACTCGCTTCCACCGCCTCCGCAACCCGCTGGTCTGATCCGTCCCCAGTCGTATATCGATCCAGCCTCGGGTCTTCAGATGAACTATTATCCAGCCCGAGTTCCAGCCACTCTGAACATTCCTCAAAAGCTGTCCAATAAACCGAAGGCTCACCAAAGAAACTCGAGGCAGTCCAAAGTACTTAGTGCCATGATGGACAGCACACATAATCCTGTCAATAGTGACGCTGCTCGCCGAGCTTCTGCTATGCCGGCCTTGGGTGGCAAGACCGAGCTTGCGGAGAACCCTCGGCCTGTCAAGGAGCGCCACCACGAACGTCGACCATCCTTCCTCCCCCTTTCAACTGAGGACATGCAAAAAATCAATGAACCATTTCCCGAACCCGCTCAACAACCCGCGCCTGCTCAGGAGAGCTTTGAAAATCTTGCTTCAACACTTCGACTCCCGAAACGCATTTCCGAATCCAAGGCTGTTGACAAGCGCAAGAGTCGAATGTCCATGATGGCCATCCCTGCGCAGCTGCGCGCAAGTGCTTTCTTTGATGCGCCTGCTATAACGGCCGACATTGAAGCCAAGGATGGTTCTGCCATGAATGCCCTTGACGACATCTTGGCTGCCGGAGCCAGCGCTCCAGTGGACGCCTTCACCGATCATCCCTATGCTGGAAAACTTGGCCCCGAAGTATACGGGGCAACGAAAAAGTCGGCTACTTCATCGCCATCCTTGGAGCCGCCTTCCAACGAGCATCTTGTCAAAAAACGGTCTTCGTGGATGCTGCTCGGCAGGCGCAGTCACAGTCGCAATAGCCAAGAAAGCCCTAGACCGAACAATGATGCACCTCACCTGAATGGCGACAGCGACAGCGATCATGTTGCCCGGGTGCCTACAGGCACCGTGGGGTACACCGGGGAAGAGCAGATTGAAGGAGACGAGGGAGCAGAGGAAATTGAAGGCCATCTGGGAGCCCCTACCACGTTGCTTGCGGAACTGCAGCTTCGCAAGCAGCAGCAGAAGGAGCGCATCCAGAACAAAGTCCAGGACGCGTATGGCATGCAAGCTACACTGCTCGAGCTCGATGCCGTTGCTGAGACACAGAGGATTGATCGCAAGAGTAAGCGTGTCAACTTGCTCTGGGAGGATCCCGACGCACATTTGGAACAAAATGGCTCCGATGATGAAGATGTTCCGCTGGCCATCATCGCAGCTAGGCAGCAAGGCGCAAAGAACATGGCAGATCTCGAACGCCCGATCGGCCTTATAGAAAAAAGGGAAATCGAGGAAAACGAACCCCTAAGTAAACGTCGTGCACGTTTGCAAGGGCGGGACAATACTTTTTCTACACCTCGACCGCAAAGTATGCTGATGGCGCCAGCTCGTCTTGGAGATACACGCCCACGACAATCGATGAGTTCTTTGAACATACTTATTAGTCCAGAGGATGTTGAGGGCGAGACGCTAGCCGACCGGAGAAAGCGCCTGGCATCCGACGTGGAGAAAGAAAAGGAGCTTTCGTTGCCTCCCACAAGACCCGTGAGCACAGCCTTTTCTGCTGAGCTCCTGAGTCAATTCGATCCTGTGGAACTGGGCAAGTCGGAAGGCACTGCCGATGGAAAGGATTCCAAGGGAGTCAATGGGGCTCCTGAGGAGGAAGAGACACTTGGCCAGCGGCGGCGTCGCTTGCAAGCTGAGAAAGCGGCTCGTCAGCAGGAAATGGCACACGGCATCGCAGCCGCCGGCTCTGCGGTACACAACAAGGACCGCCGCCTGAGTCTCTCGAATGTTCTCAGCATGCACCCGAAAAAGAGCCCAGACCTAAGAGTCCAGGAACAAATACAGCGCCGAGAGGAAGAGGAACGCATCGCGCGCGAAAACGAGGCTAGGATGACAGCTATGCGCCTTCAGATGCCTTCGACTTTGTCCGTGCCAGGAGCTGCACCAAAGCGAGCATTTCAAAATGGAGCGTACAACAACGGCAATGGGGGACGCATTGGCAATCAGCGCCCCATCTCTGCTCAAATGCTGAACCAGGGTCAACTGAACCGACCCAACAACATGGCCTTCAACCATGGCCCCCAGCAAGGTGTCTATATGAACCCCTACGGCGCAAGTAGCGCACATGCATTTGGCGCTATGAAAATGTACAACAACGGCGTGTATGGTGGTATGCAGCCAAACAACCAGATGCAGATGCCACACAATGGTGCCTCGATGGATCGAGTCGAAGTTTGGCGACAGGGCGTCTTTCCTTGAAGGGGTCGGCCTGGTTGATGCATCGTCGGCTCTGTGTGTGCTACTTGCTCATAAGCTAGATACCTACCGCCACTCAGACAAGCAACATTTGATTACCTTTATTTTTTTTGTACCTATACATGTTTTGAGCGCTTGGAAAGCGGTGTTTGGAATCAAGAAAAGAAACAAATAGCATTCACACAGGCTAGCATTGCGAAGCGTTTTGATTCGTCTGCTTTTTTATTTGTTTGTTTGGCTATTTCGGCTTATACGCACATTTCGATACAATTATTACTCTCAGTTTCGAGATTTAATACAAGAGCGAAAGCCGTGGGCACTTTGGGCTAGTATAGAAAGCCTTTCTTGGATAACATAGTTGGATGAATATATTCCTGTCATGGACGAGCAGGGCTTCGTTTTCATAATTTTTTACTTGTTTAGTAGGCGTAGATGCTCAATCATAAAGTGGCTGGATGGTGCCTGTTTACATGGCTTGGTATACAGAAATTCTTCAAATGCAGCGCTTGATGCAATATGCTCCTTGGAACCTCAATGGTTCATATGCTGTGATTATGCATCCTCTTCGTCGTCAACATCCTTTTGCTCCGCCTGCTCCAGTGCGGCATGGAGTGGAATCTCGGTCAACTTGACCATTTTAGTCTTCTTGAGCAGCTTCCACGTCACAAACGCCACGGCCACCAGCGGTATGTCGAGGTACGACGAGACAAAGGACTCGGGGCTCCAATTTCCCTTTGTAAAGACCTTGAAGCCGGCCGTCAAGAGGATGATGATGCACATGCCGAGGGCCCAGCACGAGGCGTAGAGGGTCCAGGCATTGTGCCAGGGTAGGCGGTTGGCGGGGATGCCCTGCGCGCGCAGCGCCAGCCGCAGGCGGATGTGGTTGATGAGAATGGAGATCCACGAGACGAGGACGCCGGCGGCGGTGAGGCTAATGAGCCAGTAAAATGCGGTGAGGGCGCCGCTGGAGAGGCTCATGAAGCTGAGGAGCATGAAGACGGAAAAGAGGGCGACGCAGGCGTAGGGGACGCCCCAGGAGGTGGTGCGGAGGAAGACGGCGGGGGCTTGCTTTTTCAGAGCGAGGGCGTAGAGGACGCGGGTGCCCGAGAGCAGGGCCTGGTTGGACGAGGACCAGGCCGAGGAGATGAGGACGGCGTTGACGACGGAGGGGACGGCGGGTAGGTGGGCGGCCTGGGCGGCAATGACAAAGGGGCTCTGGGTGACGGAGGAGCCGTCGCCGCCGTCGAGGCGCGGGTCGTCGCTGGCGACGAGCATGCCGACGATGAGGATGGCGAGCATGTAGAAGAGCACGATGCGAATAAAGACGTTCTTGCAGGCGGCGGGGATGGCCTTGCGCGGGTTGCGCGTCTCGGCGCCGGCCATGGCGATGGACTCGACGCCGGCAAAGGAGAAGACGGCAGAGGTCATGACGCTCCAGTAGCCGAGAAACTTGCCCCAGTTGCCCGAGGCAATGTACTCGACGAGGGGGCCGGGCTTGCTCCAGTAGCGGAAATAGATGGCGGGGGTCCCCGGAACGCCGCCGAGGTCGATGACGAGCCCGAGGATGACGAGGAAGACGACAAGCAAGATCTTGAGCAGCGCGAAAAAGAACTCGACCTCGCCAAAGACGCGGACAAGGCACATGCCGACGGCAACGGTGAGAATGATAAAGGTGACGATCCAGACGGACGGGTTGACGTCGGTCCAAAACTCAAAGAGCACGCAAATGGCGGTAATCTCGGACGGAATCGAGAGCAAATTGCCGTAGACCAAGTTCCAGCCGACGGCGAACCCCCAGGCCGGGTCGACCAGAAACTCGGCGTGGCGCACAAAGGAGCCCGTGACGGGAAGCAGCGCGCACACCTCACCGAGCGCAAACTGCACGGCGCACACGACGAGCCCGACGGTCGCGTAGCCGAGCAGCGCGCCGAGCGGACCGCCCGTCTGCACGGCGCCGCCGAGACCGAGAAACAAGCCGGTGCCAATGGCCCCCGCGATGCCGAGCATGGACAGGTGGCGCTCGCGGAGCCCGCGCTGGAGGTCGCGCCGCTCCGTCGCCGTTACGAGGTCCGCGTCGAGAGCACGCATGTTTTGCGCGCCAGTAGAGGAGGAGGGAGAGAGGGGAGGAGGAGGAGGGGGGAAGCTGCCGTACACGGTAGTATCGGGTTGAAGAGGCGATGATGTAGAGGACGAGGACGGGAGGAGAGGGCCGAGGCTGCTGGTGGCAGCGCTGGCTGATGGCTTTTTCTCGTCGGCAAAGGATCTAGTCATTGCTTCGTTTTTTCGGGGTTCCGAAGACGAGGCGTTGGCAAAAAAGAAAAGATAGAGAGAGAGGAGAGAGAGAAGGTGCGATCGGAGCGCACGTCGGTGAGTGGCGCAAAAAGATGTTTAGCTGAGCACGCGCGCACAACAGACCAGTCACCTTTTTTGATAGACTCAAAACTCCGGGACCCAATTTTCAAGGTTGCATGGCTGGCAAAATAGTCACTCTCGTAATATCCTCTTTCTTTTGTCAAATGTCTCAGCCGCATCTATGTCTCTGTAGAATTCGGGTCGAGGTTCGCCGTCGCTATCGGTGGTGTTTTTAGCGGGAAAGGGAAAAAAAAAAAAAATCAAGGGTCCCGCCTACCAGATAAAAGAAACGAAGAGGTACAAGCAAAACTCACCATACCGAGTTGGGATGGCGTAATTGAATAGTGTGCACCGCCCCAACAGCTATAACTTGCCACGTTAAGATGATAAATAGAGGCCCGCTAGGCCAATTGATTATCCCCGCTTGTACCTGATTTATCATTTGGTACAATGGCAAAGGCTATTTATTTTATTAGATACAACATCTTTTGTCTGTGACGCTCTCCGCCGCTCCCGAGTCTACCTTGATGCCTATGAATAGCACGCTGAAAATTAACCAGCACCAAAAATAGGACCAAACATTCTGAAAAAAGTATTGTAATGCAATTAATTCTATTAAATCTCGTAAGAGAGACGTAGATAACTCTAAAGTTCATTAAGACGTCAAAATCGGTAAAAAGTTGCGCCGCCGTGTTCACTAATAAAAGACATGAGAAATGAAGTGAAGAAAAAAAAATATCTCAACTCCTGTCCGTGAAAAGTCATGCTAATGTTGTTCTTTTTTTTTTTTTTTCAAGTTTTTTTCTTTTTGAACGCACAACACACTCTATGCAGTCTTCACCTCGGTCCAGACACCCTGAATCCTGGTCTTGCGCAGAATCTGCGAAGCCAGATCCGCCATGGTGCCGCTCGTCAACAGCTCCAGCACCTGCAAGTGCGCCTGCAACTCCTTTCCAATCCAGTTGCGCAGCTCAATGGCGTTGAGCGAATCCAACCCAAACGCAGTAATGGTAGTGGTGGCCTGTCTGGCCGCCATGACATCGGGATGCAGCATCAGAATGGCACCCAGCTTCTCGCGCAAGCCTGTGCCAACAAGCTCGACAGCTTCGTCAACCGTCGCGAGCTTTGCCAGCTTCTTGCCGATAGGAATGTTGGTCGCGCCGTCCGCGCCTCCAGCGGCAGCGCTTGCGGCAACTGCAGCATCGCGAAGGGGCTTGAATTTGGCATCGGCAGCGTAATAAGGAAAGTTGCTGGCGTCGCCAAGGTCAAGACCAGTAATCGCCTGGTCATTGCTAAAGGTACCGACTTTGCCATCAATCGCCGCCTCCACCAGGGCAAGCACTTCGCTCTCGCCCATGGTGCTTCCTGACAGGTTCTTGAGTACTTCCGACTGCTTGGCCGAGTTCTCCGCCAAGTAGCCGACGCCTTCAACGGCTGTCAAGTTGAGACATGTAGAAGCAAGGCCAAGCTGGCGACGGTGAGCAGTCAATGCGTCAAGGAACGTGTTGGCAGCGGCGTATGCGGCCTGCCCACGGTTTCCAACAATGCCAGCCACCGACGAGAGAACAATAAACAAGTCTAAAGGATCATTGATCAGAGCCTTGTGGAAGTTCCAGCCTCCCGAAACCTTGGAGCGGACAACGGCCTCGTAATCTTCAAACGACATGTTCTCAAACAGAGTGTCACGTAGCACCATGGCAGCATGAATGACACCGAGAATAGGAGGCAGTGAGCTGCGCAGCTGAGCAATGAGCTCATTGACTTTGGCCTCATCTGCAACATCGCACGCCATGACATGAATCTTGGCGCCAAGGGGCTCGCACTCTGCAATCAGCCTCTCCAGCTCTGCCGTCATGCTGCCACTGCGGGAAAGCAGAACAATGTTTCTCGCGCCTCGTTGCACCATTCTCTTGGACATGGATCGACCGAGACCACCAGTACCACCGATGATAATGTACGCGGCATCGGCCTTGAGCGAGTGGGTATTTGGCTCGGGGTGGGTAGCGTTGACTTGTCCGTCGAGCTCATGGTTGACCACCACCTTACCAGTCGTCTTGCCACTCTGAAGTTTGCGCAGAGCAGACTCAACCTCGCTGATGCTAACAGTTGTGATGGGGCCAATGGGCTTGATTGTTTTCTTGTCCAAGAGCTCCATGACATTGCGGAAGATGCGGCCCATGATCTTGGGTCTAAAGTCACCGACCTTGGTCAAATCCACCGAGCTAAAGGTGCAGTTCCACTCAAATTTGGCCATTTCCAGTCTCGTGTTGGAGTTGATATCTCGCTTTCCAATCTCAATGAAGCGGCCAAAGGGGGCGAGGCAAGACCAAGTCTCGCGCAGCAGATCGCCGGCAAGGGAATTGATGACAACGTCCACTCCTTTGCCACCGGTGGCATCGCGCAGCGCCGGGGCGAATGAGCTATCTCTGCTGTAGAAGATATGATCGTCGGCGATGCCGTACTCCTCGATAAGATGCTGCTTCTTGTCCAGGCTTCCGACTGTGGCAAAGATCTCTGCGCCAATCATCTGGGCAAGCTGGATCGCAGCCTGGCCCACACCACCAGAAGCAGCATGAATGAGAATCTTCTCACCAGACTCTAGGCGAGCCAGATCAACAAGACCATAGTAAGCAGTGCAGTAAACGACTGGGATTGAGGCCGACGTCTCAAAAGAGATGCCTTCGGGGATGAGACCTGCGCTAGTCGCGGGGCAGCGAGCGTAGGTTCCATAAGCACCGTGTGTCATGGCGCAGACACGGTCACCGACCCTGAGCGATCTGACGTTGGAGCCAATGCGTGAGACAGTGCCAGCGCACTCGACTCCAAGGTATGGGCTAGCCAGCTGGCCCATTGCAATGACCACATCCTTGAAGTTCATGCCAGTGGCAGCCACCTTGATCTCAATCTCCTCTTCGCCGAGAACGTACTCCTCTTCATCCTTCCAGTACAGAGAATCAAGTGCACCGTAGGTGCCAACAGCCAGCTTCAGGCGGCGCCCAGGCTGAGAAAAGTTCTGAGCGTAGGGGCGGGATGGCTGAGTGGCACGGAAGAGCTCAAGGTCGACATCGTTTTGATTGTAGATGCGAGGTACAAACAGCTTGCCATCCTTTTCAGCAAACTCAAAGTCGACAGGGGCATCATCCTCATGAGTCTCCAGAGTCGTCTTCATAGCAGTGATGACCAACTGGGCCTGATCGACAGGCTGAAGGGTTGAGTTGGGATGAAGATCAAGAGTTCCGGCAATCTTGCTAGACTCGGAGCGAATTGTACGCATCATACCCTGTGCAAGGTTGTTCAAGGGAGTCGTAGCAGTGTGGTACGCGCCAGTGCCAACCCAAAGCATGGATGAGCAGTTCAAAAGAAGCTTCTGGATTTTGGCAAAAGTAGTGCCATCCATGTTGTGAAGAACAGGACCCTCGACTTCGTTCAGGCAGATGTACCTGGTGGAAGACGAAATCTCAACATCAGCGAGAGTGGTAATCTTTGGCATCAGACCGCCGGTTTGGAGCTCGATAAGGTCGGCCAGCGCCGAGGCCAGCGGCGTTGCTCCGGCATCGCAGATGATGATGATTGGAGTCTCGCTCAAGTCGACCCTGTTGAGATAGGGGTGGCTATGGGTATGTCCATTGCTGTGGCCGTTGATGTGTCCATTGGTATGACCATTGGTGTGCCCATTGGTATGACCATTGGTGTGCCCATTAGCGTCGCCATTGGCATATCCGTTAGCATGTCCGTTGGCATATCCGTTAGCATGTCCGTCGGCGTGTCCATTGGTGTGGCCATTGGTGTGGCCATTGGTGTGG